CCGCCGACCTAGCACCCGCCGACCTAGCACCCGCCGACCTGGCACCCGCCGACCTAGCACCCGCCGACCTAGCGCCCCTCGAACTAGCACCCGCCGACCTAGCACCCGCCGACCTAGCACCCACCGACCTAGCACCCACCGACCTAGCACCCGCCGACCTAGCACCCGCCGACCTAGCACCCGCCGACCTAGCACCCGCCGACCTAGCCCCCGCCGACCTAGCCCCCGCCGACCTAGCCCCCGCCGACCTAGCCCCCGCCGACCTAGCCCCAGCCGACCTAGCCCCCGCCGACCTAGCCCCCGCCGACCTAGCACCCGCCGACCTAGCCCCCGCCGACCTAGCGCCCGCCGACCTGGCACCCCCCGACCTAGCACCCGCCGACCTAGCACCCGCCGACCTAGCACCCGCCGACCTGGCACCCGCCGACCTAGCACCCGCCGACCTAGCACCCGCCGACCTAGCACCCGCCGACCTAGCACCCCCCGACCTAGCACCCGTCAACCTAGCACCCGTCAACCTAGCACCCCTCGACCTAGCACCCCTCGACCTAGCACCCCTCGACCTAGCACCCACCGACCTAGCACCCGCCGACCAGGCACCCGCCGACCTAGCACCCACCGACCTGGCACCCGCCGACCTAGCTCCCGCCGACCTAGCACCCGCCGACCTAGCACCCGCCGACCTAGCGCCCGCCGACCTAGCGCCCGCCGACCTAGCGCCCGCCGACCTAGCTCCCGCCGACCTAGCGCCCGCCGACCTAGCGCCCGCCGACCTACCACCCGCCGACCTAGCGCCCGCCGACCTAGCACCCGCCGACCTGGCGCCCGCCGACCTAGCACCCGCCGACCTAGCGCCCGCCGACCTAGCACCCGCCGACCTAGCACCCGCCGACCTAGCGCCCGCCGACCTATCACTTGCCGACCTAGCACCCGCCGACCTGGCACCCGCCGACCTAGCACCCGCCGACCTAGCGCCCCTCGAACTAGCACCCGCCGACCTAGCACCCGCCGACCTAGCACCCACCGACCTAGCGCCCGCCGACCTAGCTCCCGCCGACCTAGCGCCCTCCGACCTAGCACCCGCCGACCTACCACCCGCCGACCTAGCGCCCGCCGACCTACCACCCGCCGACCTAGCACCCACCGACCTAGCACCCGCCGACCTAGCACCCGCCGACCTAGCACCCGCCGACCTAGCACCCGCCGACCTAGCCCCCGCCGACCTAGCCCCCGCCGACCTAGCACCCGCCGACCTAGCACCCGCCGACCTAGCGCCCGCCGACCTAGCACCCGCCGACCTAGCGCCCGCCGACCTATCACTTGCCGACCTAGCACCCGCCGACCTGGCACCCGCCGACCTAGCACCCGCCGACCTAGCGCCCCTCGAACTAGCACCCGCCGACCTAGCACCCGCCGACCTAGCACCCACCGACCTAGCGCCCGCCGACCTAGCTCCCGCCGACCTAGCGCCCGCCGACCTAGCACCCGCCGACCTACCACCCGCCGACCTAGCGCCCGCCGACCTACCACCCGCCGACCTAGCACCCACCGACCTAGCACCCGCCGACCTAGCCCCCGCCGACCTGGCACCCCCCGACCTAGCCCCCGCCGACCTAGCACCCGCCGACCTAGCACCCGCCGACCTGGCACCCGCCGACCTAGCACCCGCCGACCAGGCATCCCCCGACCTAGCATCCGTCAACCTAGCACCCCTCGACCTAGCACCCCTCGACCTAGCACCCCTCGACCTAGCACCCCTCGACCTAGCACCCACCGACCTAGCACCCGCCGACCTAGCACCCGCCGACCAGGCACCCGCCGACCTAGCACCCACCGACCTGGCACCCGCCGACCTAGCTCCCGCCGACCTAGCACCCGCCGACCTAGCTCCCGCCGACCTAGCGCCCGCCGACCTAGCGCCCGCCGACCTAGCGCCCGCCGACCTAGCTCCCGCCGACCTAGCGCCCGCCGACCTAGCGCCCGCCGACCTACCACCCGCCGACCTAGCGCCCGCCGACCTACCACCCGCCGACCTAGCGCCCGCCGACCTATCACCCGCCGACCTAGCACCCGCCGACCTAGCGCCCGCCGACCTAGCACCCGCCGACCTAGCGCCCGCCGACCTATCACCCGCCGACCTAGCACCCGCCGACCTGGCACCCGCCGACCTAGCGCCCCTCGAACTAGCACCCGCCGACCTAGCACCCGCCGACCTAGCACCCACCGACCTAGCGCCCGCCGACCTAGCTCCCGCCGACCTAGCGCCCTCCGACCTAGCACCCGCCGACCTACCACCCGCCGACCTAGCGCCCGCCGACCTACCACCCGCCGACCTAGCACCCACCGACCTAGCACCCGCCGACCTAGCACCCGCCGACCTAGCACCCGCCGACCTAGCACCCGCCGACCTAGCCCCCGCCGACCTAGCCCCCGCCGACCTAGCACCCGCCGACCTAGCACCCGCCGACCTAGCGCCCGCCGACCTAGCACCCGCCGACCTAGCGCCCGCCGACCTATCACTTGCCGACCTAGCACCCGCCGACCTGGCACCCGCCGACCTAGCACCCGCCGACCTAGCGCCCCTCGAACTAGCACCCGCCGACCTAGCACCCGCCGACCTAGCACCCACCGACCTAGCGCCCGCCGACCTAGCTCCCGCCGACCTAGCGCCCGCCGACCTAGCACCCGCCGACCTACCACCCGCCGACCTAGCGCCCGCCGACCTACCACCCGCCGACCTAGCACCCACCGACCTAGCACCCGCCGACCTAGCGCCCGCCGACCTGGCACCCCCCGACCTAGCACCCGCCGACCTAGCACCCGCCGACCTAGCACCCGCCGACCTAGCACCCGCCGACCTAGCACCCGCCGACCAGGCATCCCCCGACCTAGCATCCGTCAACCTAGCACCCCTCGACCTAGCACCCCTCGACCTAGCACCCCTCGACCTAGCACCCCTCGACCTAGCACCCACCGACCTAGCACCCGCCGACCTAGCACCCGCCGACCAGGCACCCGCCGACCTAGCACCCACCGACCTGGCACCCGCCGACCTAGCTCCCGCCGACCTACACCCGCCGACCTAGCTCCCGCCGACCTAGCGCCCGCCGACCTAGCGCCCGCCGACCTAGCGCCCGCCGACCTAGCTCCCGCCGACCTAGCGCCCGCCGACCTAGCGCCCGCCGACCTACCACCCGCCGACCTAGCGCCCGCCGACCTACCACCCGCCGACCTAGCGCCCGCCGACCTATCACCCGCCGACCTAGCACCCGCCGACCTAGCGCCCGCCGACCTAGCACCCGCCGACCTAGCGCCCGCCGACCTATCACCCGCCGACCTAGCACCCGCCGACCTGGCACCCGCCGACCTAGCACCCGCCGACCTAGCGCCCCTCGAACTAGCACCCGCCGACCTAGCGCCCGCCGACCTAGCACCCACCGACCTAGCGCCCGCCGACCTAGCTCCCGCCGACCTAGCGCCCGCCGACCTAGCACCCGCCGACCTACCACCCGCCGACCTAGCGCCCGCCGACCTACCACCCGCCGACCTAGCACCCGCCGACCTAGCACCCACCGACCTAGCACCCGCCGACCTAGCGCCCGCCGACCTGGCACCCGCCGACCTAGCACCCGCCGACCTAGAACCCCCCGACCTAGCACCCCCCGACCTAGCACCCCCCGACCTAGCACCCCCCGACCTAGCACCCGCCGACCTAGCACCCGCCGACCTAGCACCCACCGACCTAGCACCCGCCGACCTAGCGCCCGCCGACCTGGCACCCGCCGACCTAGCACCCGCCGACCTAGCACCCACCGACCTAGCACCCGCCGACCTAGCGCCCGCCGACCTAGCACCCGCCGACCTAGCACCCGCCGACCTAGCACCCGCCGACCTAGCACCCGCCGACCTAGCGCCCGCCGACCTAGCACCCGCCGACCTAGCACCCGCCGACCTAGCACCCCCCGACCTAGCACCCCCCGACCTAGCACCCGCCGACCTAGCACCCACCGACCCAGCACCCACCGACCTAGCACCCTCCCCCCCGCCACATAAATATCCTCCCCCAGCCACCTTAATACCGTCCCCCCTGCCACCTTCAATACCCTCGCCCCTGCCACCTTAATACCCTCACGCCTGTCACTTCAATATCCTCCACACTGCCACATCAATACCCTCGCCCCTGCCACCTCAACAGCCTTTCCCCAGCCACTTCAATATCCTCTACCCTGCCACATCAAGATCCTGCCCCCTGCCACTTCGATATCCTTCCCTCTGCCACTTCAATATTCTCCCCCCTGCCACCTTAATACCCTCACCCCTGCCACGTCAATACCCTCCCTCCTGCCACCTACAATACCCTCGCCCCTACCACCTACAATACCCTCGCCCCTGCCACCTCAATACTCTCGCCCCTGCCACCTCAACAGCCTCCTTCCTGCCAATCGCTGCCATTCCTTTTGTGCTTTAAGCATCCTTCTGCATCCTCACGCCCTACATGCATGCTTGCAACCGCATCTCCTCGACATCACCTCCCTGCCGCGAGCTATGGCCAGCTCCCGCCGAAGGCGGGCCTTACTAGTATTTTAAGCCACTAACGGAGCGATGCGCTGCAGCGAGTTGAGGTCTGGCCGACCCTTGGGTCTGTGGGCGGGACGAGCACGAATATTTCCTTCCCTGGAGCGTGACCACGGAGACGGTCTATGCTTCCCTTCGCTTCGCTCCTCCGAAACCGTATGTATACTACGTATATATACGTTTTCTTCGTTGCGAGCTACGGGGACCGTACCAAGACAGTGCGAATGCATTGGGTGAGGAGAAAAGAAAAATGTGGGAGTGCCTGTTAATGCGGGGTACCGGTAACTGGGGGATGGGCGCATGGTGTGGCGCGGGGCGTTGCGGAGCGGCCTAGCTCGGGACAACCTGACCTGGCCCTCCATGCAAACGTGAACCGGCTGGTGGATCCCTGACCCTAGCGAGGGAAACACAATTCTCAGCTTTCCTTATCCTTTCTTCCTTACAGAGAGTCTGCATGATCCATCCATCACCCATCACCGCTACTGCCGTATCAGCAGCCACTCCTAGCAGCTGCACTACCACCACCGCACACTCCCCTTGCAAGCAGTAGCACCGCTCGCATGCACCCAGCGCCCTTGTCGGCCCCACGGCGCCTCACACGCACAGCCACCTCCCCAGTCGAGACAGCCAGACCACATGGTGAAATGCCTAGAGCAGCAGCTGCCCTAGAGGCAGACAGCCAGTTGTATGAGACGTACGACTCCCCTGCCCAGCTCTGCTTCCGAACAACACTTGAACAGCTACTGAAGCTGCTGCCATCTCAGCCAGCCTCCGCTGCTGACGCTCCACGGCTGCCCCAGCGTGTGCCGCCTGCCTAACTACACAGCCCCCCTCAGTCATCGTGATGTAAGGATCCAAGCAAAGATTGACGGGCACCAAAGCACCCTTGTCTATTGCTTGTCTGCCTACTCTATACGACACGCTCTAGATGAGAGCAGGGGCACATCTACCCTAACACCTAATGCGTCCCCACCGCCCTTCGGATAAATTGATATCCTGTTCTGCTGCTTTGAAGGCAGAGAGCGTAAGCGACCTCTCGGCGCCCCTCCTCCCTCCCACTGCTTCCCTCTATCTCCACTGCTTTTCGCCCTAACCTGTGTTAGGTTTCCCACGGTTAGGTGTATCTCTGACACCCCTCCCACCCACCGGGTAGATCTCTACGGCACTACGTCCACAGCACTACGCACCTAAACACCCCTCCTCCACTCCCCCACACACATCCACACACAACATCCACACGCGCCTCCTTCCTAAAACCCCCGCCACCTAGTCCCGGTAGCGCCTCCGTGGCCTCTCCTCATCGCTGTCCCGACTCCCACCTCCCCGCCCTCGCTCCTTGTCACGATCTCGACCCCGCCCCCTCACATCCTCCCCTCCACGCTCCCGCTCCTTCCCCTCGCGCTCCTTCTCCTCCCGCTCACGCCTGCTGACGCGACCGCCCTCGTCACGTCCTCCTCCTCCTCCTCCTCCTGCGCCACCGCCAGCCCCACGTCGTTGCTCCTGCAGCGCTTGACCCAACGTCTGGCTTATCATTCGCAGCGCTCCAAAACCCGTCGTACGCGGGGGGCCGCGGCTGCCGCCGCCAGCGCCGCCGGCACCACCTCCGTCGCCTCCTGCCTCCCCGCCGGGTCCGTCACTGGCGGCGACTGCTGTTGCTGCTGCTCCTCCTCGTCCCTTGGAGGCTGCAGGCACCGCCCACTCCACTCGGCTGCGTTTGCTCGCACCCCCCGCTGTCGCTCCCAGACTACTCTGCTGACCCTGCTGAGACGACGTAGCGGGACCTCCGCCACCGCCGCCACGGCGACCGCCGTCGTCTCGATCGTACTCGCTGTCGTCATCCGAGCGACCGCCGCCGCCGCCGCGGCGAGTGTTGCCGTACCGACCGCCGCCGCCGCCGTCGCCGCCTCGGGCAGCACGAGGCGGGGTACGACTGCGACTCCGGCTGCGGGTAGCCGTCGTGCCCCGCCGAGGAGCGGCGGCAGTGGCGGTGACGGCAGTGTTGCCGCCCCCGCCGGTGCGTTGCGACGGTGGGATGGGGGGCTTGCGTGTGGGCAGGGCAGGGGCGCCGTAGTGGTCGTCTTCGTACTCGGCATCGCTGTACGGCAACCTGGCGAGGAAGAGGAAGTAGGAGGAGAAGACATGAGGGGGCGTCGTGAGGAGAAGACACGAGGAGGCATGCGGAGAAGATAAGGAGGCAAGCAGCATGCAGCGTGGACACCGAAGTTGTCCCAAGCTGCTCCCGCGATTATTGCAAACGTGCAAGAACAATTATCAATCGCTCCCCATGCAACACAGCCTAACCATGTGTAACCATCCCTTTGCTTTTGTTTCAGCCACATCCCACCATCACTTACTCGTCCTCATACTCCTCGTATCGCTCCTCATTGTAACTGTCGTCCTTTCGCTGCCGTACAGCCCCTGCTTGCTGCTGCTGCTCCCCACCTGCTGCGCCTCCGCCTCGGGCTTGCTCCCTGCCGCTCTTGGACCTCTCCTTCTCCCTCTCCTTGCCCTTATCCTTGCTCTTCTCCTTGTGCTTGTGATGGCTCTTCTTGCCCTCCTTACCGCTCTTGCCCTCCTTGTGCTTCTCCTTCTTGTGTTTCTTGTGCTTCTTATGCGTCCGCCGCTCTTCTCGTTCACTGTCGCCGCCATCTCGGTCGCTGTAGCCGCCGCCTCCGTCGCCGCCACCGCCCTCAGCGCCGCCACCCCTGGAGTCCAGTCGACTGGGGGGCGACGGAGAGCGATGAGAGCGGCTGTTGCCCCGAGCTGCAGCTGCAGCAGCCTCCCGCTGCTGCTGCTGCTGGTCAGAGGGCTGCTGCTGTCGTGGCTGCTGCTGCTGGGAGTCGCGCTGGGAGGGTGCAGCCTGCGGCTGCTCCCGACCACCAGCCCTGTTGCCTGCCCTGGCCCTGCCTCGTCCATCGTCCTCCTCCTGCTCCTCCGCTTCCCGGTCGCTGCTGCTCACGCTGCGGTCGGAATAGTCCTCGTCATCGTCTCCACGACCCCGCTGCTGCCGCCTCCGCTCCTCCTCACGTCCGCATCCGCCGCGACCACCCCTCTCCTTACGCTGCTGCTCTTCTTCCTCCTCCTCCTCCTCCGACACCCCCACCCCCACCTTCTGCTCATCCGGTCGGACTCCTGCTTGACCTCGGTTGCGTTGTGGGCTGCGGTCCGAGGCAGCACCAGCAGCACGGGGAGCAGCGGCAGCAGCAGCAGCAGTTGCGGTGGTTGGCTTCTCAAATGCCTCAGGTCGGCGCGGAGATGGTGCGGGCGCAGGAGCCGCCCTCTTTCCAGCTGCTGCAGCAGCTGCTTCTCGGTCTCCGGATTTCCTGAGCGTGGGAAGGATGGGAGTGGAAGAGGTGGCGGAGAGAAGGCGGTTGGTTTGTTAGGGCGGCGGCAGGTATAGGGGACGAGTTGACAAAGGGAGTATGGCATGGTTGGGAGGCGTGGTGGATAATAACGGAAAGGCCCCGGGTATAATTAACCTCAACCGTGCTCGGCTGGTGTTGGCTTCTGGACCTTGCCCGTGATGTCACCGGAATGTGAACAAAGCAACAAAGCAAGCAACTACAGAGGCTTCTGGGCAGCACAGTTAAGCACACGTCAACAGACCCCGGCCAACACGATAGCGCTGAAGCAGCTGTGGGTTGTCCCGTGACCTCCCGCGTGCATGCAGCCCAGAGCTGAGGCACCCCCAGGGCTGCGCTAACGCAACCTGCTAACATCCTAAAAAGCCCCGCTAGCTTGCCCTCCTCGACCGCTACCCCTGCAACCCGCATGCGCCCGCTAGCCATGCGGCCCCCTAGCCGGCCGCTAGAAACCCAGGCAGACGCCATGCGTGTCATCACACAGGGTAAGCGAGGTCATGTGCGAGTCATTTAGGCGGTTGCATCCGACGGCAATTAGTTAGCGGTTATGTAAGCGGTCATCGTCAGGGCTTGCGCCTTGGAACGTCATCCTTGTAAGAGTCCGGGGGCTGCATCATCAGCTGCATCAGCTGCATCAGCTGCATCAGTTGCACCACTGCATGCCATGCAACGCAGCCTAGCAGCCCCCGCGAGCCAGTGACACACAGTAAACCCAGCTGGTCACCGCCGCCACACCAACACCCGGACCACCGGCCTAGCCACCAACACCTCTCCTCGGTCGACAACTGCCGTCAACAGTCCAGTTACGCTGTTCAGTCGGTTATACGCGAGCAACCGGACAGCACACATCGCCACATTCCTCTCGGTCGTCAGCATACTTCAGAAAGTCCAGAACGCAAGTCAACCGATCTGATGCAGGGCAGAGCTACCAGGAGTTCCCAGTAGTAGTAGTGCTACAGCTCAACTTCCTTTCAAACACTTGTTTTCACAGTACTGCAGCCCCCAAGAGAGAGCGTTAGCACCTCACCCTCTACCAGAGATCGCCGTACCGTTCGTCAAGCATGGAAACCCTCCAAGCACATGCCAAGCGGTCGCACACGTGTCACGACATTCACCTGCACAGCCCCCGACAAGTGCCCATCGCCACGCGAGGGAAAAGCACCTGCAGGTTTGCGGTGTGTGATCTGTGCTCGTCGCATAACACACATACACGCCCGCCGTGCTTCCTCTTTCAGCACGCATACAGCTAAGCAGTGCTGCTCACTCCAAATGCTCGAGCATGCATGCATGCATACTGACGGCCTCATAACAATTATTGAAAAACACGTAAATGACCTATAACAATGTTAACTAAAGTGCTGCTAGGGAAATGACACAATGCATTGCTGCTCGGCACGCATGACGGCACACAACTTGCACGACAAGAAACGAGCCTTGGTGTAGAACAAGGTCAGTACTAATGTCGAAAGACAACTATACGATACACGGCCAGCGGCCGACGGGAAGCCGGTCGACACTACTCGTGACCGCCCGGGGCGTGAAAGACCCCGGACGAGAAGCGCCACGGCATCAAGCCCACACATGCTTTGGCGAGGCAAAACCAAATACTCCTTGCAAGGCTACAGACCACACCCATGCTGGCATACTAGGTAGCGGCATTACAAGACATCTAGGAAGTGTCAAAATAACAGACAGGTTTCCAACGAAACCTTGCAAGTGACCCATGGGTCTGCAGCACATCGATACTAACAGGTGAGTTGTACGGTTACATTGGTTGCATCGCGGCCCTTGCATGACGGGCCGTCGTACAATCTGTCTTTTTGCTGCTGCAGCAACAGCAGCCGGGGTTAGCTCCGTCCAGGTAAGCCACCATCGCACAGGCGTCAAGCCATCAGCCCAGCACATCCAAGAGTGTCAGTTACCGATTCAGCACATGACCGTATCAGCACATGAAACCAGGCCCGTCCACCCATGGCATCTTAAACTACCAATGGGCATGTACGGAAGTCCATCTAACCATGTGCGCTGCCGTACAAAACCACCAAGAAGGCCATTCGTCGATTTCGACATTCGACAACCGCATGCCGCAATGACGCAGCCATATACAGTGCTGAGCCTAATACCTGGTGACCCGTCACTGAAGAGCCGACATCACTCGGCAACATGCCGATGGGGCCATCGCCGACCGGGCCGGTAACAACTCCATGTCCGTTCGTAAGACAGGAACAGCAGCAGACATCAATCCATTCTTCGCTCTTTCCACGGCCCTTGTGAGGAGGTGCACCCGGAGCCTTCCAGGGCTCCTGGACTGCCCGGAGGACAGTCGAATGCCGCGTGCCTGATCGTGATATGCGCATGCATGTGCGTGCCAGGCTCGGGGGTGCTCCTCTTGGATCATGTGATGCATGCACGAGTGAAGCGCATGCAAGTGGGGTTCGTGCATCGTGTCTGCTGCCGCAGGTGCGCGTCAAGGTATTGCGCAACAGCAGCAAGCGGTGAGCAAGCAAGGGTGCAGGACAGCGAGAGTGCAATGCAGGACGCAGGATGACAGACACATGATGACAAGCACGCACTGTGGCCCTAGCAGTACACAACACAGGCAGTGAGACCTCCGCCAGAAGACGACGCAACAACAACGCAAGCTTGCACCACCTGTCAGCAGACGTCGACCTTGACCTCCTTCCGCCCGCCGCCTCCCTCTCCGCAGCTGCCTCGCCGCCGCCGCCCCGCTCCTCGCTCTGGTCACTGCCGCTCGCGCTGCTGCTGCTGCTGCTTCCGCCGCCATCCCCGCTGACACGCCGCCTAGCCGGACTTCCCTCCTCAGCCGCCGACCCATCGCGGGGAGGAGACACGCTACGCCGCGGCTCGCCGCCACTCGGAGTTGCCGCAGCGGTGGCAGAGGGCGACATGTCAGCATTGGCATCCGCAAGACCGGACCGGGTGCCTGCGGCCGCGCCGCCGCCGTCACCGTCTGCCGTACGGCGCTTCTCTGCAGGATCGGCATTCGCCTGGTCGCTTGGTCGCGGCTCCTTGCTCGCATCTTCTCGGCGTTGCCGGTCCTCCTCGCCAGCCCCCACAGCACCCTTGTCCGCCGCGGCGCCGGAGCGGGATGACTGAGAGGCCGGGACGGAGGAGAAGAGGACAAGGGGGGGGGCCAGGGGTAAGAGGAACGGTTAGTGTAGGCAAGACAAACACAAACGCTATGACGGCAGATTGACGGGTCCCCGGATACCTACCTGACGAAACCCTAGGGGAAGAAGTGAGAAGCTGCGTGCGTCCAAGACACGGGTCTACTGCTGTGAAGTGCAAGGCCCTCGTGCCCCCATGCAATCCGCACCCGGTACCTAGACCCAGACTCCATGCAAACCCACAGTCAGTCCATATCAGCCACCCACCTGCCGTCGCATCCCCGACTGCTCGCGACCGTCCTCCGGCTCCCGGCCTCTCACCCCCCGAGCAGCCGCCCTGCCGCCCTCGCCTCTAGCTCCTCCTCCGCTGGGCGGACTGCGCGACCGCTTCCGCCGCGCCTCCACCTCGCGCGGTGAAACCACGGGTGAGGACCCCAACGCCTCCCGCCTGCTCTCCCGCTCCCGCCCCCGAGACCGACCCGCCTCGCGCTCCCGATCTCGCGTCTCCCTCTCCCTCTCGCGATCACGATCCCGGTCCCTATCCCTGTCACGGTCTCGGTCCCGTTCGCGTTCTCGATCGCGCTCCCTCTCGCCTCGCTTCCTGTCCCGATCACGCTCATGACCCCCGCCCCCACCCCCGCCGCCTCCACTATACTCATCCCGCCCCCGCCGACGCTTAGACGGCGACCGGGACCTGGACCGGGACCTGGACCGTGATCGTGACCCAGATCGAGACCGCTTTGAACGCCCTCCTCGCGACCTGCTGCGGCTACGCCTCCCCCGCTCACCACCACCTCCACCACCACTGCCGGGCCTGCCGTGCTGGCTGCGGCCCTGGCGGTCGGCAGCAAGGGAGTCCTCATCTCGTCGGTGGGAGCTGGAGCCGAGGCGTGCGGGCGAGGGGCCCCCGGTGTCCCGCCGCGGCCGCGAGGAGCGCTCCGCGGCCTGTTTGGCGGCTGCCTGCAGGTCCAGGAACTCGCGGCGGGAGAGCGGCCGGCCGCTGCCAAAGGCCCTGAGGCGGGTGGGGAGAGGAGGGTGGGAGGAGGCGGGAGAGGTGGGTGAGAAGGTGGGAGAGGGCAGGGCGACAGGGGTGGAGAATGGTGCCGTCATGTGGTGCTGAAGGAAGTAAGCAGGATGCGCGCATGTGCAATAAGCAGCAAGCCGGAAGCAAGCAAACCCAAATAGACCCAAATCGCCCCGAAGCATCACAACATCGTTTCAAGAAGCCAAAGCACGGTTAATGGCATCCCCACCCGTTTCTTCTCCCCCCTTCCTTCCTCTCTCCCCGCCCACCTGAACAGGTCCGTCATGGCCATATCCCCGGGCAGCAGCTCCCGCAGGAAGGGCAGCGCAGTCATCAGCTCCCGCTCGCTGCAGCCCACTCCGCGCAGAGAGGCAGGCACATCGCCCTCGCCACCCGCACCACCGCCGTCCCGACCACTCCGGAAGCCGTTGCCCGCAGCTGCAGCGGCACCTCGTCCTCGCTCCCCTGCAGCAGCTGGCAACGCCGCGGCATTAGCAGCGGCTCCGGAACTGCCGCCCGGAGCAGCGCTGCCTTCACGCAACGCCGCCGCAGCACCGGTTAGGAGCGAGGGGGCGGGGGAGGTGGACCGCCGAGCCGCGTCGTCTGCTAGCATGCCGAGGCCCAGACGAACGGGTTGTTGTTGCTGAAGGGGTTGTTTTGAACGCTCATCAAAATCATCATCGAAGAGCTGGGGTCCTGCCGGCTTGACCTCAACCCGCTGCTGCTCAGGTTGTTGCTTGGGCTGGTCTGCAGGTGCGGTCATGGCCGTCTGTTGCTGCTGGTTTAGGTCAGGAGCAGCGCCAGCGGAACCAGCGGCCTGCTGCTCTGATTTGATGTCTGCAGATGCGAGTAGTTGTTGCTGCTGCTGCTGTTGTTGCAGCTGGAGTTGCTGCTGCTGTTGCTGAGCCAGCAACAGCTGCTGCTGTTGTTGCTGCTGTAGGGCCGCGGCGTTACGAGCAGCTGCATCCGCTGCAGCTCTTCCGGGCTGCTGCCACGCCGGTGCATTGCTGGGCGCTGCCGAGGGGCCTGCGGTTAGTAGGGCGGGCTGGGCGGAAGTGGCAGCGGCAGGGGCGGCCTCGGCTGCTGCTGCGGGACCGCGGCCCATCAGGGCTGCTAGCCGGTTGAAGGCCTGCGTGTTGGCAGCGAGCTCGCCTAGCTCCCCATCTGGCAGGTAAAGGCTGCCGTCTGCGTTGCGCTGGATCTTGGAAGCCGGGATGCCGGAGGGTACTTTGATGCGCTTGTCGTAAGCTGGGTCTCCCTGTGTGGGGCACTCGCTGATGAAGTGGCCGGGTTGACCGCAGCGCAAGCACTCCCGGTTCATGAAGCCACCCCGGCCACCGCGACCGCCGCCAGGACCGAAGCCGCGGCCGCGGCCCCGACCGCCCCGGCCAAATGGTGCTGATTGCATCGCCAGTTGTCCCTCCAATGCCACGCCTTTAGCAGCTTGAGCAAGGAAAGCCATCATTTGTTGCTCATCCTGCTGTGCCGTGGCTGCCTTGGCCAGAGGATCGTCGCCGAATTCGTCCTCAACGTGAGGTTGTGCGCCCAGATCCGTGGAGCTTATCGCCCCGAGCGTTGGTGCCGCGGTAGCAACTGGTGCAGGGGCCGGTGCAGGTGCTGCTGAACTACTGATTATAGTCCGAGGGCGAGCTGCTGCTGCCACGCGTTTCACGATAACCGCTGAATTCTTCATAACCTGTTCTGCATCATTATCATAGTCCCGCTTGGAGGTCGCATCCGTAAGCTGCAGCTCGTTCGCCGCATCGATGCCAAGGCCCTTCTTTTCGGCGATAAGCCGTTTCAGCTCGCCGACTGTAATGTAGTGGCCATCGAAGGGCAAGTTGCTGTAACTGAGCTCAGCACGGAACTTGAAACGAATATTGCTCGTCATGGTGAGAACTAAGAGGTCCTAGTTTGTGGGCTGGGATTTCAGGCGCCCCCTGACGCCCAAGGCGCCAGAGGGCTGGAGTCAGTAAAGCCTAAGCAGTCCGTGGCGATGTGGTGCAGCCCTGCCAATAAAAATGCACGTAGCAAAGTAGAACGGCTTAGCCCCAATCAACGTTGGCCTTTCAGAAGGGTTCGTCAGACAAGGAGGTCGACACTTTAACCTTTAAATGAAGCCAAGCACATGTGTTTGCTGGAAAGTCACTCTGATAATCGTTCTAATAAGCAGCTCCTGTATATATCTGGGAGGACGGCGCCGCCCATGGGATGAGCACGGCATCGCAGGTTACCCCTGCACGGCACTGGATACAAAATGGCACGTTCATACGCACTGATCTCACTATTCTTATACATAAGGTATATGCTGTATCACAGCTACCTTCCATAGCTTTGAATCCGGGTACCTGCGCTTAGCCATGGCGGCTGACGGCCTCATGTGCGAGGGCGACCACCTGGTCTTGGATGTCAACGGCGAGAAGCTGACATTTGTCCAGAAGCTCAAAGCCAACGGGTAAGTGCCACGAGCATCCCCGCTGTGTCTCGGCGGCTGTCGCTCGCCAAGCAAGGAGTGTTTCTGTCGCATCAGGGCCTGATCTAGTCTCTCTTTTCCGCAGCACTATCCGCGTTGGAAAGTATAACGTACCCGCTGCTCCGCTGGTTGGCGCCCCATATGGAGCCCTTTTCGAGGTCTCATCTGATGGCAGGAGCCTGCAGCGCGTGCTCTTGTAAGTTTCAGTTTCACCCGGATCAGTTTGAAGCCATGGTCTTTGTCTCTTGCTTCCGTAATACGCAGCTCCTTCCAGTTCTTACTCCGCCCTGCCATAACCCGCATTGCCTCGTGCTCTGCCTGTAGGCCCCCGCCTGACGAGATCACGCGCATCACCGAGACCGAACGCGATAACAGCAACCTGTTTGACCGCAACAATGAGAACCAGAAGCTCACGCAGGAACAAATCGAGGAGCTGAAGAAGTCGGGCAAGGTACGTGGATCCCCTGGAATGCTACCCTGACCGCAAAGTTGCCGGACTGCGTTTGTATATCCAACAGTGCCCCCGCTACGCCAGTCTTGCGCATATGTCACCATGTTCTGACAACAGTGTCACCAAGCTCTGACCCACCTGTGTGCTGCCCCCCAAAGGCTGGTTCAGAGATCATCGAGGCCCTTTGCAGCAACAGCGCCACATTCCAGGTGAGGTGTGGGCTTCAGGTGGGAGTCCCCGGGTTCCCGGCAGAGGGTTGTAAGGGAGTGAGGCCGCGCTGGCTTTGTAGCTGGCCATCCGTGCTCTTACCCTTGCCTTCCCTCACTAATCCGTTTTAATTCCGTTTTCTCCCCATTTTCTCCCCCCAGAACAAGACTGAGTTTGCGCAGGACAAGTACAAGCGGAGGAAGGCCAAGAAGTACCTCACCTACCTCACAGTGCGCAAACCCACCGCGAGAATCGTCTGCGAGGTGAGGCCGTGCGGGTTGCGGCTGTCGTGGGGTACACGATTCAAACCCTTAATAAATCGTCAATGTTGTTGCTGCTGTTGTTGTTGTTGTTGTTGTACCTCTCTTGACCGCCACTCTGCTTACCCGCATCCCGGCTCCCCCCCCACCCCAACTTGCCCACGAACAGGCCTTTTACGACAAGTGCCCCGAGCGCGTGTGGCACCTGCGGCACGACACGCTGGCGGTGATGCTCAACCTGGCCAACGTGGCGGCGGGGGCCAAGGTGGGGGCGGTGCGGGGGAGGGGGTGGTGGGTGATAGGTGGCAGAGGTTTATAGAGGAGGTATCAACTGGAAGGGGAGAGTGAGCGGAATGGTGCACATGCATGAGAACAGCGAAGCAGGCCTAAGTCGAGTTGCACCCTGCCCGTCCTGTGGCGATGTGACTCTAGAGGTCCTGCGAGAGGGAGTTTCAGGGGCGCGAGAGATTTGCGGAGAGCGAGTTTGTTTCGTCTCGCTTGCCGCTTCCGGGCCCCCGAACAGCCAACCCGCATCATTCCATTACTACAAATTCATCCATTCGTACAACGTTTCGCAACATTTCGAAAACACACTGCACATTGCCATTTGAGCACCACAGGCCATGCTAGGCTAGCATTCCAAACTTAGCTCGGCTGTTGCACCTCCTGTGCTGCTCACCGCTTCTTACCTCTCCGCACCCTCCACCCTGCTCCATCCCATTCGTTCGCGCAGGTCCTCGTCGTGGAGCACTGCATGGGGGTGGTTACTGCTGCGGCGGTGGAGCGGTTGGGCGGCATGGGTGCCGTGTGTGCCGTACAACTGGACGAGCGACCGGTGGGTGGTTGGGGTGGTGTTGGCCTGAGTCTCTCTGATTTGGGTTGAGCGCGTTGCGAAGTGGGCGGGTTGCGAACCGAGAAAGCCAAACTTGAGGGGTATCTTGCTTCCTGAGGCCACTAGGCCAGTAATGGATTCCTTCGTCGGCGGCTGAACATCCGCAGCAGGAGCAGCAGCAGCACCAGCGTCGACATCAGCAGCAGCACCTGTCCTGGCTGACTGCCGCCTCCCGTTCTGCACCTGCTCTCTGCTGTCCCCTCTCCTCTCTCACAGTGCGACTCAATTTACCTAATCCCCTCCTCCCCTCCTCGTGCCCCACCAGGCCCCCCTGGACGCTGTACGGCAGATGAATCTGGATACGCAGCAGCGCTCCGTGCTCTTCACCGCACTGGCCTCCAGCCTGCTGAGGGACAAGGTGGGTTGGTAAAGAGGAAGTGGGGTGGGTTGGAGCGGAGGAGGGAGCCGTGTTGGAGGCCCGGGGCGAGGTTGGTGTGAGGAGTGGGGGAGGGGGAAGGGCCATGTCGTCGTCTCGACACGTCGTCCCTGCATGCAAAACACTCACCCATTGTTGTCGTCTATGTCTAATACCGCGGCGCTTGCACCCTTTGCGTGCTCCGCAGGAGGGGGCGGCTGCTCGTGCGCAACAACTGCCCGACAGCACCGCAGCTCCAGCAGCAGCTGCACCAGCAGCACCAGTCGCGGGTGGGGAGGAGGCGCCGGCAGCCTCCGAGGCCATGGAGGTGGACCCCCCTGCTGCCCCGGCTGAGCCTGCAGCAGCAGCACAGGCAGGGGAGGAAGGGACGACGCAGGGGCAGTCTGGGGAAGGTCCCAGTGGCGGGGCGGAGGCGGCGGCAGCGCAGGACGGACCGTCCACATCGGCAGCGGCGGAGGGTAGGAAGGAGGAGGGGGTTGAAGGGCAGCAGCAGCGGAGGCAGGGTGGCGGAGGAGGAGGAGGAGGAGGCGGGTACGGCTCCTTCTTGCCGCGACCGGAGGTGCTGCAACCCGTGCTAGCGGCAGGTGAGAGTGCGCGGGTTGTGTAGAGAGCTGCGGGGCAATGTCTGGCGTGTAAAGACCTGTAGACATGTAGACGGGACGGTCTATCGTTACGTCATGTCCTCGACTCTCCTCATTGCATCCAACCTTGTCTACTATCTCACTCCGCCCCGCTCCTGCCCTCCCCCGCAAAACCCCTTCCCCCAGGCTTCGACAGCTGCCTGGTCGCCCACCCCCGGCTGCACCCCACCGCCCTCCTCGCCGCCATCTGGCCGCTCCTGGCGCCCTCGGCCTCCTTCGCCGTCTTCTGCCCCTGGGCTCAGCCCCTGGCGGAGGCGCTGTCGCACCTGCAGGCCTCGCGCAACGCGGTGATGCTGCAGCTGCAGGAGAGCTGGCTGAGGCCATACCAGGTGGGGGCTGAGCGGGGTATGGTGGTGCAGTTTGTGAAGCCGATTGCCGTACTGTACAGCACCAGCAAGCTGTCCCATGTTTGGTGCCGCCTGGTTGCGTAAGTCGTGTATCTGACCCGTCCGTCCCCTTCCCTGTCCCTTTCCTGCCGTGTCCCCCTCAGGTGCTGCCCGCTCGCACGCACCCGCACATGACGTGTACGGGCACGGGCGGCTACCTGCTGTCGGGGGTCAAGGTGGCGCCGCCGGATGCCACACCCCTGCAGGAGCAGCTGACGGCGAACCAGCAGGGGCAGCAGCAGCAGCAGGGGTGCCGGGCAGAGATGTTGGGTGCGGCAGCTGCCGATGTGCCTACTGCCGGAGAGGGGGGCAATGGGGATGGCGATGCGGGAGAGGATGGGCAGGCGGAGGAGGCGGGGGGTGACGACGGGGAGGGAGGCCGTGGGGGAGGTCGGGGAGGGGGGCGGTGGGGTAGTGGGAGCCGGGATAGTGGAGGAGGGGGATGGCGCGGGCGGGGCCGGGGTGGAGGTGGTGGTGGCGGCCGCGGGGGCTGGCGGGGTGGACGAGGAGGGGGCGGCGGTGGAGGGGGCTGGCGGGGGAAGCGGAAGGCGGATGGGCCGGGTGGATCGCCTGGTGGTAAGCGTCAAGCGCAGTAGTTGGCGGCGGTTTGTAGCTAGGGAGTAGCATGAAGGGGGGGCTGCAAGAAGCTAGTGTGATGAGACATGAGAGAGGCTACATCGCCTATATGTTCGGCACATGTTACACGTGTTACCAATCTCCAACCGCTAATCTTACAAGCACCGCATATCCGCACGTTTCTTAACAGCAGTTGCCACAGTTCCAATGCCATGAGGCGGGCTCGTAGAGTTCCGGCGGGATGCTTGGGCTAGCCGCTAGTCGGCTGGTTTCCTCGAACCCCCTTGAACACTACACCAGACCACAGGAGCTGGGCCGTCGTCCGGACGGTGGGAGGGTCAAAAGCTGGATCGAACCGCTATCACTCTGTCGCAGTTGCTTTGGCAGTCCCAGACGCCGCCAGTCCAGAAGTCCCTGACACACCGCCGGCTCACTTGAGCAGGGGTTGTTCCCCGCCATTTCACGTGGGCAGCTGAACCGTGGGAGAAGCAGGCCCCGTGCGTGGGAGTCTCTACCTCCATCTCTCCGTGCACCCCTCCTCCACCTCCAGCTCATACAGCCATGGACAGCCAAGCCGCAATGAGCAGTGTTCCCCTGAGGGAGGTGTCGAAAACACTCAGCAACGAGGGGAGCACAGCAAGGCTGCAAGGGAGATACACCACTGCCGCCATGATGGCCAACAAACGGTACCGGTACGCCACCAGGGCAGACACATGCGGTTCAGCGAGTTACTAAGTGCTTGTAGTGCGCAGTGCCGTACGTCGTACACACCCGCACTCACCCGTACGACGCTGTCTTGGCGGCCAGGGCCCTATCCTCCTGCAGCGCAGCTGTGTAGCCGCCCCCGCAGGAGAGCGCCAGGCCGGCCAGCGTGAGTCCGCCCACCAGGCCGGGTCGCCTGGGGGGAAGGAGCGATGGTTGGATGGAGGAGGGTGATGGCTGAAGCATACAAGCATACGAGGGGCTAAACAAGGCGTTAGAGACTGCGTGCAACTGTTGCCAGGGACGCGTTTCACCACACCAGCTGCTTCCACAAGACTACCAGCGAACCACCAGACACCCCTCTATGTGCATTTACAGCTCCCTGTGCCGTACATCCTTTAAGCCAGCTCGCTTAAAGAGCTATCGTACTGGTTGTAGTACTGGTTACCCACCTTGTGATGCGGTCTGTTTAGAGAGGTGTTACTTACACCCCTCCTGCCCACCTTGTGATGGGCACTATCCCCAGCAGCAAGCTGTGCATGAAGTGGTAGTTGTTGGCTCGCCGGTAGACCTCCTGGAAGTGGGGATCCTGCACGTGCGGGAATGCGACCAGCAGCAGCAGGGCCAAACGCCCGTATCCGATTGATCCCTGGTACGGGTACTGGTACGACAGGCCAAGACGGCCGCGACGGAGATTATAGCTTGATTGGACATTCATACGAACTTTACTTAGCCAGTATCGCTTGATGTCGGTCCGTAGCATATCGAAGTTGCAACACCAGCATCAACTTGCCTCTGGCTTGAAGCCATGCGCACTGTACGCGCAGAAGCCGATGGCTGATGCGCCAGAAACCGCTGATAAGCGGTGCCAGATGCTTACAGCTTTAAGAGGTGCCGTCATTGCAGATACCACTACTGTGTCTAAGTGGACTTGTCAATCTACCGGTTTGCTTGGCGCTCGAATCAATACAGCCAGAAGGGCTATCGCAGGCTTGTATAATTGGAAATTAGCAGTACAGGAGATGCGTAGTGAACCAACGCGTTTGTTATGATGATCGCGCGCAGCGCTGTTCGAGCGACTGTTGAATAGCTATACCTCTAAATGCTTGAAGGCATAAATACGCGATAATTTACACAACGCCGTGACGTTCGCAATTAAGCCCGACGCCTAAGCTGCAAGAAGTAACTCGCTACTCAACCTTTTGTCATCATCAAACCATTAACCGACGACCCCAACCCAACTTCCTCTTACAGCCTTCCAGGTATGTTTATTTAGTCGAGAACCCCTCCATCTTTCAGACCGTATAGATAAATCTCCTTGGCAGCCCAACCTGCTTGCGGTAAGACCCACCCCTGCAGTAATGTCGCTCCCTTCTTCCCCCTATGCCACACAGCTGCCCAGTAACCCCTTGGCCAACAACCCCTCGGCGGTTAACACACCCCTGCCTACGATAACGATTTTAAGCCCGAGCACGCTTTAATGGACGCAATCTTCCTAGGCCCCACAAGACCGGTCAACACACTCCAGTCTATCATCAGCTGGCCGGGTCTCGGCCACGTGTCCGGACCCCTGCCGTACATGCAGCCCAACATACAGCAATCCGCCCACAAAGCGTTTGGTCAGGCACCCCAACACTGCGCGCATGTGTGGGCTGTAACGTCGAAAGGCCCCTACGGCATCCGGGTTAGGCCTTTTGTAATGTTACATGAGCATGCATGCGCATGGGACCTCGGATCCGCCTCTCCCACGTTTCTTCCAACAGAGTTGTCCAAGGGCCCTTCCCCCTGTCCCAAGCGCATGCGCAGAGCTCTACTAAGCTGGTGCGCAGGTTTGGTCCGGTTGGAGTCATCAGCTGATGCGCTGCCCGCCCGCCCAGGGGGAAGCCATACATGCAGTGAAAAGGTTGTTTGTAACTAACAATCAATGTCAAATGCGGTGTTGGAAGAGGTGTGTGATTCCTAAATGAGCAGATAGCTACGTGTGGATGGAAGGGTTGCGATGACCCTGGGGTCACCTTTGCGGCAGACGGAGCATCAATCAGCGTCATATCATGCCACAAGCGCAAGAAATTATTCGTTCTATTGCAAGTCTACGTAAAGTTGTCCTTTAAAACGAAAGATCTCTTGTCACTAGTCAACCAGCCAGTGCCTAGTAAAGCTTGTAAGCAACAGGAGACGCAAGGGCGCAGCCTGATCACCTACAGTACTTGCAAGAGACGCATCAAACATTCAAGCGGAGGAATGAGTGCAAGCAGAAGTCGCACCGATGGCTTGGGTCGCTTTCCGGAGACAGCGATAAAAGAAGTCCCTCCTCGGTCATCTCAGGTATGCGTTTTGCACCTACGTTACCGGTACCGCCTTTTGCCTTCCACCTTGCAATGCATGTCTACTTGTCTAGTAAAGAGCACTCCGAGGTGCCCTTAGTTGATCGCTTCGTTGTTCCTGTCATTCTGCATCCCCGCTTTCTGTGACCGCGCGCGCGGCAAGCAAAAAGCACGACTTACAATCCCCCTGCCGTCTATCGATGCAATCCTTATAAGTCATCGGACCTGCATGGAACCACTTAGCAGCATCACACCGCCCGTGCTGACCCCCGCAACGCAGACGAACCCTCGCACCACCGCAGCAACAACGACAACCTCTGCGCCAGCACCCGCACCGGCAGCTGCCAACAGCGATGACCGCGGCAACCCCGCCGCCGCCCCCGATCCACGCGACGCGGCAACAGCGCCCCCACCCTACGCCCCCTCCACCCCTGGCTGTGGTGACGTCGATGCCAGCCAGCAGCCCTCCTCCGAGCAACCGCACAACCGCCGCCGCCATCAGCAGCAGCAGCAGCAGCACCAGGAACAAGGACAGCAGCAGCACCAGCAGCACCCCAAACGCCCCCGCTCCTCCTCTCTGGCGCTGCTGTGGGGCTTCCTGTTGGGTCTGCTCGCTAGTGCCGCAGCGGTCATGCTGTACATGGAGCGGCAGCAGCTGCTGGCGGGACTGGAGATGGTGGCGGTGGCGGTGAGGGCACCGCAGCAGCAGCAGCAACAGTCGCCGCTGCTCCCAGCCGAGGAGGCAGCAGCAGCAGGAGCAGGAGAAGGAGCAGCAGCAACAGGAGGAGCAGCACCACGGGTCTTGCAGCAGCCGGATCAGGAGCAACAACAGCAGCAGCAGCAGGGGCAGCAGCAGCAACAGCAGGCACGGCAGCAGGGGGTGCGGCAGCAGCAGCAGGGGCGGCAGGCGGTTGGGTTAGTGAGCGCGGCGCTGGCAGAGGCACGGAAGCAGTTGAAGGACGCGGAAAAGGAGGTCAGGGCGGCGAGGGTTGAGCTGAGTCGCGTCGCAAAGGAGGTGGAGTACATGCGTGATGCGGCGGCAGCGGAAGCAGCAGCAGGTGCTGGTGGTGGTGGTGGTAAGTGGATTGGGAGGGTGGGCGGCTGCAAGCGGGCACTGAGACGGGTGCTTGCGTTCACAACGGACGAGGCGGAGGCTGGGAGCCTAGGTGCAAGGGTGGTGGAGGAGAGGAAGGAGGCGGGGCAGGAAGGAGGGGTGCTGAGGAAGTGGCGGGAGTGGGCTGTGGAGACGAGCCGGGAGGGAGGCCGCTTGCAGCATTGCGTGAGGGTGTTTCGGAGGGGCGAGGAGAGGAGGCGTGGTGCGTGGAGGAGGGGGGGCTGGGCGCGGGAGATGCAGTTGTGCTGGAGCGGCGATGAGGAGTGAGAAGTGATAGATGAGGAGGGAGGTAGGGGTCCGGGTACGTGCTTTTGGGAGTGAGCACTTGTTGGTTGGGGGGGGGGCTCCTGCTTTGGTCTTTTGGACCCGTTTGTTGTTGAATGACCGTTTACAACGGTTTCCCTTTTTTGTTGCCGACAGGACTGTAATAGTTGTGTCGGGCACGTTGCGGATGTGTCAATGTGCCGAAAGTTGGCGTGGAATCCAAACAAAGGAGGGTGTTGTGGATGGGCAAACGCTTTCTGCACCTAGTTTGACACACCAAAGGGGTCAGAGCTCATGTTGAGATGTTGAGCGGTTAAGGAGTTGACCAAATTGACAGAGATGTGCTTGGCCTCACAAACCTTGGCTTCTCGGACATGGCGTGAGCCTAAAATGCATATTTTGCAAGAAGCGTGCAAAGGCTGGTTGGGGTCTCCTGACTCTACATTACACGCCCTGGACCCCGGGTTCCCTATTCCCTTGATACGCACACACACCATCCGATGCGCTACAAACGCGATGGCCACTCGGTGCGTGTCCATTACAGCTTATTGCAACCGCCCCGAGACCTCCTGCAGCCGCGTGCTGAGGGCCCTTGTTGTCAAGTTGCGACGCCCATCATAACGTCCATTGCAATACCACACGGAGTTTGAACAACATTGTCCAGTCGGCAAGCATGCCTCTGGAAAGAAAGGTTGGCACAAATCATACAATAGCTATATCGGTTTCTGAACTCCTGTGCAAAGGAGCCAAGGCCTCCCATGCAAAAAAACACATGCATGTGTGCATGCATATCATCTCCACGTTCATCCATGACTAGGCGCTTCCTTGTGCTGCTGCTGGGGACAGCCGACCCTTGTACACACCCCGCACACACCGCCCAGCCGTGCAGCCCCCTCAGCAGCTCAGCGCCCGCCAGGGCAGCGCCGCTACCCGCCCCCCCCCCCCCCCCGCCCCACTGCCAGTACGACAGCAGCTGCGCAGCACACGACCCCCTGCGCCCGCCCCGCTCCTCTCTCCGCCCACCCCTTCGCCGGTCCCGCCAACCCCTCCGTTCTGAGCTCCGTGCTTACATGGCGGGTTACAGAGCGGTGGCTTACATGGTCGCTTACATGGCGGAGGCTCACAGCGCCAATGACAGCCACGCCGCGATGAGGGTCATACCGCTGCCAGGGGGGGGGGGGAGAGGAGAGGAGAGGCGGGGAGAGGAAAGGCAGGAAGGGAAGGAAGGGGCGCGGGGGGAAGGGAAGGGAGCGTTGTCTGTTGGCACAGCTTTGGACAGGCCCACAGGCTATTGTACCGGCTGCTCCGCGGGAGTGGCAGGCAAGCGGTGTGCGGCAAGGCAGACATGCAGGCAGGCAAACAAAGTAAGAAACCCCTATAAGCTTCACTCAAGCGCACAAAGCCGCATGCGCAACCATCCCCTCTGCCCCTGTTTACCCCGCCCGTCCCCAGGACGCCCTCATCTCGCTCCCCTGCACCATTCCGCATCCTGCCCACTAACACAACGCTAACAACGTTGCCGGGCTCTTCCTTTCATCCGGGCTCCTCCTTTCCAACCCCCACCCCCCTCACCCGAACGGCGCCAGTTTGGCCCAGGTGCGGTTCTGCTGCAGCGCCACGGTGTAGCAGCTGCCGGAGAAGAGCGCGATGCCGGAGAGGGCCAACCCGCCCACCAACCAGGGGCGGCTGAGGGGGAGGGAGGGAGGGGGAGGGGGGGAGGGAGGGAGGCAGGAGACGTCACGAAGGGGGAGGGGAAAGAAGAATACCCGAGGGGGGAGGGGGGGAGAGGAGAGGTCACAAAGAAGAGAGGAGGGAGGAGAGGGGCGTGCAGGGGGCGGCGAGTTGGGGCGGGGGACGATGAGAGGTTGGTGGGTGACAGAGGCTGGTTGGGGCCCTGCGGATTCGTACGCGCGTGTATGACAAGATAGACATGGCTTGCGAGATACCCCCTGCACGACCCCTACACGGCCGAGAAGTGGAGGGCAACCCACCGAGTGCTGGGTGCGATGGCCAGCAGCAAGCTGTGGACGAGGTGGTACAGATTGGCGCGCCGGTAGACCTCCAGGTAGTGGGGGTCCTGCAGTTTGGTAAGTCAGGAGGAGGGAGTTCACGCCTGGATAAAGAACAGCTAGGCACAGATGCACGAGAAGCCCTAGACATGTGCATCCATCGCTCTTGGAGGCAAAGGATTAGAAGCGAGGCGGCATGCGCAGTTGTAATATGTATATATATGTTCTTGCCTGTGGTTTAAAGCCATGAGCTCCATAAGCGCCCATTCCGACAGCAGTTGCCCCGGACAATGCCGCGATACGGAACCAAACGCTTCCAGCTTGCAAAGCTGCAGCCATTCCTGCTAATGTGAGAAAGTCTTGGCCCCGAGAAGTGGACTGCTGACACCGTCAATGGCTAAATTGCGATTCCCTGCACCAAAGCCGGTCGCTAATTGAGAGTAATTTTAGGTAAGGAAGCACTGGTATGCCAGTGTGCAGTAGTGCTATGCCGCGGACCTCTCGTATAGATGAAATGAGCAGCAGTGAGTGCAGCCTTCGCTCGTAAGGCATGCCGATGGTATCCGTAACCCTACCGGTACGGCATCACCAGGAAGGTCACAGCTCCTAAGCATGGTTTCCCTTACCGCATGAGCCCTTGTGGCTATCGTGAACGCGTGATTACTATATGCTGCCGCAAGGTTTGATGGGCTGCGCCCAGTCCTCCGGCAGTCCTTGTACTGCACGTACGGTTGAACCTGGACGGTATAGTCGAACGGATGGCGGTGATGAAGTGGCACAAAGTGCTTGGAAGGGCAGGCTGCCTGTGGAGTTCGTTAACGCGTTCCGGGGGTTGGGTCCGGGGCCAACGACTGACGCATCTGCCAGGGGACATGTACGGACATGGATATATCCATGGATGTTGCAGGGGAACCTCAAGTTGTGATGCGCGTTACAGAGCCGTCCTATGCACATATGATGGATTATGTGGTCCTGGTGTATTGTAAAGGAAGCTTGAGGTTAGCCCCAACCAGCTTGCTTGCGGCATGGGGCAAGGCTAAGGGACAAACGCTGTCTCCAGTGCAGGCTCGAAAGCTCAATTACCTCGCATCAAAATCGATTGGGTACATACAAAGGCTGAGCGGTGGTGTCGGTGGGGACGGCTGCGTGATGGCTGTTAGGGGCACGCACGCGCGCTATATGACCACATGTGTACGACCAATGAACCAGCAGGATAAGCACTGCAAAAGCGTGAACATACAATTTGTTTTAAACTAGTGCATACTTACTGCTCCACGGCTCCTTCACGTTGCCCGATTATCGACTCCCAGCCGGATCTGTTAGGGTGAGGATCTAATTGCAACTTTGCGACAGCTTAGCACCTTCATCTAATACCGAAGCTTTAATATATCTAGCTAGCTATTGTTGAGGGCTGACATTCGGCCCGCTGCTGGCTTACCGCTTAACGCAGGACTTCGTTTGGGAATCGCGCTGCCGCGCACCGGTAAGCATGTCGGACAACGAGATGGAGGTGGAGGAGCAGCAGGAGGAGCAGCAGGCTGGGCCTAGCAAGCGGGGCAACAAGTCAGGCAAGCGCTTCGAGATTAAGAAGTGGAACGCTGTGGCGATGTGGAGCTGGGCGATTTGCACCGATACATGCGCCATCTGCCGTAACAACCTCTACGAGCCCAGCATTGAGTACCAAGCAAACCCAACTGGAGACCCAGATCACCCCGGCCTGAGCATTGCATGGGGAGTCTGCGGGCATGTCTTCCACCTGGACTGCATTCAGCGATGGCTCAAAACGCGTAGCGCCTGCCCGCTATGCAACAAAGAGTGGGAGTTTGCGAAGATTGAGAAAATCCTACCGGGAGGCGGTGCGATGGGCCTAGAGTGAGACAACTGCGTGGTGTGTTTGTGCGTGTGTGTGTTACACGTCTGTTACGAATTTGTTTTCCCAATCGTGGGGGTTGCAGGCATGGGAAGTATAGGGGAAGGGGGTAGGAGGGTTTCTGGGTAGGAGATGCCGTTAGTTGTAAGCGCCTCTGAATGCTAGATAGGGGTATACGTTAGGCTGGTTGAGCAAGCGCATGCACCGCTGGATGGGTGTGATATCAGCCAACAGCCCTAAGGACGTAAGTTGGACTAGGTGGGCTAGGTACGGGCTTAGGGAGCGAGGAGCTGGGTAGAGCAGGAGGAATGTGTTGGGCCAGGAAGCTGCTAACGCAGGCACTGCTGCAAGCGCTGCTGCTGGTGGTGCTCGATGGTGGTGCTGCAGGGCCCATCCGAAGGTTGCATGCGTCTGGGTACATAGGGGGGATTAGCGAGGTGAGGGGGCAGCGGAGGAGGAGCCGCACAACCACGCGTCCTAGCCCCGGAACGGGAAGTCCGCTCTACGTTTGCGTGTGTGGGGTTGTGTTGGCTGGCATACTATCGTTCGGGGGGCCGCTCGTGTTTTGCAGTGTTGGATAGGCCGTTCCTAGGCGGCTTGGTCGTTCTGGATTCGCGAGGTAGTGCGCTGCTGCCCGTTGCTGAGGCACATCCTCATACGTTTATCGGTAGCTGTATTCTGAGCGGTTGTGCCTGCTGGCGTTTCTTCGCACGGCTTGCTCTGCGCTGTACGTCCCTCATAGGGACCCGTCGTGGGACCAAGAAGGACGGGACAAGGGCTCTCGGGGCAAGGGGGCCCCCGCGGCCCGCGCTGACGCGTGTTGCTGTGGTTCCTTCGCCTTGCGTCCTAATGTGGGCATGTGGTGATGGTCTGCTGTGCGGCACGTCACTCGCTGGGTGGCTAGCAGACCAGGTGTTGATTGGACATGCGGCATGCTGAGGATGGCACGTTGAACAGGCGAGAGACTTCATGACGTGCGTGCCGTGCGGGGTGCGTGTTAACAGATGCGTGGTATCAAAACTGGCCGCGAGTGTGCGGCTGCCGGGGGAGCGTGATGATGCGCATGTGTAAGACATGCAGTGCAGCGCTGTCGTGGCTCGTCGGCTGAACGGGTGGTTACAGTTCGCGTTTCTGTCATCAGCCATGCAAAACCATGTGTGCTGGCGCGTCAGGTGGAGTGGGTAAGGCCGCAGGGCGCTGTAGAGAGAGGCTGAAGAGACAACAGCCGCATGGCGTCGGTACCTGTACGTGTCCCGGTGGAGACTTGCGCAGCCTTTACATGGGAGCTGCTGGAACCGAAACCAGACCTGGCAGTGAAGAGAAGTTTTCGCAAGATCAGATTGCCGGAGACAGACATGATGCGTGCGCATCATCCCTTCCTGCTTACAACCATATCATTGCCAAAGCCCAGGTTCCTTTCCAAGAAAGGGTAACATCTATCGTCCTCTCCGCTTCTTTTCCGCCCAAAACTGTACCACAGTTCGGAAAATCCGGTATTTTCCTGGGTCCGAAACAAATCTTCCTCCACCTGCGCGTGTCAACACGGCTTGGGTTCCGACCGGCGTTGCCGCCCAGCATGCTTGGGCAACACGACACCGCCCCTTTGCGCCATTGCTTCTTTCAGCTGTCTCACCGACTAGCACAGCAATCGCACAGCACACCTGCTACAACACACCTCCAGCGTCCTCCCCTGTCCTCCGGAACAAGGCTCCAATGCCTGCCACGAAACCACGGACCAAAGCAAAGGGACAGAAAGGAGGACAACAACACCTCCCTACCAACGCACCAGTCACTCCACCAACCGCTCATTCCGTCACTCCATCTCAGTCAGCTCCCTCAGTCATCAAATGTGAGCACACAGCGCAGGCACTCCCCCGCGTGCAGCAGCTCGAACGCCTCGTTGATCTGGTCGAACTTCATGTTGTGGGTGACGTACTTGTCCAGCAGCGTCTTGCCGGACAGGTACTCGGTGACCAGCTCGGGGACCTGAGGAGGGGGGTGAGAGGGGGTGGTAAGGGGGCGGAGGGAGTGAGTGAGAGGGGGCGAGAAGGAGGGAGGCAGCACGAATAGGGTTATACTTGGAACGAGGAAGAGGAGCAGGCGTGCGGGCGTGTGAGGCAGGCGCACAGCATACACCCAGGCAGCTGCAGATAACACCCCTGATAACACCCCGGTGTTTCCCGCCGGTGCCCGCCACCCGCGTTTCCCCGTGTTTCCGCGGCTCAATCCCCATCTCTCGTATCCCCAACAGCCCCCCCCGCCCCCGCACCTGCACCCTGCTCTTGTACCCGCCGAACGCGGTTCCCATCCAGCGCCGCCCCGTGACCAGCTGGAAGGGGCGCGTGCTGATCTCCTGCCCCGCAGCCGCCACGCCAATCACAACAGAGGTGCCCCAGCCGCGGTGCGCGCACTCCAGAGCGGCACGCATGACGGCGGTGTTGCCGATACACTCGAAGCTGCGGGGGGGGGGCGGGATTGGGCGGGTGGATAAGCGGGCGGGTGCGCAGGTAGGGAGATGGGGTGGTGCATTGATGAATGGTTAGGGGGATGAGAAGGACCTTTCTACTCGGCAACTAATCTGGTGCTGCGCACAACCCCTTTCCCACCCCCCTCCCTCCCACCCCCTACTCACGTGTAGTCGCAGCCCCACTCCGTCATCTCAACGATCACCTGCGGGCGCGGCGGCATGAAGGGAGCGGTGACAAGTGAGCCGCAGCGACGGTAAACAAACCAAGAAACCAAGCGGTCGCAAGAAACTAGCAGCGCCCCCAAGCCAACCGCTCCCTCCCCCACAAGCTTCCCTCGACTCTCCCTCACTACCCCCTCCCCTCCCTCGCCCCCCCCCTAACCCCACCTGCTGAATGGGCTTCTCATGGTCCTTCGGGTTCACACACTCCGTCGCCCCAAACTCCTTCGCCGCCGCAAACTTGGCTGGGTTGATGTCCACCCCGATGATGCGGCTGGCGCCCGCCCGCGCCGCCGCCTCGATCACCGCCAGCCCCACCGCACCCAGCCCAAACACCGCCACAGTGCTGCCCGGCTTCACCTTGGCGGTGTTGAATACGGCGCCCCAACCCGTGGACACACCACAACCCAGCAGGCAGACCTGGGGGTGGGGGGGGGAGGGGGAGGGGGGGAGGAAATGATTGAAAAATGCAAACCACCGGCCACCGGCCGGTTCAATGTCGCAACCCATGGTGAAGCCTCGTCATACAGTTCGTCAGTTTCCTTACTTTTACCCCCCCCCCCTACCCCACCTTCTCCAGCGGCGCGCTGGTGTCGATCTTGGCCACGCTCTGCTCGTGCACCACCGTGTATTGGGAGAAGGTGGAGGTTCCCATGAAGTGGAACAGGGGCTGCGGAGGGGAGCAGGGGGGGGGGTGCATGGGGAGGGGGGAGGAGCAGGGTTGCATGGGGAGGGGGCCGGGGAGGGGTGAGTGCGGGAGCAATCAAGGATGTATGGGGACAAGCACACGGGTGCGGATCGGGAGGGAACTGGGTCAGCGCTTCCGCCGCGGAGACAGCCTCCGACGAGGTTGTTTGAGGCAGGTGGTCGCGGGTACTGTCCTACAACATCACGTCAGGAGGGCCCCCGGGCCGATACCCGGGTCTTGCTATCCATCCACCCTGCCGACTACTGTGCCGCCGCCCCCCTCTCGCCGTTCCTACCTTGCCATCAGCCGTGAAGCGAGGCTGCCCGTCTGACTTCATAACGCCCTTGCCTGCGGGCGGGCCGTGATGGGGGGGATGGAGAGCAGCTTTAATACGCCGTACAACACCGCGGCCATCAGATGGCAAGAAACCCCGTGTGAGTTGGTACTGAACTCCCTGCACCCCTCCTCCATAGCTCCAGTAACAGTGACATTGTCTTGCCCTCACCCGCCCCGCCTCCCCCCTTAATGACCCCCCTCCCTCACCCGTGAATGCGCGCACGGACACGCAGAGGTTGGACTCGGGGTGCTTGCAGAACTTGCACTCGCCGCAGTAGGCCTGGTAGCAGGGAATGACGTGGTCGCCTGTGTGTGTGGGGGGGGGGTCAAGACCATGGCGGAGGGGTGGCGGGGCATGGGTGGAGGGGGGTGGCGGGGGCAAGGGTGTGTGGAGGGGGGTGGCGGGGGCAAGGTGAGGAGCCTGGTGGGGGCCGGGAGTGGGAGGCGACGAGAGGGGCCGACAGGGCGGCCGATGTGGGTCGGGGCAGTGGCCCCGTCAGGAGGGCAGAGGAGGGCGTGAGACCCCTTTCGCGGCTCCAATCGACCCTCCTTCGCGGCCCTGATCCGGCACACGCTCGCATGGAGCCTCCCTGGGTCCCAGCCCCTCCCCCCATGATGACGCCTTATCACACGGTCACTTCGTTGTTCCCCCGGCTACCTGCTCCATTTACCCCCCGCCCCCAGGCTCCCTGCTCCCTCCGCGTGCGCCCTACCCGGCTTGACGGAGGTGACCCCCTCGCCCACACTCTCCACGATACCGGCGGCCTCGTGCCCCAGAATGCAGGGGAAGAGACCTGAGGGGGGTTGGGAAGCGGGGCAGGAGGGGAGGCTTGGCAGGAGGGATGTGTGAGGCTGGGAACAGTGCGCACGGGGGTTGGGAGATGGCAGGCGGGCGGGCGAGAGGAGGCTCAGCCTGGCAGAAACACCAGCAGCAGTGACAGCGAAGATAACGCCAGGGGAGGGCGGAAGCATATATCGGTGTGCCAGAACGGTATTCGATCGGTTGGTACCCATCCGTTAGGCGTCGCGGAAGGCTGAGAAGTCCTAGCGTCGTCGGCCCTAATAAGATTTGCGCTGCGAGCATGTACGCTTGCGACTATATACTCTTTGACTAATACATGGCAAGGAGACCAGGTCTTTGCAGGACACAAGCAGCTGTCCAAAAGCTACTTCGCGGCGGCATCCGAGCCAGGCCGTGAGGCCTGGCCTGGCAATCCGTGCCCTTCAAGGGCCGCAACTCCCAAGCAATCCTAGGGATATATTATGGGCGATCTCCGCCTGGTCATCGTGCAGTAAAAGTCGCCAACGGAAACCTAGGGTGTGACATCCGAGTACCGAAACAGTAAATCCCAAAGGCTACGCATAGTTGCCATTGCGCTTACCTTCGGGATCGAGGCCATCCAGCGTGTACGCATCCTGGATCAGATGCGGACGTGTCGCAGCACAGGGATGCGAAAATAAACGTTAAACAAGTAGGTGTTCCTTTTCACAAGCTTGGAGCCATACGATATTATAAACGCCAGTAAACGATGGGAGTGTATCCATCCCAGCTGCTGAACCGAGCCTACCGTGTGGCACAACGCGGTTGCAACTATCTTAACCCGAACCTCGCCCGGGCCAGGCGGAGCCACCGTCACAGTGCGGACTTCAAGTGGTTTCTTCGCCTCCCATGCGATAGCTGCCTTGCATTCAATCGGCTTACCAGCCGTCTTCTCAAAGTCTAACGCCATTTATCTAACAGGTATCAGAAGACGGGATGTGGTGGCCTTCAGGACTAAGGAAAGAAAAACTGATCGCCTTGCGACATAAAAATAACCAGAACCGGTTGTCATGTCATGGCATGATGTACGAGCGATGGAAAGTACGGCGCGTAAAACGCGGGTGATGGAATGAGGGACTTGCACCCCTATCCTCGTTGAGCGTGGGCCACCCACTAGTGCTGCTTTAATTTCAGTATACCTCCAACGTTTATACAACCTGTTTGGAGGGGATTTATGACGGTTTGAACCAGAAACATTCTTAGAGAATGGGGCGTTTTGATCCTCAACACAGCAATCTTTACTTAATGGAGCTATTATTTGCTAACGCCTGGGCTTGATTCCAGCGCATCAGCAGCAAAATTGCAACCGTGGCGTCCAGTGGGGAGCGAGTGCACCTTTCAGCAGCGACACCAACCACTGCTATGTCGGAATCTATTTCAGCTCGGCATAAACAAGTGCCTCTTCCTGCTGTAGAGCAGGTTGAGAGCCCAGCCCAGCCGCTTCGCCAGGTATGAACAACCTCATGGCCAACGTAGAGCTGGATTGCAGAGCCATACTTTGTCGAACATAATAAGGCATACCTTACTCTCTCGTTTCAAGCAATTGCTAACGTTTACGCTGCATCCTATCCTACTGTGCAGAGGGATGGTCACCTGGACAGGCAAGGCGTAGGATGCATTAGTGCATCAGGGCATCTGTGCGCATTGGGACGTGTACCAGCAGCAACTGGTGTGCCGCCTCGCCGCTCGGGCTCTGCCGCTATGCCAAATGAGGTGTGTCGCGGTTGACGAACCTCTGAATGCCTTATACCAGAACGTCTTTATCCGCATGGTAATTAGGACTGATGCTATATACTCGCTAGGGCACCGAACGAAGTGTTTGCATGCTCGGCGGAAATTTTATTCCTGTCTGCAACCGCACGACTCGCCGGGCGGCCGTATATCCACGCTTTTGGGTGCCTACTGCGCAAAAGATAAACGATTTTGTACACCTTTAGCAATGCTTTCGCTGTAACCTAGGTCATCCTAAGGTTTCTGAATTTCTATCGTGTGACGGGCTACGGTGCTTCTGTGCCTACATTCAAAGTGGCAATCACATTCCCAGAATCAGAGCTAGCTATTGAAGGACAGCCGTGTATGGCCCAGGTGCTGTAGTAGGCTACGCTGCCCTTTCACTGGCTTGCATGTCGGTTCTGCTAGCTAATTGGTTTCTACCCTGTCTCTTTCGCACTGCCTGCGCTGTTTTCTAAAACAAATTGCCCTCATTATCCAACCAGGCAAGCGGGTCAGGAGGCAATCCGGGGACGACCAGTGCATTGCGAACGCCCCAGGTGAGGGCGGGCCGAATGACCTTGCGGGCTGGACATTCCCTCTACGTCGGCATTACAAGCTTGGTCCTGCCGCATGCGTCGTGGCTGAATCGACAACGTTTCATAGAACCCTAACGTTCATCGTTTGGGTTTCCACACCCTGTCCCCTACGCTGCAGAGCACTGGGAAACCCAAGCAAAAGGCGGCCTCAGCTAGAAAGGATCCAGGGGGTCCAAAACCTTCAAGCATTGCGCTTGCAGAACAAGCATCCTTGCCGCAAAAGGTGTGGTTGTTTCCCAGTCCAGATCTCTACAAAAACCCATTTGCTAACCCGAATCTAACACGGTTTGTCATAGCCCCGCATACGACGGTGGGACCAGCTGAAACAACCCCATTTACATCCATGCTTATCCTCCTCCTTCCACGCCACAGGGCTCTGCTGCGGCATGCGAAGGGCGCAACAGCCAAGCGTCGGCGTGGGACAGGAATGCCGGCAACTCCCGCACCATGGCTAAATCCGGGCTTGATAACAACAACAACGACGACGAGGTTAGCATGGCTGAACTCGACGCGTGTCTCGCAGCGGGCTCTGCCAGCATCGAGGTGGTACTGCCTGTGGCTGCCGCGGCCGCTCCCGCCGCCGCTGCTGCTGTCGCTCCTTGCTCTGCAGCAGCAGCTGCCGCCGTTGTGTCACAGTCGCAGGCGGGGCAGGGCTCCGCTGCACGCTGCCGCATTGCCCGTGCCTCGCCGGGTTGTTCCTGGGATGGCGGCCGGCGGGTGGTGCGGTGTCAGTCACCCATGGAGCTCTGCATTGCAGTACAGAGTGCGCAAAAGCAGAAGCGTGCCGTACCGTTGCTGGCCGGTGGTTCGCCCGTTACGGCTGCTGGGTTTAGGGGTGCGATTGGCTCCGGCTCAGCAGCAGCGGCTGCGCCGCCGTTGCTGCGGACCCCGCCGCACGGCGGAGGTGTCATGGCTGCAGGAGCCAAGCCCGTGACTCCCGGCTCTGCGCAAGTACGGTTGCAGCTTCCGGAGGCGTGTCCTGTGCAGAGCATTCGGGCAGCAGCAGCAGTAGACGTCCAGGGGGCTGCAGCAGCGGCGGTTGAGGGGCACCGCAGCAAGCAGGGAGCTCCTCCCGCAGCAGAGCAGCAGCTGCGACGCCCCAACGCCGTAGCAGCTCGTGATGAGGCTGCTGCTGCTACTGGGGCGGGAGCCGCAGCAGCAGCCGTCGTTGCTCCTTGCAACAAGGCACCAGCTCGTGTAACCGCTGTGAGGTTTTCAGCTGCGGAGGCTCCTACCTCGGCGCATCGGCAGACCACACCCTCTGGTATCGTCGCTACCGCAACTGCTGCGACTCCTGCCGCAACGTGCGCGGCTCCAGGCGCCCCCACAGCGATCGCTCGGTCGTCAGTCGCGCCGCCCTCTACAACCGATACGAACGCATCGCTAACCATCGCCCAACTCGCGGTGATGGCCGCTGCCCGAACCCAGGAACCAACCAGGCAGGAGCGGGTGGAGCGGACGGCGACCCAGCCCGCTGCTGCCGGCCCCGTTACAACGGACAAGGCGGCGGCGGCGGATGAGGATGCGGCGGCTGCAGGTGCCCTGCAGCTCAGTGGTGGCGACGACGGGGACAATGGTGCGGTTTCTCCGGCGGAGGAGCAGCAGCAGCAGCCGCAGAGGGTCAGGGACCGTGCGGCTGTGGTGTCCAAGGACACTGGCGAACGGGCGCAGCGGCGAGCGGGCGGGCGGGGCGGACGAGGCGGGCGGAGAGGCGGAGCCGCAGGCGGAAGAGGTAGACGCGCCAGCGCCGCATCTGCGGTTGCCGCGGAGGACCGTTCACGGTCTGTGACCCCGCCGCCCACCCTACGTGGAGCTAGCCAGCCAATGATCGACCTCGCTGACAGTGGGGATGAGTCATCACCGGACGTTCCCATTGGGAAACTGGCGGCAGCCACTGCGGCGGCGACGGTGTCATGTGCAGGGCCGTCCTTGGCGTCCTTGGCTGCTGCTGCCCCTGCTGCTGCTGCTGTAGCGGCAGCGCCAGCGGCGGAGGCTCCTGCCGCACAACGGCGTCCACAAGCCGAGGCTCCAGCGGCTGTCGCCGCCACCGTCAACGCGACAGTGACGCCGGCAGTCCCCAACCGGCGTGTGGCTGCCGCCAAGGCTGCGGCGGCCATCGCTGCAATGGCGGCAGCGGCGAGGACGCCGGTCCGCTCCTCTCCCGGTGAGGACGCGTCGTCTGAGTCGACTGAGTCGCCCCCGGGCAGTTCAGCGGAGTCCTCGCCTGACCTGCCCATTGGTCTGTTGGTTACCTCTGCCGCCACAACAACGACAGCAACCACCGCCGCCGCCGCCCCTGACGCAGCTGCCAGCCTCGCGGTTGGTACGGACACGGTTGGTGAGGCCCCAACAGCTGCTGACGGGGCCGTTGCTGGCGTCAACTGCAAGTCGGGTTCGAAACGGAAGCGGCAATCGCCAGAGCCATCTGAACCCCAGGAGCCTGATGCGGAGGCGCAGGAGGTACCGCCTGGTGCCATGAAGCTCGCGACTGCCCAAGCAAAAGACGTGGGCTCATGTGCCCCAGCTGTTGCTCCCGCGGATGGGCAGGGTTCTGTTGCAGCAGCGGACCCGCAGTTGCATGCACCTCCTCATCCGCCGCATGAAGCGTTGCCCAGCACTGCCCCCCAAGGCAGCAGCTTGACCACTGCTGCTGCAACTGCTACTGCCGTAGCCACAAACGTAGAGCAGCACGCGGCAGCTGCAGCCAGCGGCGCCGGAGGAGCGGCCGGTGTTCCGGGTGGACAGCGTGTACAGCTGGGGGCGCTGTGGAAGCGGCAGAGGACAGGTGCGGTGCCGCCTCCGCAGCCGGCAGCGACCTCGGGGCCGCTGGGGCCGAGGTCCGTGGCAGGTAGGCTGTTGCCGCGGCAGCCTGGCGGTGCAGGAGGGGCGGCAGCGGCACAGCGGTCTGCGGAGTCGCAGCAACAGCAGCCGCACGCGGTCGGTGCGGATGAGCGAGTGGGTGGAGTGGGGCACGGCGGAACAGCGTTGGACATGGGAGGGATGGCACCGGTCGAGTCGAAGCGGGATGAGCGGGTTACCAACATATCTCGGCAGCCGGGGCAAGATGAGGAGGCAGCATTGCAGCAGCAGCAGCCAGAGCAACAGCAGCAAGAGCAAAAGCAGCAGGAACACGAGCAGCAGCAGGAAAGCAAACAACAAGCGCAGGAATCAGGCTCAGCTCAGCAGGCTACCACTAAGACGACGCAAGAGCAGCAGGGCGCTCAGCAAATGCAGGATTTACAATGTCGGGTCGGCGGCTTACCAGGCGCCGAAAGCACGATGGACGTGGACGCGAATGAGGAGGTGCCGTTGTCATCCTCACAGCCCGGTGAGGAAGCCGCAGCTTCTCAACCGCCGCCGCAGGAGCAGGAACACACCACCAGCTCACAACTCCAACCGCAGCAACAGCAGCAGCCTGCCCGGGCGCACATTCGCAGCGCTTGGAAGCGGCCTCGTCTCGTTGTGGCGGCAACCCCTCCGTCTGCGTCACGAGCAGCTGGGCCCGGTCGGCGTGCGGCGTTGCTGTCTCGGGCTGGCGGCCCAGCCACCCAAGCAGCAACCGCAGCTGCTGCCGCACCGACAGCCGAGTTGCTACCTGGTTGCTCCCAACCGGGGTCTGCTGCGGCCGCGGATTGTGTGGGTGCAGTTGACGACATGCAGGTGGATGGCGGGCTTGGCGAGATGGCGGCGGTGGACGGCGAGTGCAGCATCAGACTGCAAGTCCGCCAGCATACCGGTAGCAAGCTGGATCTCGATACGGCAAACGAATTCAACACGGATGCGTGCCAATCTGCATGCAATGCAAGCAGCAACAACGGCCCTTCCAAGCCACCAACGGCCGCCACCACCGCAGAAGCAGCAAAGATCGAAGTCCTGTACCGCACCCCGCCGCGACCCACACCAGCTCGACGGCTCCCTGGCGCCGGTCCCTCCGCCGTCTACAACAGCCCCACCGCTGCAGGCGCTGCTGCAGGTGTGGGAGCAGCCCTCGTGGGGTCCGGTGGGATGTCCCTAGGCAAGCCACCTCGCAGTCCCGGTGATGCGCGCGTGTCGCTGTCGCCCTCACCGCGCATGTGCCCCTCTCCCTCACCCTCGTCTCGCGGGCCGCCCGGGGGCTCGGGACACCGACTTCGGGATCCCTCTCTGCACCCCTCTGCTATGGGTACGGCAGCAGGTACGGCAACGGGCGCTTCGGTGTTGTTGGGTTCGCGGCTGGCATCCGGATCGCTGTCACCCTCGTCCTCGCCGCTGCCCAAGCCCAACCTGGGAGCGGCGCCTGGGAGGCCGCCATCGCCCGGCGTGCAGCCCCGCTCGCCAACAGATGGTGGCAGCGGTGGCGGGGGTCTTGGGTTCCTGCAGCCTCTCGCGCCCATTCGCACCAAAATCGAGGCAGCTGCAGCTGCTGGTGCCGGTGCTCCTGCTGTCCTCGTAACCGCCGCTGCAACGGTTGTGCCTGCCGCTGCTGGTGTTGCAACTGCGGCGGTGGCTCCTGCAGTCGGAGGTGTCAATGGCGACCCGGCGGAGTTTGGTGTGCAGTCCAGCATTGTACGGGCGGTTGAGGCGCTGCTGGCGGTGCCCCTGGTCACCTTGGACGACGACTCGCCGGTCTGTGAGAAGGGCGAGTCTCCTTCTGGGGCTCACGCGGGTACTGCAGTAGAGGAGCCGGCAGTAGGGAAGGTACTTGGTGTGGACATGACATGCAGGGGATCCGTTAACGCCGCCGCTGCAGTGGCGGGTGCGGGTGCGAAGGATGCTGTAGACATGCCGACGGAGGGGAAGGGGGCGATGCGGGGTTCTCTGGATCGGCTCTTGGAAGCCGCGGCGACGACCCATGGGTCGGCACAGCAGGCAAAGGAGGCCGCTGCGTCATTATCGAGGGAGGTGGCCATGGTGGATGTCGTACCGGTGCCGTACACCGGTGCTGACGCGGACGCTAGCAAGAAGCATGTTGCTGCATCGAGCGGCCAACAACAGCCGAAGGCCCAGCCCGCGCCTGGCACCGCAGCAGCAGCAGCAGCAGCAGCACACGACGCCGGCGGTAACGACCCGCCCTCAGCGGAGCCCAAGCCCCTCCGCAGCGCGTTACGGAGCACGCAGCCCTTCTTCTCCGCTCCAGGGAACTGGGCCGCGGCGAGCCATGCGGCCCCCAGCGCTAGTCTGGCCCCTGGCGTCGGTCGGGTGGTGGCTGAGAGCTGTTCGCTGGTGTGTGAAGAGCGGCTGGATGGAGGCGGAACGCCCTCCAGAGGGACGCCTTCCAAGCGCGGTGGCCTAGATCAGCAGGGCAAGGCGGCCTCGCCGTTGCCTCCGCGACCCCGACCCGCGGGCAGCAGACTGGGCTTCGATCCCAAAGCTAGCCCTCTGGGCAGGCAAGGTGGGAAGAGTGCTGCGGCTTGCTGTTTTACTTGCTCGTGGTAAATGTATTTGCACATGCTAACAATGTGTTCGTAGACCTACGATGGCCTAATGATGTGGCATGATGTGACATCCCTTTCCCCCGATGCGCATGGTGCCTTTGCAGCCACTCGGCCGCTACAGCCCTCGGCTCCCGGACAGTTCGACTCGCCGATCCAACCCCAACAACGCACTCCAGACGGCTACAGCACGCCGCCATGCACCTACACCAAATCCCGACTGGGGCATGCAGCAGCACCTGCATCTGGCGGAGGTGCAAGCGGCGGCGGGGGTCCGTCCAGCTGGCCGAGATCTGTGTCGTACCCGGGGCAGCAGTACGACATGATGATTGAGGATGTCGTACAGCAGATGCTGAATGAGGCCAGTCCGGATCCGTTACCACCCCTGGAGCTAGGTCCCACGGCAGGGGGGGCTGCGTCGACTGGTAACACGAACACTGGTGCTCCCGGGGGGGCTGCTGTTGCGGGTACAGCAACCGCTATCCCGGCGGTGACAGCAGCGGTTGTAGATCCGTCAAAGGAGGGTGTCACCGGCGTTGTCGCGATGAACATGCCAGCAGCAGCAGCACCAGCCAGCAGCCACCACCACAACAGCAATGGCACCAAGGGTCCGTCGGACGGAGCTGATGAGAACGGCGAACCGTTGCTGGCGGTTAACGGGGTGCCGCACCATCACGCGGGTCATGCGGAGCTCTCGCCGAGCCGCTGCTCCCTCCCGCCACCCCGTCGCCGCTCCATCTACCTGCCCTCGCCCACGCAGCCTCCGCAGTCCTTGAAACGCAGGCGGCTGGAGGAGCTCGAGGAGCCCGATGGTAGCGTCACAGCACTGGCCGCATCCGCATCTAACGGTGCTGCCAACAGTGCCGTCGAGGGGTTGCAGGCCGGCCATGTGGCGGGGGCGCCAGGGGAGCCGCAACAGCAGCGGCAGCTACCTGCAGGGGTGGTGCCTCGCAGGAGGCGACCGAGGAAGGCTGCTCGTGTGGAGGGAGGCAGCGGCGGCGCAGTCGGGACGGCAGCTGGGGAGGCGGCTGTTGCGTCGTCCTCTGACCGAATGGATACGGATGATCTGAATGGTGCTGCTTCGGGATCTGATGCGGAATCGGAGGACGATATGATTGGCGGTCCCGGCCGCCCTACTGAGGATGCTGCTGCTTCTGCTGCTTCTAACCGTGTCAGCGGCACTGCTGTCGGCCCCGCAGTAGCAGTACCGCCTGGCAGCAGTGCGGGACTGCGAGCGGGAGGAGGAGGTGCAGCGGTGCGCGGCAGCGGGGCGGCTACGGGGCCACAGCAGCAGCAGGCGCCGTCGGTGTTTGCCGCGGGCAGGACGATGCCGTACAGTACCCCTGGCGGCGGCAACTGGATGAAGCCCGGGCTGGCTTGGGGAAGGACAGCAGCAGGTGGGGGTTCTACTTGCACGCCCCCTCACGATGTCCGGCCAATGCCTGCTCTTCTTGACCTAAGGTCACACCGAACTTGAACATTGTTGCTCTTTCCAAGGCTGCGTCGCTTTTCCCAATCCCTCGGGTTATGAGCTGAAGACACCCACGCTCCTTGTCATGGCATGCCCCACCGCAGGTGTTGCCCCGGGCGCTCATCACGCGTCAGGACCCGCTGTTCGCAGCTCCCCTCAGCTCATGCGCCCCTCAGTCGCCGGCCCCTCCCGACCCTCGCCAGCTCCCCTGGGCACCGCCCCAGCGCAGTCCCCAGGGCTCAGGGCTTCCCCTGCCGGCTCCATCCTCGCCTCTCCTGCTGTCATGGCAGCACGCAACGGTGCAGCTGCTGGTGGCAGTGTCGGCGGGGATCCAGGCGGCTCGCCGGGAGATGCGTTGTTTGATGTGCCGCGCGTGCTGAGCATGCCACGTGGCTCGGTACCTTCGAAACGACAGAATTCTTACCTGGTGCGTGGCTAAGGGACAGCTTGCGTCGGTTATGACGCAGTTGGTTTGTCAACGTCTGCTTTTACCTTGCGCGCCCAACCTGGTACCGACACTCTCTACCGCCCCAACCGCTTTCCCACTCCTGTGTCCCTCAACCTCTGTGTCCCGCACCCTCCGTCTTTCCCGCCCAGAGCGCTGCCTCCCTTGAGGCTGCCACCGCTCGCCCCACCATCGAGCAAGTGTATCGAGAGGCCTTCATCAATGCACGGCTGGCGCAGGCCTGGGCGGAGGGGGAGCGATGGGCGCGATGCGACCTTGCCGGGCTGCCTGTGGTGAGCGTTGCGGTTGGGTATGTGTTGCAGTTGGGTATTTGTTGCGGTTGGATATGTGTTGCATTCGTGTTGACGAGTGGCGTGTGACGCGGTGGGTTGTGTTGGGTTAGGTTGGGAAGGAGGTGGAGGGCGTCGCATGGTGGGATGGTTCTTGGCATTCATCACATGCCTCGTTGTGTGCTTGCTAACCGTGCCATGCAGGATATGTCCAAGAGGGGGCTTACAGAGCGGCTCGCCATGTGAGTGGAAACACGCGCTTTGCTGTGCATGGGCTTCTCAATGCGGTTGTTGAAGCGCTTGTCCTGAAGCCCTTCCATGCAGGGAAGCCTCGTCCCGTTATGTGGCCCCTGAGCCGTGTCAATACCGCTGTAGGATATGAAAATGGCATGCCGTGACGCCCATTGATATGCATATGGCTTGAAGAGCGTTAGCGGGAGCGGTACAGCAGTTACGGAGATACCGTGTGACTTAAACCACGCATGTGCGCCCGATTGCACCCTTGTCACGACGTTGCAGGTTGGAGGCTGCGACCGCCAACCTCAACTGCTACCGGGGCGCGGAGGGGGCAGCCAAGATCATGGCGCGGGTGAGAGCGGGCTGTGCTGGATGATTAGCTGAATGCTAATTTTTAAAAAATCTCACGGCCGCACAGCACGTTTAATTTCATGACAGCCTGATGGCTTCTGCCCTTTCGAATGGGCCGCCGGTAGCCGTTACAGATTCGGTATAGTGCCTGGCTTCACCCCTTGCGTTGTACCTTGTCATGCTTGCTGTCTGCATGGGGCTTCTCAACACTCCATTTCGTCCCGTCATCCCCTCTGCCTCTCCCGTCTCTTCCTCTCCTCCCATGCGCAGATTGAGGGCGAGTGGGTGTACCTCAAGAGGATCCGAACAGCGGCCGCCACCCGAACCTCCGCTCGGACCCCCTCGGGTGCCACCCCCTCGCCGGCGCTGTTCTGCACCGCGGGGGCAGGCGAGGACGCCGCCACCCGCCGGCCGCCCCACACACCGCTGCCCTTTGCGTCTCTCACGCAGGCGGCGGCAGTCGGGGCGGCAGCCGCGGCGGACAGGCAGGCGTCGGCGGAAGCAGCTGCTGCAGCAGCCAGTGGTGGCAGCAGCGGTGTTGCCGGGGCGGCGGTTGCGGTTGCGGCTGGTGAGGCTGCTCCGGTTGGGGAGAAGCGCACCCCCGCTGCTGCTGCTGCTGTTTCTGCAATTCCGGAGCAGCCAGTGGACTCCTCGTCCCAGCAAATGCAGTCTAGCGACGACAGCGCATCACAACCGCAGCCTCAGCAGCAGCAGCCACCTCCCGAGCATCAGCAGCAGCCGCAAGGGGCCTCGCAACAGGCGCCAGACGCAAGCCCTCTGCCCAAGCCTGTTGACGCAGCCTCAGCGGCAGCGGCCGAGGGCTTTGGCACTCCGCTGCTCCGCGCCCCAAGCGGTGAACCTCCTGCGGACGCCACGCCTCCGGTCGCCGCTCCTGGCGGCGCAACTAGCGGTGTTGCCCCAGCTAGCCTGCTGGCCCCTCGCTTCGCTTCACAACAACAGCAGCAACAACAACAGCAGCTGCTCACGCCGCCTCCCAGCATTCTCAAGGCAGCTCCCACGCCGATTGCCGTGCGGGGTTTTGCGGCTGTTGGGTTTGCCGCGCCGGTCATGCCCGCCCTCACCCCCGGTTGCGGAGCTCCGGCGACGGGTGGGAAGAAGGCGGTCAAGTTTGCTGCGGTGCTGGAGTTGGGTCCGCAGTCGGGGTATCGGCAGCCGATGTAGTGCCGCCGCATTCGCAAAAGCAACAAGAGCAGCAGCGGCAGTTGGGAGCACTGGTAGCTTCCGCGGGTAGAGATGTTGCAAGCAGTTTGTAGCTTTTTGGAGCATTAGGTGTTGCTTGGTAGGTAGGAGTACGGTAGCATGTACGGCAAGAGGTGCATGAGTCAGTACTGTGCCGTACGCAGCCGCAACCGTCGAACAGAGCTCAGAGTAGTAAAAACATTCGCGTTACTACGGTAGAGTAGGATAGAGAGAGACACACGGCAGTAGAGGAGGAAAGGTGGAGCATGGTTGCTTTTCCTGAGTGCAGCAGTGGATTGTAGTCTCTCTATGTTTGGGAGGGGAGGCAGTAGTTGTCAGAGGTCTTGCCATCAGGCAAGGATTGTATTCTATTGCAGCTTTTTTAAGGGAACCTTTTCATCATGTTTTGCTCTCTTTTTGAGGAAACGCTGTGAGCTTTACGTAGGGCGGTTGCGGTTTGCAGACACGCCGTGAGACGGCCGTATTTTATGATCTAGTGCTTTTGCTCCCAACTCGGACCCATGCGAAATACAATGGTTAAATACCAACAAGGGAGACGCAAGAGGAGGAATCTGCGTGAAGTGCCGTCGCAGGTACGGGAACGCGCAGTATTGCAAATGGTTGCTAACTGGGGTATGTGTGGCTCATTGGTACGGGGAGCAGTATAGGCCAGGAGTAGGATGAGATACGGTATGTTTGTCCGGAGGGCAGCGTAGTGCCATCAGGGTTATTGAAGCGGGAATGCAGGCCCGCAGGTGCGACAGCAAGGCAACGTGTTGGACGCTAACGATGACATGGCAAGCAGTATGTCCGGCTCCATATTGTGTTTTATGCGGTGGTGTTCATAGCAGATGTCGTTCTTGCCGTTAAGAGGTTGCTCCAGTAATACCGGTAGGCGGCAGTTGCAGCCAGCGGGTGTTGCGTGGCGGAAAGGCGAGGGCTGTAGGCGTGCGGGGGGCCCTGTAGCTGAACGTTAGTTAGGCATTTGGCATAACGGTGACCCCGGCTTGTTTACCCCATGAGCAGCAGCACTTTGGTTGCAAGTACCGGTACGGCATATGCGCGTTTGCACATACCATACTTCTTACTTGGCAGCGACTGGTGGTACGCATTATACAACAGACCTCAACAGTAGTTCCTAGGCACCTAGGGGTCTTTCGAGACGCGAGGCATCTGGAACGTGGGTTTGAGACCTGTCTCTTTTTACCTGGCTGACTCTGTGTAGCATACGATATGTTACCAAGCACACTCAGGACATTATGTGGCAGGTGCGACTTCAGGCTTCCCATAGTAATTGAGTCCAGGCCTAGGGAAGCTATCACCCAATTTCTTCTGGGCTCAAATAACATATCAAACCATGTGTCTACAGGGTAAAGAGTAGATCACTTGGACCAGCTGAATCGCAATTGGTGCTGTCGTCGGTTCGGGCTTTCCGAGCCGACTCGCCAGACGCTGAAGCTTGCGGAGAGGGGGATGGCGTCGACAAAGTCGGAAGCAGCTCTGCAATCAGTGATTCGCCAAAGAGGTCAAGCGGGGAGCAGTCTTCTGACATCGACAGGAGCAGACTTGCATCGAATCCGCCTATCAGGGCATCGCAGGTGTGAAGCACATACTCTTTTAGTAACCCCTGAGGCCCATAGGGACGCTTAACAAGCAGCTTATCGGCCCGTCCCCGGTTGGTTTCGGTGAAGTGCTTCACCTCGTCCCCCATCCCTCTCTCCCCTCCTCCGTTCTCCTTGCAGCAGCCCCCAAATGAGGGTGAACGGCGGAAAGTCTTGACACCTAGTCACGATGAGTTCACAGGCAATGTTGCCACGCTGCTCGTACGGTGGCCTCACCTGCCTACGCAGCCTTCAAAGCAGCCCCGCAGCTGGCGTGAGGTGGTAGACAACGACCGTTTCATGTCGCTCTTCCCCCGTCGACCTACGGCCCTAACGCAGCACGCCATCAGAAACCTTCAGGTATGCCCGCATGGGTTAGGGTTAGGCCTAAGCCAACATCGAGGGCCTGTCGCCTGTGTAACCCTCACCCTCACGTATCTTCCGGTACCCTTTACCCCCGTATTCCTGGGACATTCCCTCTGCCTCCGCCCATGACACAGGCAACCCTAGCGGCGACGGCGGAGGGGCTCAACGAGGCTGGGGGCAGCGGCAGTGCAGCTGCGGGAGGCCCGGGTCCGCAGCAGGACCCCGCGGCTCATGCGGTGGTTTCGGAGCTCCTGGAACGGTTGATGGCGGTGCAGCAGCGCCTGCAGGTTGGTTGCCGTGCGTTAGGTGCCGGTTGGCTGCCGTGGTTGCTTGCTGGGATGTGGATGCCGGATGCGGAGGGAACCGGGGCAGGGAGAGGGGTTCGGCTGGGAGCGTGTGTACGGTTTGTATGCGCTGAGCAGGTGCCGGGGGAGCCCAAAGTGAGGTCCCAGGTACCGATAAAACCGAGTTTGCTGGCGTCTCCCGAAATCCCCGCCCAAGGGACTGCAGGAACTCATTATGGTGCCAAGAACCCATGCGTGTTGCTAGTGTATTGCAACTTTATTTATTGCCATCACACGTTGCAGGACTCCATGTCAGAAGACGACGACGGCAGCGGCGAAAGCACGATTCTGGCGGTAGCAGCGATCGCGGAGGAAGACGACGAAGACGACCTAAGCAACGGCCATGATGCCTCCAGCAGCGGCCGCTCTTGGAGCCAGCAGGCGAGCTACGATGATGAGGATGCCGAGATGCGAAGAGGCGCACATGCGCAGGGCTTCGCTGCCTCAGCATCAGGACTCCACAGCAGCAGCAGCAGCGGCCAGGAGACGGCAACAGGTGCTCAGCCGGACGGCGGTTCGGAAGGGGCATCTGGGTCGCGCAGGCTAGGGCGGCGGCTCCGGTGGAATCCCTGTCCGAGACGAGGACCCATTCGAACGCCCGCGCCGCCGTGGGACGATTGCCAGCCGTTTCAGACGCATGTGGGCACGGTGTATCACTTTTGGCGGCTATGTCCGTACGGGTGAGCTCCGTACGACGGCTCAATTTGGGACCTAAGCTTCAGTTTGTAAGGGGTTCGGCAGTGACTGAACGGCTGAAGCAGGCTGGAGGCTGAAGCATGCTGTGCTCAGGTGGACGTCGTGCAGGACAACGGATTTGCACGTATACCAGCGATTAAGCAAGGAAGTCGGATTGCTTACATAAGTCCAAGTTGCTTACATAAGAATAGAACGGTCAACCGTCGCCTATATGATGTACCCGGTACATTGCGTCGGTGTGAATATCTACAGCCATCTATCTGTCACAATATGAGACAGGAGTTCCACCGAAGTTATCCTAGCACACGCTTGGGTGCCAGTTCGTATGCGTTACACTGGTCCCATAAATCCTCCTCGTAACCAGCCCCCCGCGCACTGGTAAAGTAAAAACAAACCATTAGCAAATGCTCATGCATAGGCGCCATGTATGCATGTTGGCATGATGCATCAATGTCAGCAGTTCAATCAGGGGCAAAACCCATATGCGCCCTCGTCGAAATTGTACAGTAGCAAGTACAACAGTTAATGAAACAATGCACCTGCCAAGCCTCCAAATCGAAAGCCGCAGCTGCGCAAATCCTGCCTGAACCAAACCGCTTCCCCCCCCCCCCCCCGAGTCGCCCACTCCGTCTCATCCTCGCCATTCCGACAACGGTGAGCTGGGACTTAGGGGTTGCCCCTTCGCGTCCATAACTACCGCGCCAAAGCTGGTACCAGACGACGCGGACCCGCCTGACGACCCGCCGGCGTTGTGCGCATCAGCCAACCCGTGCCCGAGATGCTGCTGACTCGACTGCCGGTGCGGCAAAAGCGACCCTTTGGAGCCCTTTGCAACCGCCTGCCCGACCTTCAATAGCGATGCGGTTGACGACTTGTCCAACCAGAAGAGCGCCACATCTTGCCGTGGTCTCCGCGTTCTCCCGGTGCGCTGTTTCCGTTGGCACTGGGAGAGCAAGGAACTCAGCGGGTGCTCGGAGTCGTCATGCTCTAACGGGTCGTACCAAGATGCAGCTGCGGATGCTGACGCCTTCGCAGCGTGAGAGGGCTTATGTCGCGGTTGTTTCCCGCTGTAAGCAAACGCTTGAGGCGGCGGAGGCGGTGCTGCTGCTCGCGTAGGACGTCGTGACAGCTGGAGGCCCTGGTTTCCGCTTTGCTGGTACGATGGCAAGGTGTCGATAGGTCCGTTATAAAAGCACTGCGAGGATAACGGTAGCTGAGGTACTCTAAAAACAAATGGGTCGGCTGGAGGGGCTGAAGTTGATGGCTCGCTGTCAGGTTCAGAAGAGAAGACGTGCCGCGGGCATTGGAGCGCTTTAGGCGCCAGCCCAGTAGCCCTCCATAGCTGCATAAATGAAAAGAGCGATATACAAGTTATAGTGAGACAAGCGCAGTTAGGTTGGATATATTCCGGACTAGTCCCACCGAGTTGAGGCGGCGGTGACGCTCACAAGTTCCCTTCATAATACCCACCTGCAAGCTCAGCGCCGTGTCAACTGTAACGCGCTGCTCCTTAATACTGGGACCAGCGGCCATCTGCCGCATAGCGGCGGCAAAGCCGCACACTTGAGACGACCCGGGCTAGCACCTAAGCATGACATGGGGTAGGTTCAGGGCATATATACCAAGAGCACATTGCGCGAAGGTAAAGTGCAAAGACGTATGGTAGAAAACACTTGCTTTCTCAGGGCAACCTTGTTTCCAGGGCAACGTTGCTTCCCCCAACGCGCCGATCGCCTAAAGCCAAGTTGGCACTGCAGCTTCCCGTTACATTCGAAAGCACCAAGTCCCGCTATATACTGCCGAAGCAATACGCACCTTTAGGGCGCGTCAGAAGCAACCAAGCTACACGTTATCCTTCCCCAAGCGTTGGTATCCAGGTGCCAAGGACTCCAACAGACTCGCCGAACAGAGGACTTCCAAAGGAACAACCGGTGTGAGCTCAAGAAGCGCAAAAAGTATTGTTAACTCTGAGAGAGTGACAGAGAAACTAGAGCTTGATGTCGGGAAAGCATAGGACAACGAACATTGATGGAGTTTTGGGGTCATTTGAGTTTGGCGCGTCACTGGAAAGCATGAAAAAATAGTTAAAATACAATTTGTACAGCAGATGTCGTACACTGTGGGACAACGCCGCTGCCAAGGAAATGGAAGAGAGATGGTATGCGTTATCCTTTCCCTAGCAATGCTGGTTTCCTCTGCAGACGATAGCCTCGTTTCCTCCTAGAAATCACGCCCAGCGTGGCCCACACCTCACGCGGTGGGCTTCACACCATCGGGCATTGTGTTCTAACCGCCCAGATACATCTGATGTCTTGTGCAAGCTGTCCTCGGCATGATTTCTAGTAAAGCTCAATCACGGTACATTGCATTTGGCGGATGGCAGCCAAAGCTTTGCAAGAGGTCTCCATTCCTTGCAAAGTGTGGCATCTGTAGGGAGTGAACTTGCAGAAAGTTGTAAGGCGCAGTGGACATCTCCAGACCGTCCCAAGCAGCGAAATCGGAGGTTACTCGAGCCGCAGAGCGCTGTCTCTTCGTCTGCCTAAGCGCCCGCCATCGCCCCTTAGCTTAGGCTTCCCATCGGGCGCCCTGTGAGCTGCAACCGTAGGGTTGCGAACTCAGCGGCCGCTGCAGCAACTGCAGCTGCCCCATCCTCGGACACGGCAACACCCGCCAAATCCTTGTCACGGAAGTCTTCTGGTCGGCTCCGCCTCAGCGCTGATGTTACGCCGTACAATTGCTCCCGCCATGCTGGCAGAGGCGCCACATCCGGGCCGCACATGCGAGCCAGCAGGTCGTTATATGCAAACTGATCCTGTCCCTGCATGTGTGTGTATCTGGCACATGGGCATAACACGCAAGGGGGACGGACATACAGAAGGCCGGCATGCAGTTAGCCTGATTGGGGGATAGGCATATCAGCAGCCGTGTTAAGGGTGCCAACATAGCTTCAGGGCATGGAGTACAATTGATCCACATGCCTGCACCAGAATACGGCTCTTACCTCAGCGGCCGGCCCTGAGCCCGCATGGCCTCAAATTGCGCGGCAATGTCAGCCTCCATTTGCTCCTGACTCGGGAGGCTCGCCCGGCCTGACAACAACCTACAGCAACCGTATTTCGTGAGGTGTGAGACGCCGCGCGTGACTTGGCCCGACTGAAACTCAGTGGCCGGCCAAGCGGCCTACTGCACCAGCCACCACTGTACGACATGCCACACCAACACTGCACCAGCATGCACCATTAAATCATACCGGTATCTTGTCTCCTAGACTACACCAAATGTGTACGGCATCACGTACAACACCTTGTACGGCACCCTGCCCCCACCTGGCTATCAGCCTGCTCTGCAGCTCCATCTGCGGGAAGGGCACCACCTTCCATGGCAGCCCCACGAAGGACAGCCCGGGCGCCAGCGGCCCCGGCGGCAGCATGTGCAGCCACAGCGGCCCCACGCTGTTGTCGTGCACCCGGGCTGCAGCCGCCGCGGAGCCCCGCAGGATGGGGAAGGAGTACCTGCGGGGAGGGAAGATCACCCAATGTGTGGTGTGATAGTGGCAGTGGGGGAAGGGACGGCAGGCAGCAGGCTACCGGTATGTAGCGGATACTTCGGGAGGGACGTGGGCATAAGGCAGGCAGGCTACCAGTAAAGGCATGGACTACAAGGAGCGGCAGGAAGGTAGGATGGGACAGGTGCATGCATGCAGTGAGTACACGGGTGCCAGCCCCCAGGGGTACGGCGCCCCGCGCACACCTGTATCCGGTGCAGTAGATGACCGCATCAATGGGCCCCTCCCTGCGGCCGTCCTCAAAGGTTGCGGAGCCATCTGGGTGCAGCTCTGAAACCATGGGGAACCTGCAGCACACCCCACAGCAAGAAGCTTGCCTATCAACCAGGGCTCCTTACGTTGTGAGGATTTGAGGAAAAGCGATTGTGTTAGCCATTAAGCAACCATCTCGCCAGGTTTCACAAAGCTGCCAAGAGGCTGCAAAGGCGCTTCCGGTGCAGGAAGTAGTTCCTTGTTCTGTGGCATCAATCATGTGCGCTATCGCTACCTGTATATCTTGCCGCCAGTACCGCACGGCGCTGTTGCTGCGGCTGCTGCCTCCCCTGCCTCCTCCGCTGCCTCGCCTGCCTCCCCCGCTTTCGTGTCGTACTTCCATGTCCTGGCCGCCAGCAGTACCCGGGCCGCCCCCGCCTGACTGAGCTCTCGGCTGATGTCCTCTCCGCTGTTGGATGCACCCACCACCAACAAAACCTGGGGGGGGAGGTGTCAATTATGTGTACAGCCAGTACAGGGTGCAGAGAAACCACACCACAAGTGAGGGCAAGAGCAGGCAATGGGGATAGGAGGCTAACCGTCCGGCTGCTGTGTTCACGACCCCCACCTTGCCTCGCCACGGTTCCGGGGTCCGGTAATTGTGGCTGTGCAACTGCTGACCGGGAAAGGAGCTGTCAAACATGCCTCGCACGAACGGCAAACGTGGCTCGCTAAAGTGACCGTTGCAAACAACAACCGCGTCGTACAGCTCGTAACGTTGATGCGGCTCACATGCCCCAGATGGAGCGCTGCTGCTACTGCTGCTGCTGTTAGAGTCAACTGCCAAATGGCTCTCCGTGGATACCAGCCAAGCGCCGCTGCTACAGCTACTGCTACTGCTACTGCTACTGCTACTGCTACTGCAACTGCTACTGCTGCTGCTGCTGCCGCCTACGTTGGCTGCATCCCCTGCTACAGTTCCATCTGTTGCCGCTGCTGCCGTCGCCGTTGTTGCTGCTGCGTCCGCCGCCTCCGCTGCCGCCTCCTCCGCCAGCTGCACGGCGACGACGCGGGTGTGCGGTCGCAGCAGCGGTCGCAGCTGGAAGAAGTCCGCAAAGGCTTCCAAGTAGCCGAGCACCTGTTGGAAGGAAGAGAGGAGGGAAGCGCAGGCAGTAAACCGTTATACGCTTTTGTTGTCAAACGGCAACCGTTGCAAACCAGGCTCTTCGCAGGCTCGTCGCAACTGGCGCAACTCCTTACCTCCTGGTGACTACAGAAGCGGCGCGGGTCGGTGGAATACCTCGGACCAAGGAAGTCGGCATCAAAGGGGAAGTCGGAAAAGGACATTACTTCACGCGGCAGGTTTGTACGGAGGTTGACGTACATGCTGCTGTGCACGCGCGCAGAGGAAGGTCGCTCCGGGTCCGCGCCAAGCATGTCGGACGCCTCGATGCGCTCATCATAGCGCCAAACGCCGCCCACGCCAGCTGACTGTTCGAGAATGGTCACTGCGTGGCCTTCAGAACGGAGCTCGCGGGCAGCTACAAGGCCAGCAGCGCCGGCGCCAATTACAGCCTGAAGAGGAAGGGGATGGATTTGCCGGGGGATGGAACCGATGGAAGAAAGTGTGGCTAATGTCCAGTCGACTATACCCTAATGGCAATTTGTACTATGGTAATGATTCCGCTTTAATACCCAGCGCATAACTGGATGGCTAACATCCCTGGCTTGGGCGGTTGTCTAGCTCTAGGGCTATATGTAGCAGGGAAGCCCCACCACGCGTCGTGCTCGGCGACCAGCTCCCATTACACTCGATCGATCCTGATGAGACATTGAGCAAACAATCACGCTGTTAGGAATGCCGCGCGCGGTCCTGCCGCGTAGAATGCTCCTCAGTCGCTGCATTGTTTCGTCATCCCGTCATATCCGAAGTGCATTCGAGATCACCGTTATCTGACTAAAGTATACTTGCTACGCAGTTAAAGGGTCAGCGGAGAAAAAGAACGGCTTGCAAGCAAGCAAGGAAAGTGGATGTGACCCTGTTGTTCCTAACTCATCCAGAAGCAATAGGTGCTGTCCCGTTCGTGCGAAGTGCCACCTGATTTTTACAGATGAACTAACAAAGTTACACCCATTTGAGCTCGGCAACCGACGGCAAGTACGATAGTGTACAGCCACATGCAAACCACGTGTCAGGCCACGAGGCCTTCTGTTGTACATTTCCTGCAGTACTTCCGGCGTTCTTTTCAAAAGACACCACAGCTGTCAGTCAGCTTCCATACCCTTCCTCCTCAGCAGCAGCACCCACTGCCCTGCACCACGGCGGAGCACGCGGGCATCACGCTAACCCGACAACATCTATAGCCCTTCCTCTTCCCGTCTCATGGACCTCCCCCTTTTGTCCTCCAGCCTAGCTCCCTGCGTTGCCTACGCCTCTCCACAACGCCAAAGACCTAACAACCCCCACCCCCAACCGCTCAACAGACCCCCCTCGCTCAGTCCATGGCCGCATGGAACTCTCCTCCTCCTCCTCCTCCTCCTCCTCCTCCTCCTCCTCTCGTTGCTTCACTTTTCATTCACCTTCCCCTCCTCCTCCGTCCTAACTCCCTCGCTGCTGCGCTGCTGCCCCCGCTCGCGGCGACAGCATGGGCGGCGCCAGCCAGGGCGTCAGACCCAGCGTCTGCACCCGCGCACGTAGCGCCGGGCCCAGAGGCACCATGCCACCCCTGCCGCCCCCCACTCCCGCCCCCTGGCCCTCCTCCTCTCCCCCTTCCTCCGTGTCTGTTTCGGTGTCTGTGTCTGAGGTGGCGGCGAGGGAGGTGCAAACGGGCGCCTGGCCGGGCAGCGGCAACTCACATGCCACCTCCTCCTCCGCGGCCTCCTCCTCCGCCTCCTCAGCCTGCTGCTGCTGCTGTTGCTGCTGCGACTCCTCCTGTGGGGTGCAGCAGGGGAGGACAGGGACCTCAGGCAGGCTGGCTGGGAGCCACACAGTCCTGGCTGGGAGCCACACAGTCCCCTATCCGCTACCTACCGCGTTACAACCGCTACTCCGCTACTGTCCGAAGCCCCCCTCGTCCCCCACCGCGCAGCCCTGTCCCCCCACCCGCACCATTCCAGCCCATCACGACCACCTTCACTCGGCCCCCACGTGCAGCTCCCGCTAAAGGGTAACCAAGCGCGCGATACCCATTTGCTGCATTGCGCTTCCCCGCAGCCCCGCCCCACCCCATCCCCCACCTGCACCTCCCGCAGAAAGGCCAACAGACCCCGGCACGAGTCCTGGATGGTCCGGGCAGCTCGCAACACCGCCCGCTGGGAGGTGGGGAGGGAGGAGGAGAAAGCATGCGACAAAGCTTATTGCGATGAAGGAGGGGAGGTGTTAGGGAGGGGAAAGGACAGGGAGAGGTAAACCTCATGAGTCATGGATTGGGAGGCTGGGACTCTGGAGGTGACGGCAGAGTATCAGGGCTGGGGAAATAGGGAGAAGGCTGACTGCATGAACGACGAAACTATGAATCCCACCTCCCATGCCGTACTCTAGGGAGCCCTACCTCCTCTTCTTCTCCGCCAACATTGCCGTACAGCGGATCGTCAATGTCGTGCACATCTCCTTCGCCGCCGTATGAAGAAGACGCCGACGACCCGAACGACCCATGGGTCGCTTCATCCGCCGCAGCTGCAGCCGCCGCCGCCGGCGACAGGAATTCACCCAAGCGCCGTACCTTATGAGAAAACTGAGTGTTGCGGTTTACCAGCTCGAATGAGGACACCTCTCGCATCACATCTCCAGCTGTAAACTTATCCATGACCAAGATCAAATCGTACGACACTAGATGATGGGCTGGATCGAAGAGGCTGGCGGCGTGGTTGGGTGGCAGTTGGAGGCCCAGCGCTGCTGCTGCTGCGGCGGCGGCCGGCTCGGGTCCCTCACCCAGGTTGTAAGGGCGGGTGCCCTGTGAAGGAAGCAGCAAGGGCAGCGGGGTGATGTGATGCGGGACGATGTGATGTGATGTGAAGTGATGTCATGCCCCTCCTCGATGCATGGTTATGCAGCAGCTTGCAACCCGCCACCACATTCCCATCCGCCCAGGAGCCCCAACTAACAGCACCGCCTTGTCCTTTCACCTAGCGGCTTCCTAAGGCTTTCTCCTAAGGCTTTCTACGGGTTATAGTACCTCTACCTCTGACGTTGCCCCCCACTCACGCATGTGTCCAGCACCACCCTGCCCGCCAGTGTCCCGCCCTGCTCCTCCTCCTGCTCCAACAGCTGCCTCAGGCAAGCGGCCGCGAGCACGGAGCGGCACACGTCGCTCTCGCTCACGATCAGCAGGCAGGCCTGTCAACAGGGGTTGGAAGGGGCGGGGGAGGGAGGAGAGGAAGGGAAGGAGGAAACATATGCTGAGAGTGCATGGTAGGATTCAGGGTGGCATTCAGGGTGGTGCAGCTCTCCTGACAAGGGCGGCTCGAGCGGTGCCGTAATCTGCCGTACCTGCGGTTTGTCCTGCTGCTGCTGCAGGCGCTCCGCCTCCCAGGGGGTGGAGCGGAATACCGGCGTCACAGCCAACCGCTCAACGGATTCAGCGAGGGTGAGGGCGGTTGGGGTGGTTGGTACCGCTGGAGCCGATGGATCCTGCGGTCAGGCAGTGGGGCGGAGGTTGATGACAGTCATGTTCAGGTTGGGAGGGGCATGGACGTGGGTATGGGCATTGGTCAAGCAGGGCGCTGAAATGGGGAGATGGACTCTCCTTGGGAAACGGGGAACGTCACACGCAAGCTAACTAGCTTCGTAGTTCGCAAGTGGGAAGCGCCGAAATGTACGGCACAAGATTCGTTTGATCCATTCAATTGTGTCGAAGGAGGAGCTTTAGGCAAGACAGGCGATCGCTTTTGTAAATGACCAATCAGTGCTGGTTACGCTGGGTTACGCAAGCTTTTTACAGTTATTTTTAAGGTCAGTGGTTTCTGGGCACATAATCTACAGTACCAACATTTTGCATGTATTTGGAAGGACAAATACCGGTACGCGATTGGTAAGTAACGTGCGTCGGGTTCAAAGTTCCGAGGACGGATTCTATGCAAGCGTTCAGATACGGCTCTTCATTCATAATGTCAATACCGTTCTTGTAACTATACCTACTAAGCTATCTGGCTAGGGAACAGTGAAACCCATCGGCGGAGACTGGCTAAGCGACCGGTGTGGCGACGACCCGTCGGCGAAGGGGCGCTGCAAGCGTCTCAGTCGACCAGCCACAGTACAACCCTAGCTTTGTCTGTGTAAAGTTTAATTACCCAGCCACATGTGCTACTACGTCTGAACACGTGTTGGCGCCCCCCCGTCCACAGGCTACTCGCATGCAAGTTACGCACTCACCTGATACCGACACCTCGTGCTAATCATTAGCTTTCTACATGATGTGCGCTGAAGCAAAACACTCGTCGCAGCGTTCCTGAGTTGAGGCTGCAAATCCGTCGCCGATGGGGTGAATGCCCTGCAGCTCCAGCCACCGTTTCGCAAGGGATTGAGGGTCTGCATCATGAGCGCATGTATGTACAGTATGTCAATAGTATATAATTCATTCCTGGGTTAGCAGCAAAACATCTGCTGGCGCGTCTGAAACCAAAAGTGTCCTGCTGGAGCCATCGGAAATGTACGTCACCCGGGAAATTGCTGGAAAGCAAATGTCCCAAGTTAGAGTCGCGTAGGGGATATGGCATGTGGATACCTGCACAGCGGATGTTGCCTCCAATTTGGAGTGGAGTATGAATATTTTTATTTGCTTAAGTTGGCTTGACCGCAAACAGAATTGTCAAAAGATCTTCGCGCGATAACGTAATTACTTTACAACGTTTTGCGCTAGGCCGCCAAGAGTAGGCTGTTAGGGGTCGTGAACAGAGATGGAGCCTTATAAGCTTACCACGGACAAGGCGCCACTATCGGATACGCTTGGTCCACCTGGCTTTCATCCGCTTTTACCGGTGCGCACGGCTTTGATACCTCCGCCTCCTTTGGGAGTTGGCTGTTTCCACGTGAATTGGGCGACCACATGACGTTGGGCAGCGCGGAGTGCAGGGATCCTTACTAGGGCGCGGGATGCTCGCAACCCTATCCCCACAGCATCCAGGAAAAGGGAGGGAAGACAGGATTACCGAAGGCCTCTCATAATTTCCCCGTCCCTCTCCCGCCCCACACCACCACCCGTACCATCCCTACTCCAACGCCGCACGCCCCGCTCCCCCACTCCGCCTCACCCTCTCAACCCTCTCTTCCTGCCGTACACACACCCATACACCCACGAACACCCCACCAACACCCCGGGTGGGCCCCTCTCTTGAACACTTAAACAACACCCCAGGGCCAGTGCCCCGAGGACCGCCTAACCGCTCAGCTCGCGGAGCACGGCTACAGAGACGAGCTGCCGCAGTACGGCATCGATGACTCCAACGACTACCTCTTCTCGCTCTTCACGCTGCTGGCCAACCGGGCGGTCAGCAGCACGGGCGGCGGGGGTGCAGCGGCGGCGCTCACGGCAGCGGCGGTGTCGCTGAAAAAGGTACATGGCGTTCGGCGATACGGGTGCGGTTGCCGTACGGGTGCGGTTGCCGTACATGGTGTGGTAGTGGGGACCTAGGGGTGGTATCCGCATGGGGCTGAGAGCAGGAGCGGAGCTGGCTTGCAGGCGACTTGCCGCTTCTGGTTCTCCGCTTTACCCCGCGTTCCCATCCTGTCTGACATCTCTAACCTTCACCCACTTCCCCAACCCCTACCACCTCGACCACCCCCACCGGCAGGGTACTCTGGCAATGCTGGAGGCGGCGCACCGGCAGCGGCTGCAGGCGGCTCAGGTGCGGGGCAGGGGTAGGGTATTAGGGATACACATTCCGCAGGGGACAGGGGTGGGGTTAAAGAGCAGCCATGCGTTGAATGATAGTGGGACAAACAGGGGGAAGGGTTAAGGCGCGAACCAGGGGGAAAACGTTGGTCCGCGCCTTACTGACAACCATTACCGCTCACTTGCCGCACTCCTCCCCAAACCACCTCCTCTCCACTTCTCCCCCCAGGCGGCTGCTGCCGCTGCTTCATCTCCCGGACCTGCGGGGAGCCTCATGGGCTCGACGACGCCCTCCCTGCCGCCGCCTCCGCCACAGCCGCCACCGCCTCCGCCGCCACCCCTGGCGCCCAGCTCCTCGCCGCTCCCCAAGTCCCTCTCCTCTCCGAACCTCCGCCGTACAACACAACAGGAGCACGGCGGCATGCCGTACCCGCCGCCTCCGCCACCACCACCACTGCATCAGCAGCAACAAGAGCAGCAGCAGCAGCCGAATGTATTGTATGGCAATCCCGCCGCCGCGCTGTCGTACGCCGCGGCGCACCTGCCGGAGCTCCGTACGGCATCCGACGTGGGGCGGCGGTTGTGGGTTTCGGCGCTGGCGGGGTCGGCGCCGCTCGGGTACCTTGCTCGTACGGCGCCCTCGATGCCCGACAGGTAAGGGCGTAAGGCCGTTTGGAGGCGGCTTCTGGTGTGCGGGGAAAAACAAAACAAAACAAAGGAACGCTCCTGTTCGCCATGTATATCACCGCACACACACAATTGGGATTATAGACGTTAAAAGTAGTAGTTCTTGTTGTTGCCACAGAGCCAAATGCAGGCAGGCATCCAATTTAGGGGGGGGGGGCTTGCATGTGCCGCTTGTCGCGTGCTCTGCTTCCGATTCACCCCTTGAGCTGTATGTGTTTCTGCCTTTCTGGTGATGTGCTTGGCATCCCCAAGCAGGCGCATGCTATTGACTCTGTTGTGGCAGTGCGGAGTGCCTGCACCCCGTGCCGCTTGGTTCCTGCGCCTCCTCTACACCCACCTAGCGCACCAGCAGCTCAGGCCGCTGCCGCCGCCGCCACCGCTGCCTCCCCCGGCGGGCGGCGGCGGCGGCGGAGGTCTAGGAGGAGGAGGAGGGGGAGGGGGTCCGAGTGGCCATGGCGGCAGCGGCGGCCCTGCGGCGCCGGTGGCGGGGTCGCCGTTTGGTGGGAGCGGGGGAGTGGCGGCGGCCGCCTCGGCCGCCGCTACGTCATTCGGAGCCCAGGTGGGGTGGTGGGGGGTGTGGGAGAGTGGATTGGCAGCAAGCCGAATACCGAATGCGGGCATGCGAAGCTAGGCAGAGGGGCATGTGGTTGGAGGTTGGTGTGACACCGGTGTGCACAAGCGAGGCCTGCGTAGTGGTGACGGCTGTATAGCATGGTAGGAGTGGGACGTTGGGGCCTGAGCGGGTTGTCCCACTCAGAGTGCTCGCATTACTGCTTAACCGTCGCGTATAACACCTCTAACCGGCATCCTTCCGCTTCCCTTGGCCGCACTCGCCCTTCGCCCCCCTCGCATCGCCAGGCCATGTCATCCGCACTCGCCTCCACTCGCGCAGCGCTTTGGACGAGCGACCTGCTGTCGTACATTGACAGTCAATTCGCGGCTGCTGCTGCCGCCGAGTCGGCTGCTGCCGCGGCCGCCAACAATGCCGTACAACGGGGTAGCTCCTCCGTATCCCAACCGACAACCGCCAACTTCTCCCCAGAGTACTGCAACACGGCCTCGCCCGGCGTTGTCGCCAGCCCCGATTGGGCGCTGCTGTCGGCCGACGTCGACTCCCTGCGAGCAATCGACGGCAACGGCGGCGGCGCGGGAGCGGCCGCTGGCGGCAGTAGCGACCCATGGGTCCGTCTGCTCGACCACCAGCCATGCGCTTCGTTGCTGTACTATGCGCGGCTTGCGGGCGCCACGTTTCTCGACGGACTGCTGGATAGCAGCAAGCTAGTCGACTGGGCATGCACGCAGCTGGCGGCAGTTGCAGCAGCCCTGGGCGGCAGGGCGCCGCTTGCTAGCGGTGGCAGCGGTGCCTTGTCCGCCGGCGCTGGCGGCCCTGGCGGCGGCGGCCGGCCTCTAACGTCGGTGGAGCAGCTTCGGGCGCAGGTTGCCTTGCAGCTGGTCCTAACAACGCTCCCAGACCTCACTCAATCGCAGTTGCATGTACGGCGGCTGGTGGATGTCGTACTCGAGCTGCTGACCGCTGCCCGGGGCACTGCGGGTTATGCCGGTGGGGGCGGAGGCGCTGACGTGGCAGGCGACGCCGCTGCTGCGGCGGCGGCGGCGGTGCATTCACCCGCCCATTCGCCGTCGCCGACGCCGCCAGGCTGCTCGACAGCTATATTTGGCTCCTTGCCGACCGGCGGAGGTGGCAGCAGCAGCAATGCAACAGCTGCTGCTGCCACTGCACCAACATGCACGCTGGACTCGTCCTTGGTCGGCATGGCATTGGACTGCTTGGAGTGCTTTGCGAAAGACGCCACGTCGGCGGTTTTATCCCTGGACTCCCTGCCCGTATTCGTGAGCGCGTTGCGGGCGCATTGGCCCTCGCCAAGCACCAACGAACCGGCGTCGTCAACCGTCAAGTCCGGCGGCGGCGGCGGCGGGTGCTTCAGTGGTGACGGCGACGCTGCTGCGGTGCGACGGCATGCTGTTGCGGACAGGCTGGCGGCAGTCCATGCAGGTCTCGCAACCTCCGTCAATACAAGGTGAGGACGGTGTTTCGTCCCACAACCTGTCTCACGGCCCCTGGTTTCACATTTGTATTCGTTTGTAGCGATGAAGGGTGCTGCCCCGCGTTGTGTCGCCCGTTGTGCAGGCTGCTCTCCTTCAACGTCATCGCCGCGTTCCGAGACCTGGACCGTGCAGCCGCAGCGGGTAACCTCGACGCCGGGCTCGTCGCCCTGACCGCCGCCTGCTCGGGCGACCTCGGCCGACCCGCACCTGCCGTACAGCTGCTTGGGGACTGGGTGGTAGGGCTGCCGGTGGTGGCGCCGCCGCCGCTGGTGCCGTCGCCGGAGGCGTCGTCGTCGTCTTCGGCGGCGGCGTCAGCGGAGCAGCTGGCGGCGCGGGCGGAGCAGATCGATTTGGCGCTGCCTTGCCGTACAGTGTACGCATGCCGGCTGCTTACCAGGCTGGCGGCGGAGTGTCGCCGCGTTAGAGCTGAAGCTGCGGTGAGTACGGCAAGAGGCTGGCCGCCGCCGCCGCCACCACCACCGCCGTCATCACAGCAGCAGCAGCAGCCAGCTGGGAGCCTTGGCGGGGGCGCGGTAGGGTCCGGCGCTACATCGGAGCGGCCGGGTGCTGGGGGTCCTTCGGTTGGGTTTGGTTTCGGATCTGGGTCCGCTAGGGCCCAGCGGGCTGCTGCAGCGGCAGCTGCGGCGGGTGCGGGTGCGGGGGTTCAGCAGCAAGGGGTGATGCAGCATAGTGGGGCTTCAAGCACTGCTACTGCTGGGGTGTCGGGAGGATCTGGAGGTCCGGGACTGACCCGTGGGTCACAAGAGGCCGGCGGCAGCGGCCAGGCAGATGGGGCGGCCCCTGTGCTGCAGGTAGGTACTTCAACAATAAATATAATAGCGGTAGTACATAATGTGCACAAATGCTGCAGTTGCAAGTAGGGAAGCTTACATGCTTCATGCTGCCGCCGTGCTTCGTCACTGTTACAGTTACAGTCTGCACGCGTGTAAGCCCCCTGCCAAGTAGTGAGCTACGTTTTCGAGCTAAAGGATGAATGCCCACGTCTGCCCACATGCCCTTTTGTGACCCTTTCCAACACGTAGGATGCAGTGATTGCGTGGCTACTGAGCAGGCCAGGGCCCTGGCGTAACGCCCGTAGCAGCAGCAGCACTACCGCTGCAGGGGCCCCAGGAGTCCGCAACAGCAGCAGAAGTGGCAGTAGCAGCAACAGCAACAACAGCAACCCTTGGGACGAGCTGCATGCCCGACGAACGGTGCAATTCCTGGTTTGCATGTCGGAGATCGGCGTCTTTTCACCCAGCGCCTTCGTCCAAAGCTTGCTCGTGGAGGGAGTGTTCTCTCCAAGCTCTGCGATCGACGGAGCTTACATGTACGGCAGTCGTAGCAATGGCAGCAGCAGCAGCCTGGCGGCTACCATGGTTGCTACTGCCTTGGGCATTCGCAGTACCCCGGTGGGATGGAACTCTGCTCCTACTGCTCCCATGACGACAGGCGTGGCGGAGAGCTGCCATGGCGGTATTAGCAGTCGCATCATTCGCGCCTGTTGCGGCTCAATTGCTGACGTCGCCGCGCTCGCGTTTTACCTGCAACACCTGCATCCCCAACTGGTAACAGCGTTGGACGACCAGTCGGCGGCAGCAGCAGCGGCGGCGACGGCGGCCAGGCCCGGCGGCCGTCGTACACTGGGCGCGGGCGGCATTGCTAGCGGACAGCAGCAACAGCAGCAGCAGCGGCAACGAGCGGCCGCCGCCGCTGGGGTGCTCACCGGCGGGAATTCGTACGGCAGAACCCGCAAAAGTCTCCTGGCGTTGGCGCGCCTCTACCAGAGCTCATGCTGCAAGAAGGAGGGCTTAACATCCGCGGCTGCGGGGCTGACGGGAGGGGTGCTGCTTTCCGGGGTGCGTGGCCGCCGCAAGCGGCAGCGGAGGGCTCGCCTAGAGGGCGCGGCGACGGAGCCGGCGGCGGCGGTGGAGGCTGCCGGGACGCCGTCGGGAACCGCTGCTGCCGGCGGTGACGGTCCGGCAGCAAAGCGGCGGCGACGGAGCTTTGGCGGGCAGCCGTCTACAGGTGCCGTACAGGACGCAGCAACGCCGCCGCCGCTGCCGCCGCTGACGGCGACGACGCCGCACAAGGCTGCATCCGCCAGCCCAGGTAGAGGCTCCCCGGCGGCGGCGGCGGCGGCGTCTTCCTCGCCAAAGCAAGCGGCGTTCGAGCGAGTGCTGGCGGCGGCGGTCCGCTCCCTGGACTCATTGACGTACCTGTCGGCGGCGGCGCCGCCAGGTGCTCGCAGTACGGCAGCCCCCGGCGGCAAATCCGCTGCTCGTGCTGCGTCACCGGGCCCGCCGCCGTCACCCGGGCTGGCGGCGTCGCCGGGTCTAGCCGCGACGCCCAGTCCTGCGTCTTCACCGCTGCTTCCAGACCCCATGGATCTTGACGCTGGCGGCGGCGGTGGCGGTTCCGGCTCCGGCGGCGGCGCTCTCACTGGCGGAGGAAGCCAGCGGGGCCAGCGGTCGGAAGCGCACGGGCCGCAGCCACCCTCCGGTGGCCGCGGTGGCGCTGGTGGCCGGGGCAGCGGCGGCGGCGGCGCTGGTCGCGGTGTTGGCGGCGGCGGCGGCGCCGGAGGACGCGGCGGCGACGGCGACTTGTTGGCGGAGGTACGGCAGCTGCGGCCGTGGCAACAGCGGCTAGTTGTGGCTGCGGTGTGCCGACATGTGAATGCAGTCATGACGGCGGCGCTGGTGCCGCCAGTGCCCTTCGGCGCGACGGCGCCGCTGCCGCCGTTCCCGTCGGCGTACGTCAGGGCGTGCTCGACGGCATCGCTTGTACGGCCGGCGGAGCTTCCCAAGACCGCGGCGGCGGCGGCGGCGGCGGGAGGGACGCGTCCTCCGTCGCCAACGCCGACGGGTGCTGCCAGCAGCGGCGGCGGCACCGGCGGCGGTGGTGAGGCTAGTGGGTCCCGGACCGCAGGCTCCGGGTTCGCAGCAGTTCGACATGGCGATGTATGGTTGTTACGGTACGTTGGGGGGTTAAAGGAGCGATGAGGAGACGGTCGCGTGTGTTGCAAATGCATTCACTCGTTGCGGCCTGAACGAACCTGAAGAAAGGTGCCTGGTACATTTCCTTGCCCAGCAGTTTCATCCCTTCCTGGCGATGCCACTACTAGTTCAGCCTTTCTAGACCCTTCCACGACCAACCTTCCACCCATTTAACCCCAAAACTTTACTGGGTATGGTAACGCAACACGATTCCTCCTCCCCTCCATGCCGCCTGTTGCAGGTGCCTCGCGCTGCTGGAGGCCTGCCAGTGCTGGCAGTGCGGCCCGCAGCTGCTGCTGCACCTCACAGCGCTCCATGTGGAGGCGTCCAGCCAGTGGGCCACCACGTACGGCGGCGGCGGCGGCGGTACGGCAGCTGCGACGGCGGCGGCGGCTGCCGCCAGTGCGCTGTCTGAGGGCGGACTGCTGTGGTACAGACTGCGGCTGCAGGCGGGAGTGGTGATGGCGGCTCTGGAGTCAATGGCGACAAGGTGAGGCCTGGGAGTGCATGTAAGCATGCTGTTGTTGTTGTGGTGGTGGTGGCTAGCAGCCGCGCGGCGTTGGAAGTTTGACCGTGGCCATAGAAGACCGGGCGTGAGGTACATGCTGGTTGCTGACTTCTTGCTGTTCCGTACGTGGTGGTGGTCGTGCCATTGCGTACGTGGTGGTGGTCGACGATAGCACACGCCACAATCCCTTTGCCCACGCATCATGGGAAAGGCGCCTGCCTTGTTTCTTTGCCACGTTTGCTGACCACGGCTTTTGCCCTTGTCGTACACGACACTGTCGTACATTGTCGTATCAGGCTGGTGGCGGGCGGGCTGCTGCTTCCCGCCCTCGACTGCCTCACCTCCTGGGCCCTTCGGTACGGCGTACCGCCGCCGGCGGGTCGGTTGCATCTGGGGCGGGCCATACAGTGCGCGGGTGTGCTGGCGGCGGCGGCGGTGGCAGCGGAAGCCGTGGATGTACGGCAGTGGTGGGAACGGTGAGTGTGGTGAGACGGAGGAGTCAGGGTCTGTTTCTAGGAGGTAGCCGTTGGGTGCAGTGAAAGCGAAAATGCCAATCAATGCAGTAATGCGCTTCGTTAAAACCTAGGAACATGCACAGTCTACCGGTACCAGTGTTGCCATGGGAGCGTTACAATGCCCAATCCTGCACATCGCAGGTTCCAACAGCTGGACTCGGCGCACGGACAGCACTGGCTGGTCGGTGATCTCGCGCCCTACCTGCAAACCAGCGCTGCAGCCTCACCGGGGGCATCTAACACCGCCGGCGGCAACAGCGGCGGCAGCGGCAGCTTGGGTACGGCAATGGGCTCCTCCGCTGGAGTCGCCGCCTCCGCCACCCAGTATCCCATCGTCGTCGGCGGCGCGGTGCCATGGGCGCCGGGGCTTCCTCAGCCTCGGTTTCCGTTGGTACGACTGTCAGAGATCGCCGTACAGCAGTTGGCTCAGGCTCGAGGGACGCCCACTTCGGCCTCCGCCGTACGGTTCCGTGCCGTTGCAGAGGCATGTGCGCCCCTGGCGGCGGCCCTGACGGCGCTGCTGACCTCCCGCGGTGGCGGCCCGGCTGCTTCCCGCGGCAGCCCGACGGCGGCGGCGGCGGCCGGCAGTCCCAGTGACGGCGGCGGCGGCGGCTCTGCTGCTGCTGACGTCACCACCGACCCCACTGAGCGGCTGCGCATGGCAGCTCGGCAGGCCGGTCGTGCTGTTGGCGGACTGTGCATGGCCGGGTCAGGCCATAGCAGCAGCAACAGCAACCCTGGCGGTGGCGGCGGCGGCGGCGGTGATGTTGAAGGCATGCTGCTGCCGGTTGCAGGTGTCGTACTTGCGTGGATCCGGTGTTGCTGCGCCTCCGCTGCGCCCGCCGGCGGCCGAGGGGTCGCTCGCGGCTCGCCACCAACGTCACATGCAGGGTCTCCAGGAGACGGGAGCGCCGCCACCGCCGCTGCGGGTGCGGTTGGTACGGCACCGACGGCGGCTAGGCCTCGGGGCACTGCCTTGGCATGGGGTGTGGTGGGGAGCGGGCTGATGCTCGCTCTGGAGGCTGTACGACAAGAGCTATGTACGGCAATGGGCCCGGCGGCCGACCAGCGGCTGCATAAGGCCCTACTGGCGGTTTGCTGCGCGGCACTTTGCGACCCAGCGGCGGCGGCGGCCGATGCTGCGGCGGCATTCCCCGATGCCGGCGGCGGTGTACGGGCTGGCAGCGGCGGCGGCGGCGGCATTCACCAGACCCCGCCTCCAAGGCCCCGTCCAGGTGCAGCCGCCGCCGCTGGGAACGCTACCGGTACGGCAGCAGTGCTGGCGGCGGGCGGCGCCGGTGCAGCTCATGAAGGTGTGCTCCGTCTGCTCCTCTGCGCTGTGTCGTACGGTCAGCTCTTCCTAGCGGATGCAGTGTCGCTGCTTTGCCACGACAACAGCGCTGGCGGTGGCGGCGGTGTTGGCGGCGGCGGCGTCATGGCACGTGGCGGCGGCGGCGGCGCCAACCCGGGTGGCCTTTCATGGGATGTGCTGGAGTGTCGACGCGCGCTGCTGGGCCCGCCCATCGGTCTCCCCGGTTGCTACTGCCGAGCCGAGGCTGCAGTACGATTCCGCATCCAGGCCAGCCTTCCCTTGGACCTGGTGTGGGGCTGCGTCGGGGACACGCTGGCTCGAGCGACGTTGCAGATGCCAGCGGGCGATGCCGCTGCCGCCGCTGCGACGTTAAGCGCCCTTGGAACCGCTCCCGCCGCCGCCAACACCGCCGCCGTCGGCGACGTCAGCGCTGCTACGGCGGCTGCGTTGGCACGCGATGTCGCCTCCGCCCTCACCTCCCATGCACCATTCCGCCATTGCCTTCTAAGCGAGCCCAGAGCCCTCCTGGAGCGACTGAGCTCGCCAGCTGCCGTACAAAATACCGTGGCGCTGCTGACGTCAGCTTGCGGCGGCGGCGGCGCCGCCTCCGCCGCCGCCGATGGATCTCAGACGCTGCGTTTGCCTCAACGACTGGTGGTGCTATCGCTCATGGCGGGTCAGCTTATTCCATTGACGGCGGTTGCGTCGTACGAAGCAGCTGCCGTACTGGATTGCGATTCGCTACTGACGTCAGCGTTGGTTAGCTTGGAACCCCCGTGCTTCAGTTCCCTCTGGCTGCTGCTCAGGTTACTCGTGGACGAGCATGCGCTGGTGTCATCGTCAGCGGCTGCGGAAGCTGCCAGTCGCAGCGGCGGCGGTGGCGGCGGCAACTCGCGGCGATGGTTGCGAGATGCAGTGGAGACCGCCATTACGCCGCTAGACGGTGGCAGTATTACGGAGCTCAGGGCAGCAGACAAGAGCTTCTGCGATGCTGCGTTGGGTGCGCTGCTTGCGGCCCCGGGGCGGGCGGAGCTGCTGGCGGAGGTGGCGTGGCAGGTGGGTGTAGACGAGGCGGGGCGGGGGTAAAAAATAATGAGACACTGACGATGCGGGCGGGGCGGGGGGGGCGTGAGAGCTCGTAGCCAGCGGGGGCATGTGTACGCATGTGTACACACTTCTCCTGTAGTATACAGCGCTGATGAGCCGTCACGTTTGTCGTCAACCCTGCTAGCATTGCTGGAGGAGACCCGCTCTGTTTCCTTCCCTCCCTGCCTCCCTTGACGCCCTCCCTGCCTGCCTCCCCCTCTGCTGCGCCCGCTCAGCTGGGTCGAGGCGTGGGGGACTTCCTGGTCAAGTCGGCGGACTGGCTGCTGCAGGTGGGGGGGGGGAGACTGGGGGGTGGGGAGACTGGGGACTAGGGGTCGACTGGGAAGGGCACGAAGGGACCAAGGATGGGATCAGAGGGGTCTGAGGACTGGGTGGTCGTAGGACTGGGAAGGGCTGGCTGGGCTGGGATTACATAGGGCGACCGCTCAAAGTGGGCGGGTATGGACACGCACCTGCAATCCTGCACAGACACCATCGCATTATCGCCCACCTTGCGTGTCGGGTGTCGCTGCTAAACTCCTCCCGCCGCCGTTGCTTCCTCGCTGCAGGACCGCAAAGGCGAGCAGCTGCAGGGCCACACCTGCCTCTCTCAACTGGTCGCACGTCTGGGCCGGAATAACGCCGGCAGCAGCAACACCAGCAGCAGCAGCGGTAACAACACCAGCAACAACATCAACAATAGGCCCGGTGCAACAGCCCCCACAATGGGTACGGCCGCCGCTACTCCCTCTGCTACCGCATGGGGGATTGCTGGGGCAACTGCTGCCGCCGCCGGCAGTGCCGTACTGCCTGTTGAGCCTCTCGGCGCTCTTCGGCCCTCATCCGGAAGCATGTTGACTGCGACAGCCGCCCCGGCGGCGCCTCCGCCGTTTGCGGTTGAGGCGGCAGTTGCAGATCTGGCACTCGCTGGGCTCTACAAGACGGGCACCATGCGCCAGCGCGAATTTGCCGGGGAGCTTGTACGGCAGATTGTGAGGATGGCGGATGCCGTACGGAGGGCAGCGCTGGCGGCGGCGCCGGCGGCAGGCGGCGGAGGTGGCGGCGGCGGCGGCCTCACCGGCGTGGCGTCAGGCGGTTCCCTTCCGCTGCCGCCGCCGCCGCCGTTGCCCTTGCCGCTGCCGCCGCCGCCGCCGCTCATGCCGCCAGGTCGTACCCGAAGCATCGGGCAGCAGCTAGCGAGCTTCGGCGGCGGCGGCAGCGGCCGTACGGCAGCGGAGGATCAAGACTCAACGATGGCTGACATGGACGGGATCGGCGGCGGCGGCGGCGCGGGCGACGGCGGTGACAATGGCGGCGGCGGCGGTCGCAAGCGCGGCGGCATGGGCTTCGGCAGCGGTCGTTCACGTCGCATGGGCGGCGGCGGCGGCGGGTTGCTGGTGCGTTCGGACTCCAAGAGCGATCTGACAGAGGCGCTGAAGATCGGGTCTCCGGCGGCCTTGCAGGTGGGGCGGGGGCTACCCGTTTGGGCGGGTGTTGCCTGTGTCTGCTTGGCCCCGCCGGTCCTGATGAGATGCGTTATCACCCTCCAAGTCACCCTCCTGCATCGCCACATCAACCCTGCTGTCATCATCGCCTCACCTTCTATTCCCTCCTCCCGCGTCCTTGTTGTCCCCCTGCTTTCATTGCCAAGTAACGGGCGTTTTGTCCCTCCCATCCCGCCTACCTCCTCACCGCAGGTGGCGCTATGGGTGCGGCTGCGTGTGCTCATGCCGCTGCTGCCGCTCATCTACAAGGACCGAGAGCCCGACCCGCGCCGCAACCTGCGATGCCAGCTGGTGCCCGCGCTGCTCCAGCTACTCGCCTCGCATCTGCTGTGGAGCCAGCCGCAGTCGCAGCCCAGCGCTGCAGCTGCCGCTGCCGGCCCTGCAGGAACCGGCGGCGGGGGCGGTGTCGGAGTAGCCGCAGCTGCTGACGTGGCGTCGGCGGAGGGAGGTGAGGCGGCGCTCGCGGCTGCTGCCGGTGCCGCTGCGGCGCTGGCTGGGGAGGCGCTTCATGAGCGGTTGCTGCACGTGCTGAGTGCGCTGGTGTGTGACCAATGGGCCTCATGGCTCAAACCGCCGGGGCTGAAGAAGCTCAAGGTGGGTGTGGGCAAGGGAGTGTTATCGAGAAACCCGGCCGCGAGTGTGTTACCAGTAGTAAGAGGGAGAGGGTGTAGGAGGGGAAGCGGCATGTTGTGCCTTGTAACGTGTGCCTTGGCGTGCTGGAGAGTTGCTTCCAAGTCCGCTGCCGTCGTTACGCGCCTTGTGGTGGTTTCCCCGACCTGCCTGCCTGAGCGCGACCCCAATGCGACGCCCACGTCACTGCATGCATGCCCATGCAACCTGTTGCATGCAGGACGTCCCGCCGTACGACAATGTACCGCAGCTGCTAGCGGATCTAGATCTGGCACTGTCAGCATCGGCAGCCGCCATCTGCGCCTCCGCCACCGCTGGGAGCAGCACCATCAGCAGCAGCAGCGCCAGCGCCGGCAATCCTCCTCCCGCGGTGTCAATGTCAAGCGGCACTGTTGCGGCCCTCATGGGCGGCATGCGTGAGCGAATCACCGCTGCGCTCCCGCTGCAGGGCGTTATGTCACGGCAGCTGCTGCCGCTGCAGCCACCGCCCGCGCAACCCTCCACGACGACGACAGCAGCCGCGACGGGGACAGCGGCTGAGGGTACGACAGCTACCGGAGGCTCCGAAGCCGCTTTTCTTGCAACCGCCAACACCTCCGTATCTTCAGCAGGATTTCCTGGCCAGTACGTCGAAGTGGATCCGGCTGCGCTGTTGCCGCTTGAGTCGTTGACACAAGTGGGTGACGTGTCTGCTCAGCCGTACAGTGGTCGTGCCGTACAGCATGTGTCGTACACAGGAGGCCCTGTGTACGGAAGTACGGGAGGGGAGGCAGGCGGGATGGGAAGTGGAGCGCTGCTGGCGGGGGCGGTGCGGATGAAGAGGAGCTGTTTGTCGCAATGGCTTGCGGCTGCTGAGGGTTAAGAGTGGATAGTGAGCGACGAGAAGTGGGAGTTAGGACAGAGGCGTGGACGTTTCGCTGAGCAAGCTCGAGTGGGAATATGGAACTAGCGGTGCTTTTGTCCAAGTCAGTGCTTCTATCTTCCCTCGAGGGTGACCGAGAAACCCTGCGACCCGAGGCGTTTTAGGCCCTTCACATTTTTGCACGTTAAGGATCCAAGGACCCACGTTTTCACCTGTTACGAAAAGGGGCTACTGGTTTTGCGTGCCTTGACCAGTGGCACTAAGCACATCGAGCTCTCCATACGTGGCAATACATTGAAGCCCTCGAAAGACCCCCCATGGATGCGCCCCCCATGGCGTTATGTTCCCATGGCAGCCGTTTCACCCTGTCTAACCCAACACCTGGATGTACACGTTTACCATTTACCTGGCGATGTTGAGTACATTCTTTCTGGATACGTTCGGAATGAGACGAGCTTGTGCCATTCCCTGCGGCTGCGCCCTGATGGAAGGGGCCCATGCACGGCGTGCCGGCACCCTAAAGCGTAACTCAGCGCACCTACTAGCCTTAACCCCTTTGCTCTCTTTTGGGGAAGGGTTCTTGCGCCCGACCTATTCACGCACCCTTAGTGTTTACTTTAGCCAATACCGCTTGAAGCAGAAACCTTTCCTCTTCGTCCTATACTAGCAAATAAAGTGCACTTGTCCCAAACCGGGTTTCCAGATCCCCCCACCCACCCGGAGCCGCCTCAGACCCCACCCTGCGTGCCCCTCCATCTGCCATCCCATAAATGAGGATGCTTTTCTAGCTGGCGATCTATGGCTGGCAATCGCCCTGGAAGGGAGGGACACCCTTCCCCTTACACCCCCTTCCCCTGTCATTCAACAAAGGTTGACCAAAGTTGAAAGTGTTAGTTCGCCACCCTAGCCCACTTCGTGTGGCGCTTATGAGTAGTAAGAAACTTACTGTATACAAAGGTCCTGGCGGCAGGGCAGGAGAAGGCCAGCGGCAGAACCAGTCATTTCGCGGTCCATGGGTCCGGCCTTCGTGGGTTCCCCTCCCTTCCAGGCCTGTTACGATATGCACTTACTACCCTAGGGTAGCTAGCCAGGAGCTAAGTTCTTCAGATTACAGATTACTCACTCCTTGGTTTACTCGCACTAAAGCAGAGCGCGCGTCACAGTATGCCTTGTTCTATGTCTGCGCTGCTCACCAGCCGCCTCAGCAGGCCGGCGTTCTGCAGATTTGTTTCTTCTCACAGTGCTCATCACTCCCAGAGCCCAATACAACAGAGCTTAGATGAACAGCTGCAATCCGGGACGCAAGAATCGCTCTCCGCGAAGGACATGGTCTATTTCTCCTTGTTGGCTGGAGGTTTCTTTGTCATGGGAATGACGTTCGGCTATTTGAAAGCTCACATAGAGCTCGAGAAGTACAAGGAGATGTCCAAGCTGGAGAAGGAGAGCAACGAGGAGAGGGACAAGCTGGAGAAGGACAGCTACAAGGAGAGGGACCAGCTGGTGAGGAAGGCCGCGGAGAACACGTTTCGCCAGAAGCGGGAGAAGTCGGTGCTGAAGGCGCAGGTCGTCGTAGAAGACTCATTGTTTCGGATGTTGTACCACAGTGACTATGTGGAGTTCCGTGCAAGGTTTATGGAGAACATCAAGAGGGACGAGGATAGCAAGAAAAACGACGTGGCAAAGGAGGAGGATGAGCTGCCCTAGATGTGCGGTGGTGCTCGGGGTACCGGTATGCCTGCAGGCTCATAAGATTATTTGTGACGGGGAGATAGACTTGCATGTGTGGATCTTTTGATATTCCTCCGCGCGTTTGGGGTTTAAAACCGGCGCTCTGCGTTCACTACTCGTGCTCATAGGGCGGGACGGCTGCCATATCTGGACCCATCTTCGACCCGCGGGTCAGTTTGCAGAATCAATAAGGGGCTGTCCGTGGGCGCAAGGAGCAGTACAACAGACTGCGTTATTGTGGTTAGCGACACGCTGGAGTGCAGCATGGGATGGTTAAGGCGTGGTTAGGGGAAGGCATGCCAAGCCGCGTGGCATGCTTGCATGTACGGCAGGAGTGTCTTCCGTCTTCCTGCTCTTGGACACACTTGCCGGTGTCGTAGCACTACCATGTTTTGGCCGTTGGCAAGATGGCAACATGCCGCATCACCTGTAATCCCGCTTCACGCTAGCTGCGGGTCAAAGGGCATCTGCAATGTGCTCGCGCCTACCCCAAACTATTCCTTATATTCATGAAGCCGGAAATTTGGCATGAGCAAAATTGCAGCACCAGATACCTGTCGCCACCGCCTATATATGCCTGTTGCCGCCGCACCTACCTGCCTGCCACCACTACGCATGCCCGCCTGTCGCCACTGTGCATGCCTGGGTATCGCCACCGTACCTGCCTGGATATCGCTGCCGTTCATGCAAGAGTATCCTGCAGTGGAATACCTGGGTATCGCAGCGGTGTATGCCTGGGTACCCCTGCCGTGCATACCTGGGTATTCCTGCCGTGCATACCTGGGTATCCCTGCCGTGCGTACATGGGTATCCCTGCCGTACATGCCTGGGTATCGCCTGGGTATTCCTGCCGTGCATGCCATGGGTATCCCTGCCGTACATGCCTGGGTATTCCTGCCGTGCATGCCATGGGTATCCCTGCCCCACATGCCTCGGTATCGCTGCGGTGTATGCCTGGGTATTCCTGCCGGGGTGTTCCTGCCTTGCCTGTCTGGATATCACTGCCGTACGTGCCTGGGTATCACCGCCGTGCATGCATGCTCCCATGCCACACTTGCCTGCCCAGCCTAGCCTTGCATACCTGCGATGCATATCTGCCCAGCGCTACCATGCAATCCTGCCTAGCGCTGCAGCAGATCAGTCGCTGATGCCTGGGCGTGGTAACAAATAAAAGGGGGGGGATTCCCCCCGCTCCCTCGTGCCTAAGTTCTCCGTGCCGCCTGTACGTCCCAGCCTGGCTCCCAAGGCCCGGTGTACGCCCTGTGCTCCTACCCAACCTGTGAAGCCCGTATGCGCCTGTGGTGCTCTGCACAACCTGAGCGAATCCACAGCGACTCGTTTGGTCCATATGCAACCCTCGCCCTATCCGCCATGACCCTGCGGAATTCTCAATACCCTGCGCCTCCCATGAAGCCATGTGCACACCGTGATACCCTTTGCCTCTCGTGAAGCCCGGCGAAAAAGCAAAGCCCTTATGCAGCCTGTGAAGCCCTGCGCCGCCCACAATATCTTGCCCAACAGCGATGCCCTGTGCAAAGCGTGAATACCCAGCGGTACCCACGAAGCAGTGCACAACCCCTAAAGCCCAGCACCACCCGCGATGCCCTACGGAAGCCACGATTCCATGAAGCCCTGCACCCCGGCGATGCCCTGTGCAACCCGGGATGCCCTGCGCAGCCTGCAATGCTGTGCACAACCCGCGAAGCCCTGCGCAACCCGCGAAGCCCTGTGCAACCCGCGATGCCCTGTGCAACCCGGGATGCCCTGCACAACCCGGGATGCCCTGCACAACCCGCAATGCCGTGCACAACCCGCGAAGCCCTGCGCAACCCCCGAAGTCCTGCGCAACCCGTGAAGCCCTGCACAACCCGTGAAGCCTTGCGCAACCCGCGAAGCCATGTGCAACCTGCGGAGCCCTGCACAACCCGCGATAGGATGCACAGTTGGCGGATTCGCAACCAAAACAGGGGAGAATCTCCCAGAGTCTTCATTCCCCCGGGGCGCTTTGACCGGTTCTGCGCTCAGAGAAAGGATGAAACATACTGGGGCCCTAGACTGGACTACACCTTGCTGCCTCTTTAAGCTTATAGCGGCGCTCCTTGCCCTCTCGAGAATGCCGAGTCGGGCTTACAAGAGTTGCCCGGCCGACATCCCCGCGGCAGAAATCCGGCAAACTATCTAAACTTAATACACATATTAGTGGCTGTATTGTCGATAACATGTTTCAAACTGCTCGGGCGCGCGAATGTCTCTGCCAACTCGGCAAGTGTGCGCTCCACCTATGCGGCTAAGTGGCCTAAGTTAGAAAGTTACTAACCACGAAATGCAGCATCGTATTGCTTAATCTCCGAGAGTCCGAGTCTCTGATGCGGTTGGCAGGGTCCCCTGGAGTATTGCCCCTGGGGCCCATCCAGTAGTACTGTGCATTGCATTAATTCTAAGCCATACAGCTTGTAACACTCAATCACAGAGACATACCTGCCTTTCCACCCTTCTACTGGACACTCTTGCAGAGCTGGCTTTTCGCTAGAGAAGTCTATCGTCCAAAGAGCAGCATTTTTCAGGCCTTCAAAATTTTGCATTCTTTGTTCTGTGCTTGTGCTGTTCGGCAGCCGCCTCGGAAGATCAGCTTCTTCTGGCAGTGCTCATAGCCAAGCCCCCAGAGCCAAAACAACAGGGCTCAGATAAACAGCTGCAATCCGGGATGCAAAAATACCTGTCCGCGAAGGACTTGGTCCCCTTCTTCTCGTTGGCTGGAGGTTTCTTTATCGCGGGAATGTCGTGCAGCCATTGGTTGTTTTACATGGAGCTCGAGAAGTACAAGGAGGAGACCAGGCTGGAGAAGAAGAGCAGCGAGGCGAGGAAGAAGCTGGAGAGGGAGCTGGATGAGGCGAGATATGAGCTGGAGAAGAAGGCCATGGATGACAAGTATCGCCAGGAGCTGGAGAAGACGGAGCTCAAGATGCAGGCCGCCGTAGGAGACTCGCTCTCCCGAATGGCGTACAACAATGACCAAGTGGAGTTCCGTAAAAGGTTTATGGAGAACTTCAAGAGGGACATGGATAGCAAGAAGAAGGAGGATGAGCTGCCCTAGATGTGCGGTGGTGCTCGGGGTACCGGTATGTCTGCAGGCTTGTAAGAAAGATTATTTATGACGGGGAAATAGACTTGCATGTGTAGATCTTTTGATATTCCTCGCGAGGTTGGGGTTTGGAACCGGCGCTCTGCGTTAACTGTTGAAGCTTTTGTTGCCTTGAAGTCCTCCCCGCCCTCCTTGGACCAGTGCCTTCCGCGACGCGGCAGGGCTCGGCCCAGGTTGAGGTCGCTGCAGCACATGATGGGATGCGGATGGAGGAGAGCCGAAGCAGATGGAGGAAGATCTTTAGACGTGGTCATGCCGCCCACGGATGTAGGAGGAGCCCTGGACGTGGGTTAGGTGTCGCCCCTGTTATCACACGGGCTGTCGGGTTTAAGCGCCTCTGGCGCACTTCTGGTCTTCCATGTTAGGGATCTGTGGGCGTCCATGTCGGGGGATATCACTCCACGTTGATGGCCTCAAAGGTATCTCGCACTTTTGCCGTACAGCCGTCGGTGCTTTTAGGTCGCGCAGCACCCTGGCTAGGGTGCTGCACTGCGCTCACATAACAGAGGCATGGCGTCAGGCGGTTCCCTTCCGTTGCCTCCGCCGTTGCCCTTGCCGCTACCGCCGCCGCCGCCGCTCATGCCGCCAAGTCGCACCCGAAGCATCGGGTAGCAGCTAGCGAGCTTCGGCGGCGGCAGCGGAGGATCAAGACTCAGCAATGGCGGCGGCGTCGCGGGCGACGGCGGCGACAATGGCGGCGGCGGCGGTCGCAAGCGTGGCGGCATGGGCTTCGGCAGCGGCCGTTCACGTCGCATGGGCGGCGGCGGGTTGCTGGTGCGTTCGGATATCAAGAGCGATCTGACGGAGGCACTGAAGATTCCGCCGGCCTTGCAGGTGGGGCGGGCTAACCGTTTAGGTGGGGCGATGCATCCAACTGTTTGCGCCTGGCTGGCCCCGCCGTCCTTGACGTGATGGGTTGGGCGCCACCGTCCTGCAAGCCGCCCTCCTGCATCACCCTACCGGTATGCATCACCCCACCGTCATCATCGCCTCACCCCCCATTCCCTCCTCCCGTGTCTTGTTGCCTTGCCTTCAATAAGGAATCGGCATCTTGTCCCTCCCATCCCGCCTCCCTCCTCACCGCAGGTGGCGCTATGGGTGCGACTGCGCGTGCTCATGCCGCTGCTGCCGCTCATCTACAAGGACCGGGAGTCCGACCCGCGCCGCAACCTGCGATGCCAGCTGGTGCCCGCGCTGCTTCAGCTGCTCGCCTCGCACCTGCTGTGGAGCCAGCCGCAGCCCAGCACTGCCGCTGCCACCCTAACCGGAACTGGCGGAGTTGCCGCAGCTGCTGACGTGGCGTCGGCAAAGGGGGGTTAGGCGGCGCTCGCGGCTGCTCCCGGCGCCGCTGCGGCGCTGGCTGGGGAGGCGCTTCATGAGCGGTTGCTGCACGTGCTGAGTGCGCTGGTGTGTGACCAGTGGGCCTCATGGCTCAAACCACCGGGGCTGAAGAAGCTCAAGGTGGGTGTGGGCAAGGGAGTGTTATCGAGAAACCCGGCCGCGAGTGTGTTTCCAGTAGTAAGAGGGAGAGGGTGTAGGAGGGGAAGCGGTACGTTGTGCCTTGTAACGTGTGCCTTGGCGTGCTGGAGAGGTGCTTCCAAATCCGCTGCCGTCGTTACGCGCCTTGTGGTGGTTCCCCCGATCTGCCTGCCTGAGCGCGACCTCAATGCGACTCCCATGTCACTGCATCAGTGTTGCTATCATGTATTCTAGCGACGAAATTTTTGAAGGTTTTGCTATTTCCGACGAAATTCCTAGGGGCTATTTCGTGTGAAGAATCGGCGCCGGAAAATTTCGTCGCCAGCCAAACTAAAATTTCCTCATAAAACTATAACTTTTCGTGCTTAAAGTGAAATTTAGCATCTGTTGCCAGCGTCCTGAGAAGGAAGTATTGAGAGCAGCGACCTCCTTGACAAGGCTCCGAAGTCCGAAGCTCCGAACCCACCTCATCTGCATCTGTGCCTGTCTGGTGCCTGCGACTCGCGCAGCGCCTGTGCTATAACCTCTATAGTGAGCCGTTATATATTTGTGACTAGTTTGAGCCACCAAACTGCGCTACTTAGTTCGGTAGTTTCCATTATGGAGGCGGCCGGGCAGCGCCCAGGCTCGCCGCCACGCAACGATCCCACCAGTAATGCTAGTCCTGTTAAGTCTCCAGCTTACAAGGCTAGGCGTGTCGAGGAGGGTGCCGGCCGAGTTGACGTTCCAAAGCTTCCAAGGCAGCGCAACCTTTTTGGCTACTTCCAGAAGAAAGCCCAGCAACCGGAGCCAGGTCAGGGTCCTCAGGTGGAGGCTGCTGCAGCGGATGCATTAGCACAAGCAGGCGCAGCACCAGCAGTGCCTGTAGAGGCCCATAGCACCCTCGTGGAAACCATTGACTTGGCCTCAGCGCATGGCTCAGCTGTGGGTTCCGGACTGGCATCTAGCGCAGATGCCGGTGGACCCAGTGACGTACCAGCACCTGGCGGCCATGGTTCACGCACCCAGCGTGTGCCGCGGGCCTATGACACTGGAATCAGCGGCGCTGGGAGCAGTGCTGGACCTGTAACACCTGCCAGTGGCAAAGGCAAGGGTGCCCGCGGCAGGGGTCGCGGCGGAGGTCGTGGCCGAGGGCGAGGCAGGGGCCGTGGCCGTGGTAGGAAAGGCAGGGGTAACGGGGCAGAAGTGGCTTCGGAGGAGGAAAAGGAGGACGGGGAGGAGAAGGAGGCTGGGGCGGAGGCTGTGAAGGAGGCTGGGGAAGAGGCTGGGGAGGAGGAGGCCGAAGGTGAGCCAACCCCTTGGGGATATTTAAGGAATATGGTGACATTACCAATAGCGGCAATATGCCATCCAAGGAAATGTACGGGGTAGCCTGTTTGCCTCATGTTGCTTCTTGCCTGGCATCCAACTTTCAGGAAGTGCTTAAGCAGGCCCACCATCTCTCCCCCTGCTTTCACAGAATGGACGCTGGAGAAGCGCAAAGAGGAGGTGCAGCGCCTGATGGCAACTGGGCAGCTTTCAGGGGTCCTAGCGGATGAGAACGGCGGCTGGCTCAGCATAACGCCAGAGTACACACTCCGCTGCCTCACCTGTGCTGCTCTTGGCAGCCAGGCTCGGTCGACTAAGTGGGTCCAGCCTTCGGGGGTTGAGCGTATTGTGATCTCCGGCGTTCACGACCACGCTCGGTCCAAGGGCCACAAGCATGCCGTTCAGGCGCAGGCCGCACGGGGCGTGCTGGCGTCAAGGCAGGCAGTCTTCAAGGACCAGCAAAGCAAGCAGATAGCGGACATTTCGGTGGTCGTCTACAACCTGTGTTACACCAAGGACGTAAGTCTCTGTTTGGGGGCTTTGGGTTTGCATGCGGGTGTGTCTTGTGAACGGTTGCAGTTTGTATTCCCATCAGCCTACCTCCTTAGTCTTCCCACCTCCCTTGCAAACCCGCGCTTCCTTCCCGTCCAACCCGTGTTAGGCGCTGAACAAGTTCACGTCCTGGTACAAGACTGCGCACCTGTTGGGTGCGGAATCCTTCGACAGCATGGGGACGTACAGCAGCCGTACGTGCGCACTGGAGCTGGCGGGCTTCATTAGCATGGCGCTGGACGATAACCTGGTGAAGGAGCTGGCAGAAGCCCCTGTGGTGGGCCTGAGCGTGGATGAGTCCACCGACGTGTCCATCCGCAAGGCGCTGCTGGTGTACGTGTCGTACGTTGACAAGAAGTACGTCACGCACAACCGCTTCCTTCAGCTGGAGGCGCTGGACGATGGTGCGACGGGAGAAGCCCTCTTCAACACCATCGTCAGCGTGTGCCAGGTAACGGGGTTTAGCGCTGGGTTTGCCTCGCCTAGGGCACATGGGCACTTGGGCAGGGGTTGCATGGGGTCTCCGAGGTGGCAGCCAGCTATCTGTCTGACCTTTTTACCCATGTCCCCTGTCCCGCCCGCAGGTATGCAGCTGCTGCCATCATGTGGAAAAGTGTGGATTAGTCACGGGCACTGGGGCTTCTGTGGGTGCCCCACGCGCATGCCATGTGACAAGCTGACAACCCACTCCGGATGTAAATATCTTATGATGCCTAAGTAATGGTTCTCATAGGCGTTCCTCTTCCACAGCAGCAGTCAGTACTTAGTAGTGGTAGCAAAGGCAGATGAAGCAGCTGAAGGGGAATTCCCTCCGAAGCAAGAAAGAGAGATGAGGGACCAGTACAAAACCCTTCCGCATTGTAACATGCCAGGAAGCTATCACGTAGCATCATGACTTCATGAAGTATGGGGGCCAAAGTAGGTGCCTTGCCTGAACTTGGAACTAAACAGGGTTAGGATAGGAGCATAGGTCAAAATGTCACCTTGTACTCGTAGCTCCATAGCCCATCCCCGTGCCTTCCTGCATCTTCAAAGCCGCCCCTACATTATAATTGGTTTTTACACTGTCCCGTAACGGTATGGCTGTGCCCTCCCCTCGTTCCCTGTCTTGCCATGCCTCAGGAAGCCGGCATCAGCATCAAGGACAAGGTGGTGAGCTTCACCAGTGACGGGCCAGCTGTCATGACGGGTACACACTCCGGTGTCGGTGTGAGGCTCAAGGCCCTCAACCCCCGGATGGTCCACGTCGTATGCATGGCACACAAGGTGGCTCTGGTCCTGGCCAACATCTTCAAGGCCGAGCCGCGGCTGGTGGAGTACGACAAGCTGCTGTCAGCAATCTACAACTACTTCGGCAAGTCAGCCGACCGCCGGCAGGAGTTGCAGCGGATTGCGGCTGACCTGGGCATGAAGAAGCTGCAGGTACGTTTGCTGCAGGCATGTTGGGTTCTGCCCGTATCAGGCCTTATTCTTCCCTCATTGCCTTCTCCCATGCAGGTGCTGCGGAAACATGACATCCGGTGGATGTCCCGTGCGGATGTGGTGGCAAGGATTAAGGAGCTGTACCCGGTGCTGCTGGACTTCTTCCGGGGCGAGACGACTGCCACTGGGAAGGACGTCTACGAGCAGCTTTGGTAAGCAGCCGTATTGATAAGCCTGTTAAGTTGCAACCACAATGGGCCATGCCTCGCACGTACGGTATCCTTTCGCCTTATGGTTTACACGCTTTGTCCTATTGGGATACACACCTGCTCTCCCTTTGCTTTCCATACCCACAGCAACGCACGGACGCTTATCTTCACGTACGTGCTGGACCGCATGCTGGCCTTGTACAAGGCCGTGACGCTGGAGCTGCAGAACCGTGGGACGTCCTTCCTGGTCGTGAAACGCTTGGTGGCGGGGCTGGTCTCCATCATGGAGCACTCCTTCACGTACCACGAAGGGGAACCCGGCAAGCAGCTTCCGCCGCAGCTGAGCCCGGAAATCAATGAGGTCGTGGACTCCCTTTCCACCACCGGTGGTGTGTGGAACGGCCACACCTTCAAGACCGCCAGCGGGGACATGCGGATGTTCACTTATGACTTTTTCGAGGAGAAGGACACGATTGAGCGCATTGCCAAGCTCATCATCACGGACACTCGCACGCGGTTCCCTGATGACATCGGGGTCATGGCGGCTTTCCAGCTTTTCCTTCCCGGCAACATGCGCCAGGCTCGCAACCCGTACACATATGGCATGAAGGTAAGCGGGTTTAAGGCGTCGCCACTCGCCAGGATACTGCCGGGGCCAGGAGTATCTAATGATCTTAACCCTTAACCCTTCTCTGTCGCTGCATGCACCGAGCCCAAAATACCTGGTCGCCTGCTCATTGCGACATGCTTTAAACCCTCGAGCCTGGTTCCCTTTCCCTCAGGAGTTTGAGGTTCTTCTGAAGCACTACGGCAAGCCGGCTGCTGAGGGCTCGGAGCCCTTCATCGACAAGGCCAAGGCGCAGGAGGAGTTTGAGATGTTGTTCTTCCAGTGCGTGGAGGATGCTAGGAACGAGGAGATGTCCGACCTGGGCATGCAGGAATTCTGGCAGGTGGAGCTTGACTACCTGCGCGGCCGGCGTGCGCCTAACCTGATGAAGCTGGTCATGACAGCGCTGGTAATCATGCCAGCTACGGCGGAGGTGGAGCGGGGTTTCAGCACCATGAACGATGTGAAGGGGGACAGCCGCAACCGGCTGGGGCTGGACACCCTGGATGCGCTGATGCGCATAGCGCTGAATGGCCCACCGCTTGAGGAGTACAAGCGGCAGCTAGTGAAGGACGTGGTGGAGCGGTGGTTTGCGGCCAAGAAGCGCTGCCCCAACCGAAGCAGCCATGCGAGCCGGCCAACGCGTGTCAAAACGCACAAGGTGGAGGTGCTGTGGGAGGACTCCGCCGCGGGGGTTGTGATTGCGGTCTAGTAAGCTCGTCGTACCTTGGCTCAGTTCCTGATGACGTCTTACTAAAGCTCTTCTGCTGTACTGTCAGTTGCCAGGGCTGGGGCTTTGATGGAGAGTTAGCTACATGCGTTTCCGTATTTCGTACCAAGGGAGAGTGAGTACTGAGTAGCCCCGTGTAATGGCTTAGGCAGGATAGGTATAAGTTAGGGAATGGGGGACAGAAGACAGGAATGTGGCTGTGTTTGTTACACGTGCAATCTCAGCAGTCAGCACGTGTTGGTGCAGCACCGTGCGCTTATTGTTTGAGGCATTGACGAATAATGGCTTGGATCGTTGGATGGAGACTGTGACTTGTTAGCGCTAGCCTGAGAAGTGAGAGTATGTTTACATGTCGCCATGGTTGCGCGTTGCATGTGTGGGATGTGCCCCTTGGGTCGGATCACGCCCGTATGAGAGATATGAAGTAGCCCTAAGTAGTTTTCGATGTCTAGGTGAAGCATAACGCGGAGAATGCGATTTGCAAGAGAGAAAAGGCACGGTTTGAAGTTATAGTGGTGTACGGGCTTGGCGCCGGCTAATTAAAATTTTGGCCGCTTTTGAAAAAATTTCGTCGCCAGCCAACCGGAAATTTACAAGGACTTTTTAACTATTTCGTCGCTAGCGACGAAGCCCCTGGACGTAAGATAGCAACACTGCACTGCATGCATGCCCATGCAACCTGTTGTATGCAGGATGTCCCGCCGTACGACAATGTACCGCAGCTGCTAGCGGATCTAGATCAGGCACTGTCGGCATTGGCAGCTGCCATCTGCGCCTCCGCCACCACTGGGAGCAGCACCATCAGCGGCGCCGGCGCCGGCAATCCTCCTCCCGCGGTGTCAATGTCAAGCGGCACTGTTGCGGCCCTCATGGGCGGCATGCGTGAGCGAATCACCGCTGCGCTCCCGCTGCAGGGCGTTATGTCACGGCAGCTGCTGCCGCTGCAGCCACCGCCCGCGCAACCCTCCACGACGACGACAGCAGCCGCGACGGGGACAGTAGGCTTCCCTGGTCAGTACGTCGAAGTGGATCCGGCTGCGCTGTTGCCGCTTGAGTCGTTGACACAAGTGGGCGACGTGTCTGCTCAGCCGTACAGTGGTCGTGCCGTACAGCATGTGTCGTGCACAGGAGGCCCTGTGTACGGCAGTACGGGAGGGGAGGCAGGCGGGATGGGAAGTGGAGCGCTGCTGGCGGGGGCGGTGCGGATGAAGAGGAGCTGTTTGTCGCAATGGCTTGCGGCTGCTGAGGGTTAAGAGTGGATAGTGAGCGACGAGAAGTGGGAGTTAGGACAGAGGCGTGGACGTTTCGCTGAGCAAGCTCGAGTGGGAATGTGGAACTAGCGGTGCTTTTGTCCAAGTCTCTGCTTTTGTCCAAGTTCTATCTTCCCTCGAGGGTGACCGTGAAACCCTGCGACCCGAGGCGTTTTAGGCCCTTAACATTTTTGCACGTTAAGGATCCAAGAGCCCACGTTTTCACCTGTTTCGAAAAGGGGCTACTGGTTTTGCGTGCCTTGACCAGTGGCACTAAGCACATCGAGCTCTCCATACGTGGCAATACATTGAAGCCCTCGAAAGGCCCCCCATGGATGCGCCCCCCATGGCGTTATGTTCCCATGGCAGCCGTTTCACCCTGTCTAACCCAACACCTGGATGTACACGTTTACCATTTACCTGGCGATGTTGAGTACATTCTTTCTGGATACGTTCGGAATGAGACGAGCTTGTGCCATTCCCTGCGGCTGCGCCCTGATGGAAGGGGCCCATGCACGGCGTGCCGGCACCCTAAAGCGTAACTCAGCGCACCTACTAGCCTTAACCCCTTTGCTCTCTTTTGGGGAAGGGTTCTTGCGCCCGACCTATTCACGCACCCTTAGTGTTTACTTTAGCCAATACCGCTTGAAGCAGAAATCTTTCCTCTTCGTCCTATACTAGCAAATAAAGTGCACTTGTCCCAAACCGGGTTTCCAGATCCCCCCACCCACACGGAGCCGCCTCAGACCCCACCCTGCGGGCCCCTCCATCTGCCACCCCACAAATGAGAATGCTTTTCTAGCTGGCGATCTATGGCTGGCAATCGCCCTGGAAGGGAGTGACACCCATCCCCTTACACCTTCTTCCCCCGTCATTCAACAAAGAACTAAAGTTGAAAGTGTTAGTTCGTCACCCCAGCCCACTTCGTGTGGCGCTTATGAGAAGTAAGAAACTTGCTGTATACAAAGGTCCTGGCGGCAGGGCAGGAGAAGGCCAGCGGCAGAACCAGTCATTTCGCGGTCCATGGGTCCGGCCTTCGTGGGTTCCCCTCCCTTCCAGGTCTGTTACGATATGCACTTACTACCCTGGGGTAGCTGGCCAGGAGCTAAGTTCTTCAGATTACAGATTACTCACTCCTTGGTTTACTCGCACTAAAGCAGAGCGCGCGTCACAGTATGCCTTGTTCTATGTCCGCGCTGCTCACCAGCCGCCTCAGCAGGCCGGCGTTCTGCAGATAAGTTTCTTCTCACAGTGCTCATAACCCAAGAGCCCAATACAACAGAGCTTAGATAAACAGCTGCAATCAGGGATGCAAAGATTTATCTCCGCGAAGGACTTGGTCTATTTCTTCTCGTTGGCTGGAGGTTTCTGTGTTGCGGGAATGACGTGTGGCCAGTGGTTATTTTCCATCGAGCGGCTGCTGAGGGTTAAGAGTGGATAGTGAGCGACGAGACGTGGGAATTAGACCCGAAGGTGTGGACGTTTCACTGAGTGGGCTCGAGTGGGATTGTGGAACTAGCGGTGTATTGTGCTTCGATCTTCGTAATGCACTGGGGTCGCTGTAATTCATTTGGTGTTAGGCGCATGCCGTACATGCTTGTATGTATGGCTATTTGCATTGTATTCTGACAGGGGCACAGCCCAACGAACGTTCGTGCGTGTGCTGGTTTATTGCGCTTTGCATTATCCTGGTTGGAGCCCGAAGAGGATCACAAGCCGGTGGATCCTCCATTCGCCCAATGCCCCAATGCCGAGTACCATGGCTTACAGGACTGCTGCCTGAGCTCACAAGGCTGGGGGCTGCTTATGTCCAGTAATACCTTGTTAACCTTCAGCCCATGCATATCCCTCCATTCCCCTAGAATAGCTAGATAATCACGTCCGCACGGCAACCCATCCCCTAGCATTACAACCTCCATGCCACAGCCATAGCGGCATTTGCCAGGGCGGCCCTCCCGTCTTGGATGCACCTTCGCACGCCACACAAGACACGACACAATAGCCAATGCAAACAAGCCAGAGCCCCATTCCGATCTAGGTGGATGAGGGCAATTCTAACCTCAATGGACCCAATGGAGCAGGGGAACCGAAGGTCAATGATGGGTACCCAATACTGCAGCCACGTATTGCTTTAGATTCTAGAGTCATGCCAGACCAGGGCCCATGCCAGGGCCTGCACGCCAAGCGCCCAACCCACACCGTTGGATCGCAACCATAAGTGCACTGAGACACTAAGCAGTGATACCGCCCCCCCACCCTCGACCAACCTGAAGATGTCTACCTACAGTCCAGTCCATAGCTATTGAAGCCACTCCACTCCCCTACCCCTTGATAAGACGCACATGCCCCCTTCCTGGACGCTGCTGCTGCCCGAAGTACACCCACTTCCCTCACACCGGCAACACGCCCTGCACTACATGTTTACCATCCCCTATGTCCCAACCCGAGGTGGCACAGCCTCCATTATTACAGCATGCCCCTCAATGAGAGGCACCATGGGAGCTCCCGCCCTCCTCCCGTTACCTCCTGCCCCCCATGCTCCTCGCCAGCAAAGCCACCTCATGCGCCTCCTCCTCCCGCCACCGACCCAACAGGAACTCCCCCAGCGGGCCCATGTCAGGTACCCCCAGCCGCCCCGAGGAGCGACCCACACCCGAGGAAAACCCGCTGCCACCCCCGGTTGGAAGGCCGCTGGCGGATGAAGCGGCGGAGGCGGGCCCCAGCCCCGCTGCTGACATGCCCGCGGCACCGGCGGCGGTGCTTCCGGACTGCATGGGCTGAAGCGGCGAGGCGGCGGCGGAGGTGTAGAGGCCGGTCGCCGAGGCGCGCAGGGGCTCCAAGGCGGGTTCGCTGCTGCAGGACAGCCGTACCAGCAGCTCCTGGACGAGCCGGTACGACGCTCCGGGCATCTGTTGGTGTGCCATACGTACAATGCACGGCGCAGCGATTGGTAAGAGAGGGAGCAGCGGTTAGAGTACTCCTGTCCCACTTCAGGTATGTCTGTGGTATGTACGGAAGAGGCCAGTAGGTACGCAAGTATCGCTTCGGCTGGCAGCCAAACTGCTGAACCGCTATTAGTTGAAAACGTGCAGTCCTTGCAAAGGTCAAAACGACAGCCCAAACAAACCCAGCCGAACCCAGCCCAGACCCGCATCCATCCCGTGCCGTCCTCACCATCTTTTCAAGCTGTGCTAGGTTGCTGACGAGCCCCGACAGCAGCGCCTGGCTGCCCTTGTCCGCGCTGTTGAAGGAGGCGCGCAGGCAGGGAACCAGCAGCCGCGACTGCACCGCTGCGCTCTCCGCTGCGGTGCCCTCGCGAGCCATCAGGCCCACCAGGGTTCGGCTGCTGCTGCCGCCCGCTGCCTGGGTGCCCGGAGGGGCGGCTGCGGCTCCTGCGGGCGTACCGTTGGCGGCAGCTGCTGCTGGTGTACCGGCGGGTGCTGCTGTGGCGGCGCCGGAGGCAGCAGCAGCTACGGATGTTGATGTCGCAGGCGGCGTAGCGGGAGCCGAGGAGGAGGAGGCGGCGCGAGGCTGCTGTGCTGTTGAGGTGTTGGGCGCGGTGGCAGCAGGTGTTGTAGAGGAGGATGAGGGCGGGGGTGGTGCTGGTGGGGTTGAGGAGGCGGGTCCGGACCCCGCAGGTTGCGTGCGCTCTGAATGGGAGTGCGGATGACGGTGCGTGTCGCCATGCGTGTCCTCAACCTGCGGGTTTGGTTGCGGAAAGCACAGCGGTGGCGCCCGAGACAAGTGAAGAGGGGAGCCTAGATTGTGGGCTGTGGCAGAGAGGCACGGGGCAATAAAATAACAGCACACGCGAATCGACGGGGTGCCGGTTCCTTTCCCGTTTCCCCTCTCATGCACGCACCTGTTGTCTAGACTGAACCGTTGCATACGCCGATGAGCCGCCGTCTTTCCCAATGCCTGCGGTGCCGCTGCCGTTGCTGGTGGTGTGGGAGCGAAGGGACCCAGACGGCGAAACGCTGCTCGCAATGCCACCACTCGCAGTAACGCTGGCACGAGATTGCACAGTACCGTACTTATCGCCACCCTCGCCGCCAGCCGACGGCCCCGCCTCACCATCGCCCGCTGCTTGCGGCTGCCCGCCTCGGCTGTCATCTAACGACTCTGCTGAGGAAGTAAGAGTTGAATACCTGGGGTTGTGCGCCGGGCCCTTCCCGCCCGTCGGCGCAACAGCCGCAGACGCCGGTAAGCTCCCGGGTGCCGTGGACCCGGTAGAAAGACTCGTTCGGCCCAACCCTCCCGCCGGGCCCCCGCCTCGCAGCCCCACGCCGCCGGCAGCGCCTTGCTTGGCTGCAGCAGCGCCGCCACCTCCGCCTCCTTCCGCCCCGCCTGCAGCCGTCGTTCCCCGAGCTACAAGGTCGCGGTACATGCGCGCTTCCGCGGAGGACATGGTTGCAAACTTGGTTGCCGGCGGCGGGGCGCCCCGCGGCAGACCTGGCAACGGCGAGCTGCTGCCGCCGCTGGGAAGGACGAACCCCTCGCTCCCGGAAACGGAGGGCGGCCCGGGCAGACGGGGGGTGGCGGCGGCGCTGTCACCGTCGCCGGTTGAGTGCCGTGACGGTGAGCCGTGCGTTGCTAGGGGGGGTTGCGAGTCTGCATGGACGCGTTCTAGGTCCGGCAGCGACTCACGACTGGCTGCTGCTGCTGCTCCCGCGGCGGCCGCAGCGGCGGCTGCTGCCGTCGCCGCCGAGGGAAGCGTCCCATTGGCCATTCGAGGCGTCAGCGGCGTGCCACCCACCGCCGCCGCAGTGCCCCCAGACAGCACCTCCTTCAGGCCTGCACCCGCAACCCGACCCAGCGGCTCAACGCCACGTGACGCCACCGTCGCCATCGCCACCGCCGGCTGCTGCTGCCGTAGCGTCTCCCGCATCACATCCCCCGAGGCACTCCCCCGGACCGTCCCGCCGCTGCTCACAACCGACGCCATGGCACGAACCGTGCCCGCCGCCGCAGCGGCCGCCACCGCCGCCGCCGCCGCGCCCCCGCCCCGGCGCCCCATGGTCCCAAAGTCCCATGCCGGCAGGGTGCCGCCCGCCATGAGGGTTTCATCCGCACTGCGCCGCGACGTGACCGGCTTCTTGTGCCGCGCGAGCTCGTGCACCATGGCAGGCAGGTGGTCCGGGGGCTGCGACACGCCCGCGACGAAGGGGTGCTGCAGCAGGTCCTGTTTGGGGAGTGTGGGGATGAGAGGTGAAGCGTGAAGCGAGAAGGGGTGACCCGCAGGTGGGTTGGAAGGGAGCGGAGCGTAAGACGGTGAGAAAAGAGGACACGCGACTTGTCCCATGTCCCGGGAAAAGTGCGTGTACAGGAGAGACGATTTGAGCATTCTAAAGTAACTATCCAGCAGGGAAGAACGCCTCCGTGTGCACCTACCCTGGCTGCGGGGCGTTCCGCGGGGTCCTTCTTGAGGCACGTGGCCACGAAGTCCTTGAGCTCCGGGGAGAAGTTGTCGCCCGTCAGCAGGGGCGCGGGGCCCTTGGGGATGAGGAACAGCACGCGCATGGGGTGCAGCGCGGCGTGCGGCGGGGCGCCGGTAGCCATCTCAATGGCGGTGATGCCCAGCGACCAGACGTCCGCCTTTTCGCTGTAGCCCTCCTCGGAGGTGTCAATCACCTGAGGGGTGAGGTCGGGTGAGGCCAGGTGCGGAGGTGAGGTGAGGGGACGGGAAGAGCGGCGTTGAAACAGCAAGCACAAGGGTAGACAAGCACCATGAGCGGGCCGCGGAACAGGTTTTACAGCGGGACCAGTCGCCGACAGATCCCGGAGAGGTGCCGCGCAGGCCTCACGGACGCAGGTTTGGAGGAGGACAGGACCAGGGAGTGTGAGAACCAGCGCTGCACGCAGCCGTACCTCCGGCGCCATCCAGAAGGGAGTGCCCACAAAGGTCTTCCGGCGGTACCCCAGTGTGCCCGTCAGCTGCCCCGATACCCCAAAGTCGGTGATCTTCACGTCGCCGCTGTGGGAGAGCAGGATGTTAGCCGCCTGGGGGCGGGAGGACAGGAGGGTTGCGGGTCAGGTTGCACAGCTGTTGCGAGCTTACGACAGCTGGTTGGAGGGGGATGCAGGAGTGTACTTATACCTGAATTACCAAAGAATGCATCAAGGAATGCGCGGGCAGGGAGAGCGCCAGTGAGGGGCACATCATGCGTGCGTCCGCATGAAGGCCGCAGTGCGCTGGGAGGCGCAACCCCGCGCGCCACCTGCCACATGTTGTGGTTCCTTCCCTTTGGTTCCTCTCTGATCTCATGCCGTACATACATGTCGCGGCCAATCTTCTTTACATACCCCATGTCGTACATACCTTAATGTCCCGATGTATTCGGTGCTCCGAGTGCAGGTAGACAAGCGCGTTGAGCACCTGGTGGCGAAGATGGTGAGGCACACAGAAGAAGGACGCGAGAGGGAATTTTACTTGGATGAAGAGCTAAATTGCATGGCATATCGCAGGGGACGCATGAACGGCAGGACAAGGGCATCCCAGCAGTGTTCCCCGTTATCTCCCAGTTACTGTCCTGTGCTGAGAGCACAACCCCTGTCATGTTCCATGCGCTGCTGCCCCTGTGGATGATTGTGAGTGCCGCCGCCGCCGCCGTCTCACGCACCTGGGAGAGCACAAAGGCGATGCATGCCTCGTCCAGCGGCCCGTGGTGCACCTGCACACATGCGGCAACAGCAACAGATCGCGTTGTTACTCTTGAAAGAAAACGCAGGGGAACCACAAAAGCTAAGCTGCCGTCTCATGCCACGTAAAGGTGTGCACTCGCTGTGTGTAGCCCAAGTGCCTCCCTCGCCCCGGTCCCTCCCGACCCGCACACACAGCCGCTTCAGCTCCACCTCCTACCAGTGTCCAAGCCATCATGCGTCCGTTCCTTCCCTTCAATTCCCGTCCTCATGCAGCTCCTCAACTCTTTCAACGAGCCCCATTCACACAATAACCCGCTTCCAACCCACAGCCCCACCCTACGGCATTTACGCCCGCTCTAAACAACCCTTCACACGCCACCCAGCCCACCAGATCAAACACGGAGCAGGCCATCAACTCCATCACGATGTGCAACTCCGCACTGCCGCTGCGCAGCACGGAGCCGTAGTACTCGGTGATGTTTTTACACTTGCATCCCGCCAGCATTTGAATCTCCTGTGACCAGACAGGAGATAGCCGAGGGGAAGAAAATTTGGACGTGCAACAGCCATGGTGCATGATTGCGGGGACCTAACACGTGTGTGCGGTGGTAGGGCCTGGAGCACGGCAAGGGTGCATGTGCGAAGAATGGATCAGAGAGGTCCTTGGCGGCCTACCTTGTGGATTTCCTGGATGTCATCCTCCCTGCGAGAGGCCACGTGGGAGGGAAAAGAAGCCGTGGCGTGGGTATAGTCTAGGCAGGAAAGAGCGGCAGTACAAGGTTTCGGCCCTGCGGCATAATTCCAACTTACACATCCTCCAAATCAATGACTTTTATTGCCACAGCTTGACCGGTGACGTTGTCCACGCTGCGGCGAAAAGGGATGTGGAAGGCAGGTAAGGTCAGCGCCCTGGATGCTTGAGGCGCTAGACCATACTGGCAAAATGCCATGTTTCACAAACCTTCCCGTAAAAGCACGGTATAGTACTGAAATATGCCCCGTTGCTTACCCCTCGTAGACATCTCCAAACGAACCTCGACCGATGCAGTGGCGTCTTTCGAAGCGCTCTGAGGCCATAATTCTTTAGCCTGACTTGTCTACTGTAGCTCCACTCGCCTGCTGCTGGCGGTGGCTGCGGATTTCAGCAGGAGGCCTGTGCTGCAGCTGCCTCAGGTAAATCCCAAGATAGGCGGGTGGGCATCGAGAAAGCAAGCTCTAAGCAAAACAGAGCTATGAGTTCCAGGGCTAACAGGCTTGACCGTGTGAGAGTATCGAACGAAAGGTGCCGGTCGTAACCTTTAAATAGAAAGGATGTGTAGCGCAAAAACAGGGGAGGTGTAGGATATTAGGCAAAGGCTGGTACAACGTTGCTACATAGCTTGGAAGGGATCGTATGTGATGCCTGGTACGGTCGCGCAAAGGGTACTGCAAAGTAATGTTGTCAGCAAGCAGCCAAAGCAGCCATTAATTATTAGCTATACACCTGTTTTGGTTCTACTTGATTGTGGATAGGTCCCCTAACGCCGTTAGAATGGTTAACCTTTAATAAATAAGCAGGGTGCTCCACGAACCGGACTTTGAGAAACGAATGCCTCATGGCAATGCCTTCCTTGCTTCAAGCAATGGCCTCGACTATTCCATAATGCCACAAGGCCGGGCGAGCCCCAGCTTGCGCGGCTGTCGATTGGCGCTAGCTAATGCAAGACGTGGATGGATGGGGCTGCGAACACCACCACATTCTAGACTGCCTGTGGCCTTAAGGGCCTTGCCAAACATGGAAATAGACATAACATCGTCCATATTCGCTTTAAAGGTCGAGCAGTTGGAGGCGGGGCTGTACGCGGAGGAGGTTGTTGCTCAGGGCTTAGGGTTCACAAGCTCCTGCGGACGTTACGGTTGAATCGAACGCGTTCCGCTGGAAGCACTTTTTCGGGGCACAGTGGTCACATGGAGCGTGGAGTTTTCCTCCTATCTGGAAAACGCAAGCGATGTTCTTTAGCTCTTTGATGCAGCGTAACCGCCTGTCGTGCATGCTTGCACCCAACGCCCAATCCCCGCCTTGCGTTATCGCTCAGCTGCTTCACTGCATCACCAAACTTGCTCCTCACGCGGTTGCTGCAATGCTCTTTCCATTCCGTGCAGGGCCCGACACTCTCCCAGCTGCTACAGTACGGCACGTCTGCATTGTCGCTGGTAGGATCCGGCTGGCACGCTCTCACCGCCCCCTTCGCGGTCTTCGGTCCTGACCGATGGGGTCTGAACCTCTTGTTCTACTCGGCTCTGCTGCTGTTGGTCTTCAACCTGATCTTCCAAACCCCCAAGCAGTAGGGCTGCATGCCTCGGTTCGCCACACGGCTTTGGGTTGAGTTAAGGGGTGGTGTCAGGGGTGGCTTCTACGAGGAAAACTGACCACTGTAAGAGGACTGGCTTTGAAGGGCTCATGGCCAATGATACAAACCGTAAGATGAATGGCTGGGGAGCGAGAAGTCAGGGCGTGTATTTTGATGCAGGCGTGTTGTAAAGCATGCATGTGGGCGAAGGACGGTCGCACTCAAGGTTGCACAGGTGCCGGTGGAAACATGCTGCAGCATTTACAGCGCATCTCAGACTTTGCAAAACACGTACTCAAGAAAAGCCTCTCATGGTTGCGTGTCACATGTGCCGTAGCCTACCTCTCGTTGCGTTAAACAGCCTCCCCACCTCACATCCCAGCTACCCCACATCTCGGTGCACAGCTACATCGTAAATTCATCATCATGCTAAACGGTATTTGCATTCACAGCGAATCCTACTAGTCCCTGCCATCAGGTACCGAGACACCACAAAACACGTCTTACTCGGCACGTGTCTAAATGGTGTCAGCACATTCCGACATGCGCAGGAGTGGTCAGAACAAGTCAAGTATACCATTATGCTTCATCAGTTATAATAACCAGATCACAACGAGACCCACTTACTGCACAAGCACGCCAACCCCTTCCGCTATCTAGATACGGGGCCTGCCCTCACGGCATGACAGCACCGTTAACGCCCACATTGCACCCGTTTCCCAAAAGCATCATCACTACCGGAGCGACCTCACGATATCTCCTTACCTTTTCGCCCTACCCGCTTTCCCTCTCTGACCCTGCTCACCCCCCCCGTCACGCCACTCCTATGCTCTTATGTATGGGCCGGTAAGGGCCTGGCATCCCCCACAAGTCCGCTCCTCACCCGCCGCCCCTCGCTCCTCATGCTTGCACGGTGGCTAGCCCCTCCAGTTGCCGTACATCGTCCACATCCAGGAACGACTCCACCTGCACGCAGCCGCAGCAGCGGTGGACGAAAGCACACGGTTACTGCAGGTCACGAAACATGGTCATGCGGCCATGAGGCTCACGGCCCTGTTGGGTTATAACACAGCAGCAACAGTCATGTAAGTGCAGTGGAACCCGGCAAGGAGATAGGGATATGGCACCAGCGCCACAGCACCCCTTCGTTTCCCATCCTACCCCTCGTTAAGCTACTGGTACCGGTACCCATCCTTTGCTTAAATTCACGGTCTAGCAACAGCCCTCTTCACAGCCCAACCGCCAACGCCCCTCTTCCCTGCTGCTGCCACCTTAAGCCCTGACACCACAACCTCCCAACCGTCCCAAGCCCTGGTTCCGACACCGCCCACACCACCGCACCTGGAACAACGCCGCGTCCACTCCTGGTTTCCCGCCGTTCCGTTGCGCACTCGCCCAACCCTCGTAGCCGAACTGCCGCCACACGCGCTGCCCCCAGCGGGTGGTGACCAGCGGGAAGCAACCCACGTCGATCTGCCAGCGCAGGGCGACCGTCTCCGGCCGCACACTGTGCTTGTCCGCAATGCCCTTCACCACCGTCAACGCGTCCTACACGCGGAGGAGGGTGCGCAGGGGAGGAGGTGGTGTGAGGAAGGCACGCATGCATGCATGTGTTGAGGCTTGGAAAGGGGTTCAGAATTTGCTTCACATGGTCATGCGTTAAGGCTGCAAGGCAACTCCGCCGTCGTCATGCCGTGATCCCACCCCGCCCCACCCTCTCCCTGTCCTTCCCCCTCCCACCTGCAGCTTGCTCCACCCCCCGATGTTGTTGACCATATCCAGGCAGGCGGGCACCGAGTCCAGGTCGGGGTCGCCTGAAGGGCAGCGGAGGGAGGCCATTGGGGAGTTGGAGCAGTTGGAGGAGTCGGGGGGCGGGGCACGTCAAGAGGTCTTGATTGACACGAGGAATTGAAAATGGTGCGACCAACGTACGCGACTAAATGCCCTCCCCTGCATAGGGCTTCATTCCACCAGGTACCGCCGCTCCTGTCCCCCCGCCTCCCATACTTCCACCCGAGCCCGAGTGCGCCCCCACCCTCTACCCTGGCCCCCACCCACCCTTGACCGGGTCCGGCGGCGGCGCCCCCAGGTACTTGTCCGACAGCAGGCCTCCCAGTGTGCCCCCGCGCGCCAGCACCTTGATGCCGTACCGCGCACACAGCGTCAGCACCGCCGCTGAGCTGCGCACACACACGCTGTGCTCCACCTGGGGGGGTTGGGGGGGAGGGAAAGGGAAGGTGGGTGGGGAGGGAAAGGGGAGGGAGGAGGAAGCAAGGAGGCAGGGAGTTTGGCAAGGTGAAAGAAAACGACGCGCGGCAGCGGATGTGGGAGGCGACGAAGCGCCTATCCTGAGCTGCATGCCTGCATGCTGCTATCACCCCCGTTCAGAGTCACACAGCTGCATCCCCATGCAAGCATGTGGCCTCTCCCCGCCACGCCCTCCCCGCGGACTCCGCAAGGACCGCACCCTCCCCCCTCCCGCCCTACATACACAGCACACAACCCCAGTACGGTCCGACTCGCGGCCAGTTACCGGTATCTCCTTAAGATTAACAGCTCCTGTCTCCCCCGCTCGCCCCAGTTCTTCAGTTTTTCCTTATCTTTACCCCCCCCCGCTCTCCCCCACCTGCACGCAAGTGATGGGCACGCCCGCCTGTATGACCGCCTTCAGCTGCTCCGCGGGGAAGTCAACGAGCCCGATACCGCGGATGCGCCGAGGCTCCGTCACCACCACCTCGCCCGTCTCCTCGTTCACCTGGGGGTGGTGGTGGTGGTGGGAAGGGCCAGGAGGCGGGAGGGAGGCGCGGAAGCAGGTGAGCGGGAGTGGCGAGGCAGCAGCAGGAGCGCGGGAATGGCAAGGAGGAGGTCGGCAGATGCCTGCCTTGCTGGTGCCTGTGTACGCGGCCATCCCAACCCCCCCCCCACCACCCACCTCCAGCTGGTCTGTTGCCAACCGCTGAAGCGCCTTCAGAACGGGAAGCGGGTCAGAAGCCTGTAGCAGCAAGAGGGGCGCGGAGTCAGGTGATGCGAACCGCATGGACTTGGCATAGCAAGGTACACAATCTACCTTCCGCCTTCCCTACTTGTTCCTTTCCTTGTTACCCCTACTCCCTCCTATGCCGTCGCCTTCCTCCGAACGGGGCTGGGTGTTTTGCTCCCCTCTAACCCCGACCCCCCGCCCCTGCCTCCCGCTCCCTACTCCCCACCCATGGCTAGTCGCTTCCTTCCTCTTTCCCCTTCCCCACCTCCATTCACGGCATGGCATCTTTCCTTCCTCCCTTCTCACACGGTCAGTTAACTGTTTCCTCTTTAGTCATTACCCCCCATGCTTGCACCCCATGGTGAATCCTTGTCACACAGCTCACTAGTTGCCTCCTCATTCGCCCCCCCCCTTTCGTTGCTGCATTTTATCATTTCCTCCCCTCTTCCCCCCACCCACCCCACCTGGAAGTCCCACCACACCAGCTGCACCAGGTCGAGCGGCAGCGGCAGCCCCTCCGGCGTCGTCAGCCCCTCCGCGCCGTACACGTTGCTCCGCGCCCGCTCCACGTACGCCTCCACCGCCGCAGCCGCGCCCGTCGGCCCGCCGGTGGCCCAGGCGTCCGTGAAGACGTTGGGAGCCAGCTTGAGCAGCAGCTGCACGCGGTCGGGACCCCGCTCGCGCTCGTACCTGGGCGGGGATGATGCGGGAAAGGGGGATTTGGACAGTTGAAGTGGGTTTGGGGCGGGTTGGGGTTTAGAGGGGTAACATAATGGGACCGCTGAGGAGGCTCCACTCCTGATGCTTCCCTGGCTGTCCCCCGCTGCTTACCAACCGGCAGCCACGCATCCCTGGACCCCTACACTCCCACCACCTCCGCACCCCTGGCCCCACCCACCTCCGTTTAAAGGTGCCCAGCACCCGCTCCGCTCCGTCAAAGAAGCCCGCTGGCGGTGCCGCCGAGGGCAGCTCGCCGAACAGTTGCCGCAGGGGGCAATAGGGCCAGCCGGCGCCGCTCACCTCAAAGGTGGTCATGCCCGCGTCTGCGAGGTCCGTCAGGGCCTGCGGGGGCGAGGTGGAGGAGGAGGAGGAGCGCACGTGTTCCCATGTGGGTCGGGTCACATGTGGGTCCGCTGACAGGTGGAGTGAGCAGCAGCACCTGAGCTGTGTCTCCCTCACCCTCACCCACGCCACTCATCCACCGTTCCATGCAACCCGGATTTTCCCTCCCGTGTCTTCCGCCTCCCCCGCCCGTGTCCCGTGTCCTGCATAGTGCCCCCCCACACACAAAATCACGGCCCTACCTGCACCCACGGCACCAGCGACAGCGGGTCGTCGCTGAAGGATGCCTTCAGTTCCGCCACCGCCGCCTCCGTGTCCGCGATGGCCACTCGGAGGACCTCCAGCTCCGCGGCCTTGGCCTGGGGGTGGGGTGAGGGAGGGAGGCGCGGGTGGGGTCAGGCGGAGGCGTGAAAGGAGGAGAGAAGGGACTGCGGCGCTGTCCTTCCGGCTGGTGAAGTGGCCCTCTCCCGCGCTCTGCACTTCGCACGGCCCAATCCCGACGGGCCTTAGCCACCCCGTCCCGCCCCCACCTCCGCCTCCGCGCCCTTCAACCCAGCTAGCTCAAGCTCAAGCTCCTTCGCCTGAATGGTCAGCTGGTTCCACTTGAGGAAGGGGGTGCAGCGCGCCAGCCGCCGCACCAGCTCCTGTGAGCCGTACAGATACGTAGGGCGGGAAGACATGGGCAGGGCAGCGGGAGGCTGTACAAAAGCACAAGGGCCGCTTACAACGACCCATGGGAGCAGGTAGGCCGGGTGAAGGCTACCAAGGTTAATCGTACACTCGTCCGTGATATGCGGCATGTGGGTTTGCGCTAGGGAGACCACACAGCTTTTCTGCCAACACCTGGCCATACGCGCACGTCGCCAACCCCAACCCTACTGTCCTCCCCGCACCCCTGTAGCCATCCAGGGGCTGTTGATCCCGTGCATCTCGCCCAGAGCCATGAGAGTATTCAAATGCAACATGCGCCCTAACGGGCTTGGCTTTGGCGCGACTAAAAGAGTAACTAGACGTTGATTACGGTGCAGTCTGCGGCCAACGGGCCACGCACGCTGCTCAGATGATCAGAATGAAACATACGTTATACTCAGGAGCCGCAGCGTCGAACGACGGAGGCGGTGGGCCTGTCGACTCGCCCGCGTCCTCTGGAGGCGCGGGAATCCAGCTTTCTGATAACATAGCCTGGAAAGGACGAGCAAATGCGAGTACATAGCTAAATCTTAATAGACATTGGTGAGCCGTTGAGCATGCCTTGCAACACAGCTGGGTTCTATTACAGTCCGACATTCGCATGCATGCCAGTTTACCTTCGCATCCCCAGGAAGCCAGCATGAGTTAACTATTGGTGATAGCGCTACACCAGGAAGTAGCTCGACGGGTGGACGTTCTGAGCCGTAAAGCTCGAAAAGAATCGGGTCTGGTGCTGGCCCACTAGCTGGCTCCTCTCCGGGCTCCGCCATAGCAGCACCGCTCACGTGTGTATAAAGGGGCAGCTATCCTACTAGTACGTACAGAAAAGTAGGAAAGAGTTTTGCTGGGCGAAAGAGTTCTTCAAGAAGGACGGATGGTCAAAGATATAACGCTGCAAAACAATAGCGTTATCTGGTTACGTGCTTTGCATGTTGGCACTGCTCCTAAGTGCTGATGTCCTGGAGGAGTCCTCGAAGGGTACGGCCTTGACCGTACTGTTTGTTGACCGCTTAACCGATGGTATCAAGCCAGCTTGTAAATAGAGGAAACATCTTGATGCAATTTGCGGCAATTTTGTCATACCCAAACGTTCTTAGTCGACGAGCTTGGCTTTCACGTGCAGTCCCTCGTGGAAGGGTATGTATCGCATGAGCGCACGCTTTCATGGGTATTGTCATGGGAAGTTGACCGGGAGAATGTCTGTAAAATGCTCTCAGTCTTACACAAGGCAAAGCCCGGACCATGAAGGCAAACGGGCACAGCTCGCCTACAGCTCTATGCGCGGGGCTTAATCGCCACAACGTGCAACAGCCTCCCGAATCCCATCATTGCGGCGGTATCGGTCGACCATCATTGTTTTCTCTCAAATACCTCTCTCGCTATCATCAAAGATGCGGATCCGAACTAGCGGTGCACGAAACACCACACATGAAACCAAAGCCACCATAGCAAAGGGGTGGTCTTCGTGGTCGGCTAAAACCAAGTCAACCAAGTCCCCCTCGGTTACCATCCATATTATGTGCCCCTAGTGGAGCGGCCCCTTCCCGCCGTTGTAAGGATGGTGTGGTGGAAGGCCGCCGCCCCAATTCACAAACGGCAAGGCACTGGGCCAAGAGGAACCCAAACAGTCAGCGGACCAGACCAAAAAACATCGTCAACCTGCCTGCCTGACACCTGCACCTGCCTCGCCTGGTATAATCTTTAATTTTTATCTGAAAGGGCAATGGGGTCAATTATAGTGATTTGGTGCTTTCTAACGCCTACGGAAAGGTCCAGCAAGTAAGGCCTATCCTATAGAAAACCAAGCAAGCGGCGCAAAACTACCTTTTTTTATGGCACACACACACGCTCACACATGCTAAACCTCTAGACCTATAAACTGCTGCGCCCTATTTTAGTCCCAGACAGTCGCAACTCACAAACCCCTGTAAGGGAGCGGGGCGGAGTGCGATGCCCATGCGGTGATCCTGTGCTAACGACATCCTGCAAACGCACCATGAGATACGAGGGCACACAGCTGCTGTAACCTTTTTGCCCCTCGCAACCAATGTATCCACACACCATACCCGGCGGTGAGGCCACGACAACACACACGGCAATTGCGCACGAATCGCCTAACTTCCTGCAAATCTGCTGGAGAGGATCAAAAAAGCTCCCTCCTTCCTACTGCATCTTCCTGTCCTGCTAAGAGCCAAACTACAGAGCCGCAGGTGGAAAGGAGGGCACATCATACCAGCCCGCCTGCCCTCCCCCGCCAGCTACACTACAATCGGGCACATCCCTAATCATCTTCTCAAGCACTTTCTGACAACCAGCGCTGTAAGGCGACACCATACCTCAACACAGCATACCGCTTTGCTACTTCGGCTCACGCGGCGGCGCCTGCTCTTCTACGTCCTGCTCCTGACAACTGACGACCAGAAACTCTACGGGGCCGACTATGAAGCCCTCCGAAACCTTCATCATAACTGACTCCATAGACACCTGACTTCAGGTGGAACGACGACTGTGACTGTTAGGCAACAAGGAGGGCGCGCTGGTCGGGGGTACTCCTGACTAGGGCACTCCTGCCTGCCTGCCTCCCTCTCATGCTGCCACGTTGAACATCAGCTCCCGAGCCACTGCAGCAGCAGAGTGGCGGAAGCAGAAGAGAGAAGCACGGCGTCGGAATGAAGTTTCATGAATTAGAAAGTAGACGATACAACGGAGGCAGCACACCGCAATTGCCGGGCAAGACATCAATGTGATACACGACAGCAACATGGACACGAACACACGGCACGTACGAAGGGGACGTACGAGAGACGCGACGACGACGCAGCCAATCGCTGCAACGAAGCAGCGAGCGCTTGCGCGCGTCACAACACGCGCCTCGGCGACAACAATGCATGGACGGACGCACGCACGCACCCCAAGCCCAAAACAAGCAACCAGCAGCGGACTTCACTCTTGGTGGTGGATGCGCACCCACGAGTGTGTACATCGCCTCGAGGTGCGCATTGTTGTGGAGCTGAAGCACACACACATTACTCGAGTGCTTTCTAATACAGGTGCTAAGGCTAAGGGCTTACTATCAGCACAGGACTCTCTTTTTGCCTCCCTCTGCCCTGCCCAGCCCTTTCCAAAGCCTGATTAGGCATTCCCTAGCTGTGCTACGGCGACGTGGGGTCCCATGGAGAACCTAGCGAAGGAGACCCACCCGCACCCGCCATGGTTCTCACGACGCCCGCCGATTGGGCCGTACCACTCGAGATGGGCGAAGCCATGCGGCGCGCCGCCTCCAGCTCCTCCACCCCGTTCGCGGACGCCACACGCGGCATCGACATGTTGGCCAGCGTCTCCTGCACCGACGCCACGTTCACGTTGACGTCCGGCGACAGGTTCACGGCTGGCGACAGCGGCGTGTGGACCGGGCTGGGGGTGCTGGCCTGCAGGGACATAGCCATGGGGCTGCGAGCGCCCTGGGCGTGCGCCGCGGCGGCAGCCGCATGGTGGCTGCTGTGGTGCGAGTGGTGCGAGGCGGAGCCGGCCATGTTGTTGTTGTTGCGCACGCCCAGCTGCTCCGCGTACATGACCTTGAGCCGCTGGTTGGAGTGCGCGGGAAACTCAATGCCGTTGAGCTGCGCAATAGCGGCAGCGGCGGCCTCCGGGGTCGAGTAGTTGACAAAGCAGAAGCCCTGTGCAGGGGAGCAGGGCAATGCGCAGGTGGTAAGTGTTGGTGAGATGACGGAGGGACGGGAATGGCAGCCATGCAGGGTGACAGCAGCGCATATGGCTACATGGGTTGAGCCGACCCATGGGCACATGGGGTGCCCTAACAGCTCTGCCAGCCCAGCTGGCCCAACCAGGGACCTCCTCCTCTCTCCTCCGTCCTCCCTGTCACCTTGGAGCGGCCGGTGGCTGGGTCCTTCTTCAGGTCGCAGTACTCCATGCCGTTGAACTTCCGGAACAGGCGGGCCAGCACGTCCTGGGTGACGCTCTGCAGGGGGCGGGTGGGTGGAGATAGGCATGCATGCATGGCGTTCAGCACGGCAGTGGGGATACTAGCATGCACGACATGCATGACACTTAGCATGGGGAAGCACATGCCAAGCCGCCGCTGTACCGCTGAACCCAAGTCCACAAGCCGACCATGCTTGCTAAGCAAGTGAACACCGTTTACCTTGTGCACCACGACGAACAGGCGCTGCTTGCTCAGCGTGGGAGAGTCGTGTGGCGTCACTGTCAGTTGGGTGGGGTAGGGTAGGGTAGGACACGATGGGGTCAGGTGAGCACACAGGCATACGAGTGGCATGGCTTGGGCAAGGTAGGAGCGGCTCAGGTACTCGGGGCCATGTACTGTTACTTGGCTGATTGCCCCCACCAACCCACGCCTCGCTCACCGCTGGTGCTATTGGTGTGCAGGCTGCCAAGGCCCATGTTGAAGCCCAGAGCGCCGACCTGCGTGTGGGGGGCAATGCAGGACAATGGGAGGGCGGGTTATGGAATGGCGTCCGGGTAATGGAGACGGTCCCCGGCCAGCAAGATGCACGTGGGTCGTGTCAACCCACATCCCACAAGACTTCATCCATGCACAACACTCGGCATGCACTTGCTGTGATGCAGTGCTCGCATGCGAAGGGCCAGCCACACACCACACGCACACGCACCTGCGCCGACAGGTGCGACTGCATGTTGGCCGCCAGGTTGGCAGCGTCGTTCAGGTGGTTGAAGCTGCCCAAGCCACCCAGGCCGCCCAGGCCGGAGATGGTGGTGTAGTCCGTCACGCCGATGGGTCCAGGCGACAGGGCTGCGGGCAGGGGACATTGGACAGGGGCCGTCAGACCATGCAGCCAGGATAGGTAACATGAGCAGACGGTTGTTGACGGGTATTGATGTAGGCATCACAGTATGTCGTCATGTTGTCGCCCCACTCGATAGAATGTTTCCCGGGCCTTCATGACGTCTCTGTTTCACACGTCATGGACCTATGGTTGCGAGCCGCCTGACCGGAGGAGCCACCCGACCCAAGTGGGTGCAAGGAAGGGGGTGCAAGGGCGCGCTCACCATGTCCCATGGGCAGGTCCAGCTGCATGTGGGTCGCGTCGGGCTGCAGGTGCGGGTTGATGCCGTACTCGAGCTTAGCCGCCGGCTGCAAGAGGACACGGGAGCGGTCACAGCAGGGTCAGCGTTGCCTATGCGGGCACACAGGCGCTGCTACAGGTAGCCAGGAAGAGGGAGTATACACGTCAGGGGAAGGCAAGGAGAGCAGGGGGCAGCACATCTGCCGCTGACCCACCTGCGCCAAGGGGGAGAACATGTCCTGCGGAGATCCGTCGCCCCGGCCGCGCTTGGTCTTAGGCTCCGCAAGCATGCACTTCACCTTGTACGGGCCCACCTGCAACCCGCAAAGGATGGCGCGTTAGCTGAAGGCATTGATGATGCCGCCAACCGAAAGGAAATGGACTTGTACGCTGTTTGTCGGGTGCAAGCAAGGCTTAACCGTGCTGCGTAAACCTACCGTGCCGCGCGCTGTCACGTCCTCCAGGGAGCGCAGGGCATACGAAGCCTTCGTAAACTTGCAGAAGACGACACCCTTGCTAGCGACAAGGTCCGTCTTGCAGTATTCGATGCCATCATAACCTGCCATGGCATCCTACATGCACAAAAGCCGCGATGTCAGCTTTTATAGGTGGCAGACGCCGAAGAACCAAACTGCTAGAAGCGCGAGGCCCTACGTTGATCTGCTGCGGATCCGCCTGCTTTGGGACGACAATGAAAAGACGCGAGCGAGGAGGAATGTTGTCAGGGTCCGAGCTGATCTCCTGCTCAGCGGGCCTCGGAGGTTGCATGCCCCTGCGTAGCAATCGGTGCAAGCAGGCAGATAAGGAACTATCTATACATCGCCCAAATCGGGCTATATGATAATAACTAGCCACAATATAGTTTAAAACATTTACCTCGAAGTGCAAACGGCAATCGCGGCCGGCGGCGTGTGAGAAAGCATGGCGACACAAGTCGTGTGAATTTGAAGCGATTTAAAGAGTGCTCTATGACATAAATGTTGGATAGACAGCGAAGGATTGCGTCGACACTAGCTTCTAGGCTGACCTCGAGGTGTTAGGGGCCTCCGCCAGCAGAACCTTGAGCTTCGGGCCCCGACCGTTGTTGAGCACCGCCCCGTTCAGGTTCTCCATTGCAAGAGCGGCGGAGGAAGCCTTGTCATACTTGACGTAGGCAACTGCAAGGTAGGGGTGGGAGGTAGCTCGTCATGATCAGTACCGGCAAGCCTCCCAAGTCGCCGATACCCCAAGGCGCTGAACGACAACACCATATCGTATAGATAGGGTTCACAACTGTATAGCTGGCACAGATTTAGCGCGAGGGTCTTTAGGACTGCCCTAAAAGGACGATCAGTGGGCGTCGGGCTCGTCGGCCAGCGACACCCCTCAAAGGAACTGGCTCACCTCCCTTCTCCCGAATGACCTTGACGTTCTGGACGTTGCCGAAAGGCCGGAACGCAACTTGCAGCGTCTCAGCCTGCATGGGGCAGAGCAATGAAGCCACATCGCTCACCCGAACTGTTCGCCCCACCGCCTGATCGCCAAGCTCCGCGTGGGCGCACCTCGACATTCTTGCCACAGACGATGAAAAGGCGGCTGCCGTGAGGGGAATCCACCGACTGCTCCATAGTTCGCTAGTCTGTGCCGCTCCCGTCTCCCAAGTAGGTGGAGACTAGAGCGATGCCGTCTACTGTGTCATCCGCGTATTTAGGTTTTGGTTAAGTTCGAGGCTTGAAAGCGGCGGCGCATCGAGGCTTTAAAGAACAGGGTGGTGGAACGCCGTACACCACCCAGGTTGTACGCTGCAATGAACGCTCCAGGCCATTTGGACACTGTTCGTATGCCCTCTTGTTATATAAAAACGTGTAGACATCAGCTGTGGTGATCTACTGCCAAGGCACGGGCTTGCGGCAGAATGCTGCTCGTCCTGTGCACGTCACCAGATGCCGGAACCTTTGCGAGGACGTTCATGGACGGATGGTCATGGGAAAGCTCAATGACACAATGCCTGGGCTCGGCCCGATGGACGTGCATTTTAGGGATTCGACATATGCATTGATGCTTAGCAGTCGCGTCGCACCACAGTTCTTTTGTTGGAAAACGCCAGATGCTAGGCGATACAGACTGTCTTCAGATGCACGCATGCACAGCGTTTATACTTTCGGAGTCGAATCGGTTGAGACGCGACTGGTTGCTTTTCTGCCATGTTTCTTGATACAGGGTGATATTCTATTGCTTAGGGTAATGCTTGCGACTTCTCTCGTGTTGTTTCATTCCGCTCCCTTGCAAGTTATGCTCGGCCTGCAGAAGCAGGGTTATTTGCATTGTGTCAAGAGGACCTTCTTCTAGAACGTAGGCTTTATGCAAACGTCTGGGTGTTACACCTTTTGCTGGACCGCATACGCGATGAGGCCAGTACCGCATTGCCTTGTACCAAGCATCACACGTCTAGGGCTGTTGTGTCAAAGAAACAATAGACTATTTCTAACTATTAACTAAAGCCATCTGCGTATCTTCTTTCTTGGGCCAGCGTTGCTACTCCTACCCTAAGTACCTGTTTGGGAGGTAAGCGGTATGCGCCTTATAAGTAGAAGAAGTAAAGACACACTAAGATAAGCAGAGTATTACTATTTTAACATACTGAGGAGTCGCCGAAGCTTATCTCTTTTCACGACCTAATGTTACCTCACCTCCTGCTGTGGAACCTGTCGAGAGATTAATTTCCTAACACAGCTATGAACTATTTTCTTTCGTCCTACTTCTCGCTTAGTTCCGGATATGCCTGAGAGAGTAACCTGTCCACGCCGGCTCGAAGTCCAACGGTGAAGAGTTGATATGGGCTTCGGGGCTGAAGGCAACCTTGCAAAGACTCCGCCGAAAGGCAAAGGCGCTAAGAAAGACAGAGGACCACTGCTCGCAGCGCATGCAGATGCGCTTCGGACGGGATTCGGCACGGTGAGTTCCTTTGTGACTCTGTCGTTTCTGAGTTGGGCTTCAATGACACGCATGGCTAATCGTGCTGTCGTATCGCTCCATACAGACGCCGGATGGCCAGGTCATTAGAGGTAAGCTCACAGCGGCTTTGAACATCTGGAGCATGGTGCTGGGCGGTGAGGACGAGGTAAGCGCAAGACAGGGGCCAGTAGGACATGTCTGGCCACAGCAGCACACGAAAACAGCCCTTGTAGCCTGTGTTGGGGTTGTCTTTGGTACAGGGGCCCTCGTGACCTCCTACTCATCGGATGTCCACACCCATTGCCACTGCCATAAGTTGTACCCCGACGTCCGCCGGCCTACCGGTACGAACCGCATCTGCATTCTCGATTCCTCCCTCACAATTGCTCTCCACGCCCCTGCTCTCCTCCCTCCTTCTCCTCTCCTTCCGCCAGTTCCCTGCACCAACCTGCACCTGATGCGCTCTCCCACCCGCCACCAACCCACATCCCCTGCCCGTCCCTCTCCCGCCCCTCCCCTCCACCCGCCCCTCCCGCCTCCCAGCGCGAGGAGGTGTTCAAGGCGGGGCTGGTGCCGCTGCTGCAGCACCTGCTGGAGCGGGGCGACGTGGAGGAGCGGCACGCCGCCATGGGCTGTCTGGCGGTGCTGGCGCAGAGCGAGAAGCACGTCAACGAGGTGGTCACACCCAGGGTGAGGAGGGGGGAGGGAGGGAGGAGGGAGGAGGGGGGAGGAGTGGGGAGAGTAGAGGGGTTGGCATGCCGGGTGACGGGGTGGGGAGGGGTGGGGAGGAGGGGCGGGGGCGGGACCTCGAAGAAGGGCCGCAAGAAGAGCATCTAACCGGCGAAGAGGCGGAAGGGACGAAGGGACCTGGCAGCGGGAAAGGGACCATCCCATGGTCTTTCCCACCCAGGGTTGCTGGTGGCAGACTGCCGGGAGCCGACCCACATCACAGACCGGCCGCCGCATGGGCCCCCCAGCCGACCCAAATCGACCCATGCAGACTTAGCTTAGTTACAGAGCAGGGCGTGCCGGCTGGGCCCTCCCCACACGTGCCTTCCTCAGCCCCCCTCACCAAGCCCACCCCCCTCCACCCCCCTCCTCCCCTCCCCGCCCATTTTACAACCTGTCGCACAACACATTGGGTACTCCTCTTAACACCCCTCTCCCGCCTCCCGTACTCCTCTTATCACACGGCTCGTTAGTCGTTTCCTCTTTACACCCCTCTCTCCCCACCTCCAGGTGATCACCACCGCCGCCGCGCTGCTGCTGTGCGACCACGCGCGCGGCAAGCTGCCCGCCGTGCAGCTGCTGCGGCTGTGCGCGGGGCGAGCCGAGTTCGCGGGCAAGGTGGCAGACAGCGCGCTGCCGGCGCTGGTGGAGGTGCTGAAGAGCGAGGGGTTGCCGGGGTGGGGGCAGATGAGGCAGGTGGGTGGGCGCGGAGGGGGCGGGGCGCCGGGGTGGGGGCAGCTGGGGATTGAGTTGCGTGCGCTGCTGGTTAAACAGGCGCAGCGCCGGGCAGGGTATACAGTACAGGTGGTGTACCCTTTGTCCCTTTCCCATTCAACGGCCTGTCATGTGAACACATCCAATTGACAGGCGCTACGGGTATAACGGTATACGTTACCGTCTCCCGCTTTCTCAATGCCACCCGCTCCTCAAGACTCAACCCTGCTGCCTGCTGCCCCCCTCCTTCTTCCCCCCAGGCACAAACCCACGCTGCGCACGCACTGAAGCTGCTGCTGGAGAACGTGGAGGGAGAGCCTCCCGAGGTACGGCAGATCCGGAGGGCTGCCGTACTGCAGTTGGGTGCCGTACCGCCCCTGGCTTCCATGGTGGCGTACACGCCCCGCATGCCGCCGCCTGCGCTGGTGCCGGCGCCGCCGCCGGTGCTCACGAAGCATCACAAGAAGACGGGCTCCAAGAAGAAGTCCGAAAAGACAGAGGTAAGCCAGGGACCTGGGGGGCTAATAGGGATGCAGGTTCCGCAGCAGGGGGTAGCAGGTAGAGGCTCGGGGCTTGGGAGCTGGAGGAGGAGAGGCGCGAGAGCGGCGGTGGTGCGCTGGAAGAGGATGGGGAGAAGTAAAGGAGGTTGGGAGTGGGGGCGATGCACTCTGCTTAGCCATAAGACCATAACCGCAACCGTAACCCCCTCCTCCTCCTCTGCCGCTCTCCCGGACCCCTCCCCCTCACTCAACCCATTGCGTTCCTCGCGGCTCCGCTTATTTACCCTAACCCATGGCGCCTCCTTCTTTCCCCCATTCTCCTTTCCCCCACGCAGCCCCCCCTGGGCGCCAAGGACGCAGCCGCCACCGTCGCCTCCGCCTGCCTGCGCTTCCTGTCGCTGGTGCCGGAGTTCGTGGAGGAGTTCATGCGTGAGTCGGGCAGGCTGCTCGCCTGGTATACCCAACACTCCTCCGCCGCCCCTAACCAACCCCAGTACCCCACCCCATTGAGTTTTGCCCCAACTTGTGACTTCCTATGGTCCGGACTACCGGTATCTTTGACCCCCCGACCCAGCTCCGAATTTGCGGTCCTCAAACAACCCTATAACTTCCGTACCTAACTCTTGCTTTGCCCTTACCTGTGATTTCCTATGGTTCGGTGTGGTCATTGACCCCCACCCCCGTCCTGTCCCGCCCCGCTCCTGCTCCTGCCCCGCCCGCAGGCACGGGCACGCTGCCCGCCGTCATCCGCGGGCTGCAGACGTGCGGCGAGGAGCAGGCGGCATACCTGACGGGCATCCTGTGGGAAGCCTCGGCGGAGGGGCACGTGGCGGAGGCGGCGGTGGCGGCGGGGGGCGTGCCGGCGCTGCTGCACGTCATCTCCAAGAACCTGCCGGGCTGCAAGTTCGGTGGGTTGGGAGGCATGGGTAAAGAGGAAACAACTGGCCGTGTGTTAAGGCGTGAGGGATAGGCGGGTGAAGGGGTGGGGTAGGACGGGCATGTGAGGGGCGCTGCATGCGCAGTGTGCTGCCGGTAGCTCTTCATCGCCGCAGTGCGCGTGCTGCAGCAACTGCAGGGGACGAGCAAAGCAGGAGTGTTGTAAGACGGGCCTGGCTCTCCTCTCTCACACACATCTCACCCACCACCATCTCACGCCCTCCTGCTCCTGCTCCTGCTCAACCCCCCCCAGGCCGGCTGCGCAAGCCCACCGCCAAGGACTCCAAGAAGGACGGCAAGGGCGGCAGCCGCTCCACCACCCCGAACAAGAAGGACGGAAAGGAGGGCAAACCCGGCAAGGGAGGCAAGGGTGCGTGCGTGCCGGTGGGGGTGCGGGGCTGGCCTGGAGGGGTGTGCGGTGGAGCGTGGAGGGAGGAGGGAGATGCATGGCGGTGGGAGGTCCATTGGAGCCCCCGTCGCCTCCTTGCTCTGTTGTCCTAATGGGTCAATGGCCTCTCATCACTGCAGCGGTGCCACCAGGTGATGGCCTGGTGACCCCAGCGCGCATGCGTGCCCCTCCGCCTACATACAACCTCGAGGCGTATCCCCATCGTCTTGCCCTCACCTGTGGTTTGGGATTTCTGTAAGCCTCGCACCGGGGTCACAGGTCACCGAATTCCTTTGCTGCTACGGGGCTCGTTCTTCCCGTACGGTACCATACCGCTACCCCCTCGCACGCCCTGCCGCCACCTATTCCCCTTCCTTTGCCTTAACTTGCCGTTCCCTATGGCATGGTGCGGTCCCTTGCCCCCCCCCTCGCTCCGCGCTCCAGGCAAGGGCGGGTCGGGGTCGTCCTCCGATGCGGTCAACTTTGCTGACGCGGCGGTGTGCAACGCGACGGGGGCGCTGCAGCACCTCACATTCCTGGACGAGGCGAAGCATCAGGTGGGGCCCTAGGGAGGGGGCTGAGTAGGTTTGCGACTCCTGACTAATGCTGTTGGGAAGAGATGGGCCGGATCCAAGCCATGGTCCAACCCATAGTGAAGCCTCGTCGTACAGCTCGTCAGTCTCCTCTAAATACCCTCCTTCGCCGCCACTACCCCCCCTTCCAGGTTGCCCTGCACGGCGGTGTCCCCATCCTGACCATGGCGCTCAAGGTGTCCAACACGCAGACCTACGAGAACGCCAGCGGGGCTTTGTGGAACGTGGGGCTGGACGTGAGAAACAGCCTGGTGCTGCAGGTGGGGGGTCAGGGAGGGGGAGGGAGGGAGGTGAGGAACAGCCTGGTGCTGCAGGTGGGGGGGCAGGGAGGGGGAGGGAGGGAGGTGAGGAACAGCCTGGTGCTGCAGGTGGGGGGGCAGGGAGGGGGAGGGAGGGAGGTGAGGAACAGCCTGGTGCTGCAGGTGGGGGAGGGGGTCAAAGTAGGCCAAACCATAGGAAACCACTAATTGCAGGTGGGAGGGAGGTAAAGTGGAAAGAGCTAATGACCGTGTGAGGTGGGAGGGACAGGCAGAGGGAGGGAAAGGATAAGGGAGGGACCATGTTGGCTGGTGTTGGTAGGGATCCTGGCAATCCTAAATCATGCCAGCCCTTTCACACGAATGCATGCATGCGCTTACAACGTTGCGCTCTGTTCACGTACCTCGCCTCGGCCCCCGTACCCCTCCCCTACCCGCCACTGACCCCACCTCTAAACAGGCCGCGGGCGCTCCCAACTTCCTCGCTCGCCCCGTGCCTGAGAACTGGCTCACGCGCGGAGTGCCCCTGGGTGGGATGGGAGGCGGCGGGGGCCACGACTCGGACGGGGGCTCGGGTGCGGCCTCGCCCACACCCCTACCTGAGCCGCTGCCGCCACTGCAGCTGCGCATGGGCGGCGGGCGGCTGGGGGCGGTGGGGGGGCTGTCGCCGGAGAGGGAGCGGGAGCGGGGCAGCGTGTTTCTCACGCAGCTGCCCGGAGTGGGCGGCCACTGAGGGGCCCCCTGGGGGCTGCTTGCGGGGCGGAGGAGGAAGGGAGAAGAGGGGAGAGGACCACTAATGGTCCTAGTAGTAGCAGGGGTGGCAGTACGGTAGTAGTGGCAGTGGTGGTGGCGAGAGGAGCAGGAGGAGGGCTGCAGTGGTTGCGCAGGAGGAGGGCTGCCGGGCAGGTCTGACTACCTCTGATTGGTGGTGGTGCCGTTCGCAGGTTGCAGGGGTGTGGAAGGGCGAAGGGAGCGTACGGAAGGTCCGGTACCGGTAACCCTGTTATCATATGCAGGTTATGATAATCTGGGTATTGGAAGAGGTTGCAAGGATGGGAGCACATAGGAGTTGCTTTTGCTTGTTTGCTTGCTTTACACTGCTGCTGCTGTGTATCGTGTGGAATATGATTCACTCACTCACCCTCTCTTGCAGTACGCATTCGCAACCCGTTGCCGGGTTCGTCTTTCTGTACGGCATACCATCTCATGCTGCTGCTGCCTGCTACTGTATAAAAAGGCACGCGCACGTTACATTCATCGCGGACCCCTCGCTTCCGCACCTCCACCCACGTGTCCCATAGGGTGCGTACGGAGGTGTGTGTATTTCTTTCCAAGATGCGGGAGGTGTGTATTGCTCCCGAGTTGTGGGAGGTGTATTCCCGCCAGCGCCGCCGGGGCGTGTGCGCATGGGCCTGTGGGGCTCATCGTGCAGGCCTTTAGGGGCGCAATGGCGGGCGGCTGGTGTGAGCTGGGGAAGGGATGGGGTTGCGTGATGAGGGGGCCGTGTGTGTATGATGATGACGTCAGCAGGTGGGGCGAGGGGCAGGTGTGGTGGGCGGGGGGCTGGTGGAGATGAGGTGGGAGGATGGGGTTTGTCGGATTGGGTTCCTGTCCTGAAGGGCGGGGGGAAAGGGAGGGAGATCAAGGAATGATAATGCGCCGAAGCAGGGTGTGGATGCATGGCGAGTTGGCGACGTACAGTGCTACAGTCAGTGTGTTTTGTTTTTCGGAGCGTATAATTGTTTGACAGGGTGCCTGCCTTTGTGACATAGAGCGGTATGGTGGTCGCAGCCCCTTTAGATTTTCATGGCGAGCCTTCTTTACCTCCAAACGTGATTGCAGGTGAAAGGTGTTCCATGTGTTATGTTACGACGTCTTCGCTGTGTCGTTGGGTTTCAGGGCAATAGGAGAACCCGGAACCTTCCCCATGGTATGTGCGGTATGGATTGTGTATGATAGCTGTTTTTTTTCTCGCCCAGAGGGTAAGGCCCCGCCGTGTTTTGTGTTTCTTTGTACGACTCCGGGGCCTTATTATGACAGCAGGGCGACGGCATGTGACCAGGGACGGCTTCCGTTTCTTCTGTACATTTCACATGTTGTAAGTATCAGGGAGCACTTTGCAGGCCTGGCGGCTGGTCTGGGTTACGGGAACCTGGACGGTCAGGGCAGATCAGGGATAATCCGTATGGGCGAAGTATCCCAGACAACTACGGAAGTGGAGATTGGAAAGCTTCTAAGGAACATGTAGTCATGAGGGTGCCACGTGTGGCTCCTCTTATGACGGGCCTCACCGACTAGCGCACGAACAGCTTTCCTGCAGCCAACAATTCCCGTATCTGGAATCCCCCGTGCCGCAAATACCGTTGTTATCGTACGACAGTTAACCTCCTGTCATAGGCGTCACAGGTGTTTGTCCTCGGCTGTTAGTTAGGTTACCAGTGATCCCTAAGGAAAGGTTTAGGGCGCTGCGCAGACCCAATTAGAACAGTATAAAATGCTGGCGTCCACATCTCCTCGCGCTGCTGCGTGTGGCCGCAGAGTTGCCGCTAGCGCACCTGTAAATGTCCATAAAACTGTGTACAACTTTCAAATTGGGCGCCGGGCTACGGTGAAGGCGATGGCATGCTCGGCTGAGTCACAACAGGAGTCACAAATCGTCAACCGCCGGACCGCGCTGGCTTTGGGCGCTGCTGCAGCCCTTACGGCCTCGGATTTGGCAACATCTTATAGGTTGGGCGATATATTTTCGGACCTTACGGAATTCTCGCCTGCTCTGGAGCCATCCGAGATCCATGCCATGCAATTGGTCGCCATGGACGCGCGCACACCAACTCTTCATCGCTTCCTACCCTATGTTATGTCACAGCGCACGTGCGGAGGAGGAGCTTGTGGTGACTCATAAGGTTTACATGGTTGTAACCGTTGGAGGTGCTCCCGCTGGTCGCATCGTGTTGGGTCTTTACGGGGAGGTGGTCCCAAAGACCGTCGCCAACTTTGTGGCCCTGGGTAAGCCTCTAGGAACTCCAGGAACCACTTAGTCATGTTGTGTACATGGAAGAGTCCCATCTTGCTGTAAAGTACGGCAATTGTACTGCAAACTTACCCAGCCGAATACGACCCATTGCTTCACCTCCTCCACCCCCCTTCGCTGTGGTGCTCCGGTGTTGGAAAAAAGCCACCCGCTGAGGGCTTACCCGCGAGCCACGAGTTCCGAAACCGGACCTCCTCTGACCGCCCCTTTCCCAACCAAAATTCGTCCTTGCTCGCAGCCACTGGCGAGAAGGGCTTCGGCTACAAGGGCTGCTCCTTCCACCGCATTATCAAGAACTTCGTCATACAGGTAGCTAGCTGCGCGCTACACCTGGTGTACGACCCCCACACATGCCTTGCTACGTAAGGCTGTACGGCCGCATGCCGTGTCACACGCGAGTCGTACCGATGGAGTGTACGACCCGTTTCGTTTGGTATTGGCTTCTCGGCCAGGCTTCCGGGGTTTCCTTTGTGCTGGGTGGTTGGGGCGGTTAGAGGCGCTTGGTTTGTCAGTATCGCCTTTTCACAGTACCCCTATCCGTGCCATCTTCTTCCCATCTGCCAGGGTGGCGACTTTGAGCGCGGCAACGGCACCGGCGGCTACAGCATATACGGCAGGTGGGAGTGCCGGTACGCTACCCGTTCGTGCCAACACCACCCGTCCGCTGTTTTCACCAGCGGGGCGGGTGGTGTCAGCCCCTTTCCTAAGGTTTTGACCCCACCCTTAGGGTGTCAGCCATTACCCTTCAACCCCACTGGGTCTTCTCCTTCTCACCCCCAACCCTCCTCCCGACCCCCACCCGAACTACCCAGGCGCTTCCCGGATGAGAACTTCAAGCTATCACACGCCCCCGGAGTGCTGTCCATGGCCAACGCTGGACCCAACACCAATGGAAGCCAGTGAGTCCAGGGAGGGAGGGTCAAAGACCATACCGATCCATAGGAAGCCACAGGAGAGGAGGGGGTGCAGAGGAACGGCGGCGTGAGTGGGGAAATGTTGATGTCCAGGGACCCCTCCGTCGTGAGGAGATAGATGACTGCGGGAGGAGGAGCTGGGAGCGAGGTGGGGATCGAGAGATGCCGGGGGCCTCGGGCCTTGTGTACGGGCTTCCCTTGCTTCCTGCCTCTCCCCTCCCTGCGTTCCTGCTCCACCCGCCACCTCCTTTAGTGGGAGCAGGCCCTGATGGTCTTCCCGGCCTGTTAGGCACCCAACGCATGTATCAGCACGGCCTACTACTATTTTCCCTCCCCCTCCTTCCCCTCCTGCCCCCTCACCCCTCCTTCCCCTCCTGCCCCCTCACCCTCCTCCCCTCACCCCTCCTCCCCCCGCCCCTCCTCTCCCCCCCTCAGGTTCTTCATTACCACGGTTGACACGCCCTGGCTCAACGGACACCACGGTGGGGGCCCGGGGCAAGGAGGGGGTAATGGGTGAGAGTGTTTGGCACGACTTCCGTTTGCCACAACTGTTACTACTGCCATTCGCTGCAAACACGGTATGGTGATGGCGAAGGTGCTCATGTACCAGGGCTAGCAGCGGCTGCGGATCTTGGGCCGGGCGTGGCCCCTGTTGGTGCTTCATCTTTCTTTCCCTCCCCTCCCCTCGCTGCCCCCCCTCTTAGTTGTGTTCGGGCGGGTGTTGGAGGGCTTGGAGGTGGTGCGGGCGCTGGAGGACGTGGCGGTGGACCGCAGCGCAAGGTGGGAGAGGGGGGCCTGGAGACAGGAGAGGGGAGGGGGGTCCTGTCCCTACAACAGCTCAACGCCTCGGCGGGCTGCTTCCCTACCTGGGTTGTGCAGCGTGATACCGCATCGCGCAGCGTGGCTTTAGCCCCACCCACTTCCAACCCATACCGATACCCACCTTTCTTCCGCCCTTCACGATCCCCGCAGGCCCACCCAACCCGTGGTCATTGAGAGCTGCGGCCTGCTGGCGTGAAGGGGGAACTTCAAGGGCTCCTTATGCGCATGTGCGTACAGAGAGGGAAGGGGCATGTGCAGAGCATAGCGATACAGCATTCGCCTAGCTAGGGTTTAATGCAGCAGCCGGCAGCGAAAAGAGAGTACATGTGCCGCGGCAACGCGCAAACCAGGAGAAGTGAGTTGTGGTGACAGCGAGAGGGGTTTCGGAGGCTGCGGCGGCTGCCTAGTTACTTGTGAGCGGTTAGGGAGCTCGATGCATCTGCACTGTAAAGAGCTAGCAGGATGCACCAGCTTGCGTAATAAAGCCCGCTTGTCATGTTTTTTTTTCGCATCTTGACCTTAGGCAAGGGCGTCGTTAGTCCTGCTAGTTGCTTTGCAGTACTATGGTGACCATGCAATGGACCGTGGCTGTTGGGTGTTGCATGATGAGGAGTCGCCACTCGTTCCATGCATGGGTGTGTAGCGACGCTCAGGAGCCGGATTTGCAAGTGTAGTTGGTGAGCCCCCCCGGCAGCCCTACAGCCCAGGCTGCCACCTGCAACTCCGCCACCTCCACCTGCCATCAGGGGAGCTCCCCCTGCACTCATGGACAGTGGCCCCGCACGCCGACCCGGACCCGCAAGGTGCATCACTGATGGTTGCAGGCATGAGCTCGGCGTTAATGGCAAGGGCATCACGTTCTCAGAGAGGTTTGGCTAGGAAGCTGGAGCAACCCAGATGGATTTGGGCGCATGCTTACTAAAAATCAAGAACCAGACTTTATATGGACGTGTTTGATTCCGCTCTTGGATGGGTAAGCAACTGACAGATGGCTGTCTGATAGGCCCGAGGATGTGAGGCCCACTGCAAACTTGAACACAGCACGCTAAGTACGGAAGGCATGAAAGCTCTGTGTAACTGAGCTTTGCAGCAACTACGCAGCTCAAAGAACCAGGAAAACCTTTTGGATCCAACTTGATCCAACAAGTTAATTCCGTAAAGCAAAAGTTGGTCGCTTTGCAAGGTAAGCTTTCCAATGGAGATACACTGAGAGGTGAAGATAATGCGGACAAACCTGAGCTGGACTGCCTCGCATCACAATCCGTGACTGGCTTTTGCTTGCGCAATGCATCCGTAAACATAAGCTTCTAGATCGATGACTTCGTTAGCTACAGCGTTAACAGCAGCGGCGACGCTTTGTCGCTTTCCGGCTTCAAGCGTCGCCATTGCAACTAGCTCCATCGGCGCAGCGCTTGCTGGACCCCGTGTGAACCCAAGTTTAGCAGCCAGATGTATTCATAATACTGCCGTCTCGGCTTCTTCAGCCGGCCGCTGGGCGCAGGGGAGACCCTCCAGCCTACCGCCGGCGGGTTCCGGAGCGGCACCCAAGCTAGGCTTTGCTCCTGCCGCTCTAGGAGCCGGCGACCCAGGGCCAGGCCAGGCCTTCTTCCGCACCCGATGGCCCTACCTGACAGCACTTGGCCTGGCTGCGTCAGGAGCGCTCGCCTACACGTAGGTTTGGTGCGGATCCTGACCCCATGCTTTGCTAACGCAGACGAACCCGCCAGCTGCCAAGGACGCCCCCTTGCATCCACGGGGCTACGTACGCAGGGCCATACACCAACCCGCCCCCAGTTCCCTCGCAGCTGCATTCCCATGGTCCCCCGCTGCCTTTCCTATCCCTTCCTAGCTCACACCGTACTTCCTTTCCCGTCCGTAACCTTCCATCCATTTGCCTTCCTTCCCGCTCCTCGCCCCCCCTCCCGCCCCCTTCCCACAGCGTGTTTCGGGAACCCGTGGTCACGCAGCGTGTCTACCTGGACTTTGAGGTCGCCGGCCGACCCGCGGGTCGCGTGGTGGTGGGACTGTACGGCAAGGAGGCGCCGCAAACCTGCGACAACTTCGCGGCACTAACCAGCCATGAGCGCGGATTCGGTTACCGTGGGTGTGCCGTACATCGGGTGATGCACGGCTGGTCGGTTTGGTCGGGCGACGTGACGGCGGGGGACGGCACCGGCGGCGTGAGCGTGTTCGGACCCAGCATCGGCGTGGAGACGATGAGTGTACGGCACCGACGTGGCGCGGTGTCGATGGTGCTGGATGAGGAGGGGCGCATCAGGAGCCAGTGAGAGCGAGGGGAGGGAAGGGGGCGGGGAGTAAGGAGGAAACAACTAACTGACCCTGTGATAAGGCGTCAGGGTGCGGGGAGGGTGGGAGCATGGAGGGGAGCAGTGGGTGGAGGGGTAGGAGGATGAGCTGAGGTTAAAGGGGTTCAGAGGAGGCATGCTGTTCTGGTCCCAGAAGTCACCCTGCAGGCGTGCAACTGCATGAGAAGAAGCTCACAGCAGCCAGGTACAGCAGCCATGTAACTCGCCCCCCCCCCGCTGTGCATTCCCCCACTTCCTCTTACGCAGGTTCTTCTTCACCCTGGTCACTACACCAGCATTGGACCGGAAAGCAGGTGGGGTGGATGGGGGGCAGGGTGGTCCAGGGGTAGGTGGGAAACAGGGTGGTCCAGGGGGGAAGGGGTCCAGGGTTGCTGCAGAGGAGCCCTTAGCCTGGGAACGCACCACCAGCACCGCTGTCCCCCGCGTTCGTAGCAGGTAGCACCCCATACCCCCGTACCTCCATACCTCCTGTCCGCCGCTTTCCCTTCTATTCCTTGCTTCCTAGCGCCTTCCCTCTCCCCCTTCCGCCCTCCCGCCCTTCCCCTGGGTTTCTCAAACGTGCTGCCTCTAAACTTGCTGTCCTTAAACTTGCTGTTCTCAAACTTCCTTGCCGCTTCCCTCCTCCGCCCTTTCCTTCCCGCCCTCCCTCCCTGCAGCCGCATTCGGTCGGGTGCTGGAGGGCATTGAGGTGCTCGACCGCCTGTCGCGGCTGCCCACCGCAGCCCCGGCCGGGCAGCAGCAGGGGGCGGGGCAGCTAGCGGCCGCACAGGGGCCGGGCAGCGAGGGGCGGCCGCTGGTGGAGGTGCGGGTCAGCGACTGCGGCCTGGTGCCGGAGGGAGAGCAGGGGCAGGGGCAGAGGGCTGCGTGAGGAGGAGTGGAAGGGGGGGTGTTAGGAGGGAAGGGATGAAAGGCGTGTGCGCTGGGTAGGAGGCATAGAAGCGTGAACGGAGGCGTGCGCCAGGTGTTTGTGGAAGGAGGTTTGAAGGGGAGCTTGTTTAGGACAACGAAAGGGCGTGGGGCGTGCTGTGCATGCAACATGTCGATGTGCATAGCATGCACGAATGTTCATATATGGTTTATTGCCGGCTGGAGGAAGGAGAAAATGCAACATCGGCGTTGCGTGGTGCGATTGGGTGGATGTGACAGTTACAGGCGCAACTTGGCAATCGCTGCTTGGCGTCGGCAGGACACGGATCATAAACCATACTTTGTAAAATCCATAAGACGTGTAGCTGCATGATAGAAAGCATCGTAGGGACTTCGCGCCTTCCTCTCCAGCACTGGTGCCTGTACTGCGCTCGTCCCATGCGCAGGCCTGTCACGATTCACGGGTTAACACAACTTACCTTATACACGCATAAGCGTTTATCAGCATAGATTACGCCTTGCTTCCAGCATGCAGGTGTTGCAAATTAACCCTCTTCATCAGTGCTATTGCATCTTAGTCTTCGCCAATTTCTGAAGCCGCTACCCTCTTTGCTTTTCTATTACCCCTTGCTATGTAAGACTGCCTTCGGCCCAGCTAAAAAAATGGGGCGGTTTCAGGGTGGCGCGGCAGAGAACTTGACCGCGGGAGCTATGATCCACGGTTGGGAGGCTGTATGTAAGCTTTGGCAAGCATCAAGTATTTTGGATGAAGAGGATGCGCCGGAGCACCCTGCAGGAAGTGGAGACGACGTGCATGACTACAACGTTCGGCAGGTACGCCGATCAGCACTGTTACCTGGCGCTTACAGCTTTTTTATTTCGATAATACAGCTATAGTAGAACGATTCTATGATTGCCCCAGATAGGCAGATTTGGCTTTTCCAATTTGAAAGTGGATGTAACTTTGGGTGCTATCCCAGGCTCTAAACGCCCTAATTTTTGCACTGTGTGTAGTTCAGGCAGCTTAAACTGGGAAAGCAAGTTGCAATGCCAATCAATGCCTGAAAGCTCATCCCATCCTACCCTTGCAGAATTTGCATACAGCTTCTGAGCTTATTGAGGCTGCGCTGGCCAAATTCAGTTGTACGGTCGTGCACGATGTCGCTGGGCACGTTTACAATCCGCTTTTGCATGAACTGGATCCGGCCGACCCAGAGGTGGAGATGTTGCGGGTGCGTTGCGGCCACGTAGTCGTGCCTGTCGCTGGGCGCAAGAGCAACCAGCGGATCTGATGTGGGCTGTGTTGAAGTGTGCCGCACCGGCATGGTTATTACAGCAAGGACGAAATGCCGTCATACTAACTGCGTAACAGCGTAAACATGGCTTCGTCTTCCGGCCCTCTTCGCGCAGATGCGCCACGGCAACAGGCTGAACGAAATGCTGTGCAAGGCGGTGGTTACCACCGTTGTACGACCTGGGCTGGAGGTGGCGGGCCTGATGCGTGCCCGAACCAGGGTTCGGGTGAGTTGATGTTTGGGAAGATCCCTTTAGCAATTAGCATACTTTTGGAATCTGGGTCGTCAGCTAGAGGGCTGGGAGTGGTGCAGCTCAGCCCCATGCGGAGTAGCACGCGATTATACACAGAAATGGTGTTCGCGCAATGTCGGGTACTGCAGCACACCATCCATCTCTACGCTTGCTACTCCCTACCCACTCTCGTGCCCACATCCGCGCCCACTACTACTCCCGCAGGTGGCCCTGCAGCCCTTCCAAGGGGCCGCATCCCAGCCGCCCCGGGCCGCCTCCGCCACCCCCATCGCCCCCGCGCTCCTCGCCACTATCTGCGACCGCGACCCCCTCCCAGACGGCCCTGGTGCCGCAGCCCCAGCCGCAGCCCGGCAGCAGTCCCTCCGCCCTCCAGCCCCGGAGCGACGAGCAGCCTCCGCAGAGCCCTGCCCACCCGCCGCCGGCCCCCCAGCGGTTGAGGTCGCGATGAGGAGGGCTGGCAGCGCCGCCGCTACCGGTACCGCTGCTGCTCTGGAAGCAGCTCAGCAAGCCCGCTTGCCTTCCCCCGCTCAAATCCCTCCGCCTACTTCCAAGAACAGCAACGGCAGCAACAGCAGCACCAACATTAACACCTTCCGGACGGGTGCGGGCAGCTGCACGCAAGGCCCTCTTGCGGACGCCGGTTTGCCGTACGGCACGGGGGCTGTCGGCGGCGGCAAGGGAGAGGCGGGTCTACACGGCGGCCATGAGGAGGACGGGGAGGAGGATGCATGCTCCGAGTCTTCGCTACTGGAGCTGTGCTCCGGCGGTGGCAGGTTGGGTAGCAGCGGTGGGACAGTTGGCTCGCCTGAAGAGGCGGAACAGCAGGGGAGGCACAGCAGCGGCATCGGCGGCGGCGGGGACATGTACGGCGACCGGGCTGGACCCGCGGGGTTGGGTAATGGGGCTGGCATGCAGGTTGGAAAGTACCAGCAACACGGCCCGTTTGCCACTAGCCACTCGGCCCCACTTTCCAGCAAGAACCTGCCAGGAGCACACCCCTCGCAGCCACCGCAGCCACCGCAGCCGCACCCTCAGCCCATGGTACTAGGGGCTGTGGCAGCGCAGGGCTGCGGTAGCGGTCGTAGCGCTGGCGGCGCCGCTGTTCCCGTGCTGCTAGCGCTCGAGAGGGCGGCCACATCCATGGCGGCGGCGGCGGCCGTTCCACGTCAGACTTCCGTACAGCCCAGCGCTGACGGCGACGCCGGTGACGTCGCCGCTGCGCCGCCGCCGGCAGCGGCAGCGGCAGCGACCCGGAAGGAGCCATCCGCAGGGCAGCCGACGACGGAAGCGGCAACACGGGTTAGCAACGGGCAGCGGCAGTACGGAGGTGGGTGTCGTACAGTCAACGGTGGTCACAGTACGGCAGCAGCCATGGCGGCGGCGGCGGTCTTCAAGGCGGCTACAAGAGCGGCAGTGGTGTCTTCTTCGCTGTCTAGCACGACAACAGCCGTCGTCCTACCGCCGCAGGGGCCTCCGACGGCGGCGGCAGCGCCTCGCTCTTCCGCTGCCGCCGTCGCCGCGGCTGCCGCCTCCAGAGTTGCGGCAGCAACAGCAGCAGTAGCGGCGGCGGTGCCCTCACCGCCCACTGGCGCCGCTGCCGCCGCGACGGGCGCCTCAAGTCGGGAGCCCCAGCCGAAGGGTCAGGGCGGCTCTGGCCAAGGAGCCGAACCTCGCCCCCGACCCATGGGTCCCTCCGTAGGCTCCGTAGCTGCGCCTGTGGCACCTTCAGCAGCAGAGGCGACAGGAGCGGAGGAAGGCGGCGGCGATGGAGCAGCCGCCGCCGGCAGCGGTAGCGGCGTGCGACGACGGCGGCGGAAGGGAAGCAGCGGGCGGGGTGCAGGAGACGACAGCGGCAGCAGTGCCGGCGGGGCGACAACAAGCCCCCAGCCAGTGGTGGCTCCAGCTGTGGGGGACGGCGGTAGCGCCGTGTCGGGGCCGCGGCCGTCTGGGTCGCTAGCACCGGACCCGCAGCTGCAGCCGCCCCGCCAGCAGCACGGAGCGCAGCAGAGTGGACAGCAGGAGCAGCAGCGGGCAGAGCAGCTGCAGCCAACGCGGCAAACGCGGCGTCAGCGGCGGTCACGGCAAGGCGACCAGGAAGAAGCACCACCGCAGCAGCAACCACCACCACCGCAGCAGCAGCAGCAGCGGCCGCACCCGCAGCAACAGCAGCAGCAGTACGAGCCGAGAGAGCGTTACGAGCGCCGCCCGAGAGGAGCCCCAGCCGACACCCCGCACCACCCCCAACAGCAACAGCCGCAGCAGCAGCAACCATTGCCGGCGCCGTCTCTACCGCCATTGCCACGTCAGTCGACGCCGCTGCCGCCGCAGCAGCAACAGCAGCAGCATCCAAGCGACACGGCAGGCCCCAGCCGCAGCCGTAATCCGCTAGAAGCATCAGTAGCAGCATCAGCAGCAGCCGATGTTGTGGATGGGGAGGGCGGTGAGGATGGGGAGGACTGGCACAAGGAGGAGGATAGCGGGCGTGGCGGTCGTGGAGGGGGTCGCAGGGGACGTGGGGGCTCCAGGGGAGGGCGGCGAGGGGGAGGAGGCGGTCGAGGCGGCCGGGGTGGGCGGAGGTCTAGTCGCAAAGGCGAAGGGTCGGTGGGGAGCGGCGAGGGTGCCCAGGGGTGAAGGCTGGGGTGTGGGGGAGGAGTGGGGAAGCGTGTGTTAGCATGGGATGTGAGGTTGGGGCATGGTGGTTGGGTAACAGGATGCTCAGCGTTGCTGCTGCTGCTGGCATGTTGAGTATGCAGGGGGGTGGTCGTTCGTACGATGATGCATGGGATGTGAACATACGCTGGGATGTGTTGGGAGGGAATCAGTGAACATGTGTACATAGCTAGCAGCAGGTTCAATTCACAGTACGAACGAGTCGTTTGGCACATCGAGCACTGGTAGCAGTCGTGTTCTGCACGTTGCATGCGATGCATGGCGAGTGTATCACAGCTGCTGCAGCTGCTGCCGGGTAGCTCGTTGTGGGGGGCACCATTGCATCGGCGACAGAGATGGCACAGCGTGCTTGTGCGGAGTGGAGTGTACACAAAGTGCTGGCTCGTGACATGTATGTTACAGATGCCTCGAAAAATGGCCATGTAAAAATGGCTATGTACAGGTCAACAAATAGTCTGTCCGTCATTGCATTACGCAAGACACCACGGCGAAACCGGCTGCAACGTTTCCATCTTCCAGTTTCACATCATAACCAAACACGGGACACGCCTCAACAACTAGCTGTACCAACAACCTCCTCTCCAACCACAGGCAACTCCTCACTGTAGCGAACCGCTTTCCGCAAGGTAGGAGCCCTTGCGGCACCGCTTACCCAAACACCCTCCCCTCCCTTCCTCACACTCCCTCATGCTCCCTGGATCGGTCCTCCCCCGCCCCGATGTTCTGCTCCTGCTCCTCGATGGAGGGACCGCCGCCCTCCGCATTGGCGTCCACGATCGGCACCGGCTCGCCAGCCGCATCCAGCTCCTCGGCACCTGGGGGGCGGGGAGATGGGGGATAGACAGGGAAATGGGGATCAGGAAATTGGATGGAGGGGGGTAATGTGACTGGGATTACCGGTAAATTCGTAGCAATGGAGGGTGTGAGGACGGCTGGAAATCCCGTCTACTCCACCTCCTAATTACCTAATTCGTGTCGTGTCTATCAAGCACAGGCAACATAATCCTGGGCCGCCTGAGCCCCTCCTGCAGTTCCTCACATTCCCCACCGCACCCCCCCCCCAGCACCCACCAGTGGTCGCGGGCCGTTGCAGGTCCTCCACCTCCTCCTTCAGCTGCGACACGTCCACTGCAGCAGGCAGAGGCAGCGGTAAGAGGTGGGGAGAAAAGAGGTGAGTGAGAGGGCGAAGGGGAGTGCGGAGTGCGGCATGAAGGGTTGTTCGGACCGCTGCCAGGATGAACACCCTTCTCCCAATCCGCACCCCTAACCCGTCCTCATCAGTTACCCCCCACTCCCCCTCACTCACGGTCCTCCGGGTCCCGCTGCGCCTCCTGAGTGGCCCTCTCCACGTCCGCGTCACGAACCTGGGGAGGTTTGGGTTCGTTCTGGGTATGGAGGAGTGTGTTCTGGTAACTGGCCGCGAAACTGGCCGCACATTACCCTGGGGAGTTGCTATTGCCGTCATCTTGCTCAGCACCACATTTTCACCCACCACCCGCCACCGAAGTACAGCATCAGGACAATGTCGAGCATCAGACCCTCCTCCTTCCGCCCACCGCCCGGCCTGCCTCTTTCCCATCTTCAATCCCCTCCCCTGCCCCAGCCCCCATGCAGCCCAGCTCTCTGCCCCCCCTTCAGCCCCCCGCCGCCCCCGCACCTTGAACTCCGGGTCCGAGGGGTTGTCCAGCGCCCCCGCATCGGGCTCCTGGGTGTAGGTACGACAGCGGCGGTGGAGGGGGGCCAGACAGCAGGTGGGCGTACGGCACGACTGCTTCTTAAAGGACTTTATTTTTTAGTGTGTGATTATCTGTGCTGAACGCCATCCCATAACTCGTCCAAGGACACAGCAGCAGTGTGTCCTCAACCCCACCTGGTCCACTCCCCAACCCCCCTCATTCCCCACCTGGTCCACCCCCCAACCCCCCTCATTCCCCACCTGGTCCACCCCCACGTCTCCGAACCCCTCGTCCTTCTCCTGGTAGTACAGGTCGGTGTTATAGGCGCCCGGCTTCTTGAGCGGCTTTCCGCGGGCCTGGGAGCGGGTCTGGCAGGGATAGGGAGGGAGGGGGAGAGAGGTAAACAGGAGGACGAGCTGTATGACAAGGAGGGAAAGGGAGAGAGGGAAGGGGCACGGGGAGAGAGGCCCGTAGTGGCCATAGTACCATTTTAGCCCAGCTGTAATTTATTGGGCAACATGTGATTGGAAGGACAAACGGCTAAGCCCCCAAAGCGAGCGAGTCTGGTTGAGGTGCGAGCCCTGAATGCGTCATACATCGATAAAGGCAACATGACGGTAACGGTAATTATCATTTGGACCGAAGCAGATAAACCAGCTATTTATTTTCCACGACTATTTTCTATGCATCAGTATGCATCAGGACGAGACACCGCTGGTCGCGTCCGTCAAGCCAGACGCCCGAGAGACCCATGGGTCACGAGACCTTAGAAGCCGGCGCTCATAAGCGAAAACACCCGACTGGCAAAGTAAATTACCCACACATCCAAAGCTCACCTCCACCATGGTTTCCTTGTAACGTAGTTTGTTGTTGAGGAGGGTGGGTTGTGCTGCTGCTGCAGAAGGCTGGAGTCACACTGCTCTTAGGGTGTTCGTTTGCTTTGGGCCGGTCACAGTTGCTATATCACTATGTTATGTATGTTACTACTGTGTGTGTTGCATACTTGGGAGTTCTTAAGTAAGTGGGTCCAAGGGTGTACGTTCATGCCGGCTTGTTTGTCGCACCGGTGTTGCGATGACGTGGTCGATGACTGGACATGACTACCGGCGAACCGGAAGGCCTGCTGCCCTCCTTTTCTGCATGTCATCGCCCAGCACACAAACACCTTTCCTATAACTGCGTAACCCTAAAGGGCGGTAATTTTTGTGTTAATCCTAACACTGGCGCTGTTTGAATGTTGCGCGATGTGGGTTGGCGCCTTCAGCTGGTTAACTGGTAACCACTGGTAAAAACCACTGGTAACCAGTTAACCAGCTGAAGGCGCCAACCCACATAGCGCAACATTCAAACAGCGCCAGTGTTAGGATTATTTTGCCTAATCTCGACACGACAACGGCCTTAACGACGCATACACAGTAGCCGCCAGCAAAGCAGCGCCGCGCATTCGATCGATTCACGGAGGGCAGAGGCCTGGAACGCACGGTACGCATTTCGTCCTTCGCTATGACATCACCAGCACCCTCATCAGCTGCTGCGCCTCCGAAGCCTTGCTTGCTCTCAACGCATTATACTCTGCGCATTCCTACTTACACCCATCGCGTTAACAGCACCCAGGCTGCTATCCTACTGGTTGTTGGCACAACCCGCAACAGCCTTTAAGTAGCCCTGGACAAAGCGTTCAAAGCGCCCGGTTGTCCGCTCGGTCTTCTTCTCCCTCACAAAAACGCACATTGTCTTAATCCTCGCCAGGCCGCCGCCACCCTCCAACCAGCATCGTCAACTCTTATCCCACGCACGATCGGAGAGCCTACATCCGCTGTTAAACAACGCTCGTAACTCAATTCTCCCTGCTGAGCAACAGATCTCCCAAATCAATTCTCCGGGGCGAACAGGCGCGAACAGATCATGGGCAAGCGCAAGGGCCGCAAGCCCGGCGAGCAGCAGGCCGCCGCCGCCCGCGCGCGCGCGCGCACCAGCCTGCCCAGTCGCTTCGAGTGCCCCTTCTGCAACCTGCACAATGCGGTGGTGTGCACGCTGAAGCGCGAGGAGGGGCGGGCGCTGGTGGCGTGTGAGAAGTGCGGCATGAGGTACACCACCAGCTGCAAGTGAGAGGCGGGGAGGGAGGCGGAGAGGGGGTGATGGGAAGGGCGATGGGAGGGAGGGGGATGGGAGGGAGGGGGATGGGAGGGAGGGTGATGGGAGGGAGGGGGATGGGAGGGGGTGCACGGTGCATGGGGTTGCCTGCTCGTATGTTCGTTCATCAGTCGGTATACCGGTACTACGGCTCGGATCAGCATCTCTCGGGGCTTCGTTCATCTACGGTAATCCCCGAGCCCCCTGTCCCCTGTCCCCTGCCTCCCCCCCTTCCCCCCCCTGCAGCACCCTTACTGAGCCCCCTGTCCCCTGTCCCCTGCCTCCCACCCTTTCCCCCCCTGCAGGACCCTTACTGACCCGGTGGACGTGTACCACGAGTGGCTGGACGAGTGCGAGGCGGCGGTGCAGGTGCGGGGGGGGGGGGGGGGGGGGGGGGGCCCGGGGAGGGGGGCGCGTGGAGGGTGAGAGGGGGTAGGTGCGCAGGGTTGGCAGTCCATCTCCTCAATCGATGGCACCCACACGTGTACGGTACCGGTAGCTGTCTCCGTCCGGCGGCGTTACGGCCTGTGCGGCTAGCTGCACCAGCGACGGCGATGACAAAGCACTCACTTAAAGCTCATGCGCACTGCTGTGGCAGCTTCCTTTTAACCGCGTTCTTAACAACCTGCGCTTGCCGCCTCCACACCTGCCTCCCTGCCTTCTCCCCGTTAGGATGCCCCGCCCAGGACGCCAGCGGGCCTAGCTACGGCGCTGGCGGCCCCAGCCGCACCGCGACGACTGGCGCGGGGCGCATCCGCTGCGGCCACTGGCGCGAATGCTGCGGCCACTGGCGCGAATGCTGCGGCGGGCGAGGGCATGCAGGGTTACGAGGGGGACGGGGACGAGGAGCAGACAGTCGGTCCTGGATCCGGATCTGGATCTGGATTCAGCGTACGGCAGCAGGGTCGGCGACTGCTTCAGCAGCAGCAGCAGCAGCAACAGCCAACACCGCCGCCGCTGAAGCGACTCAAGGTACAACACCGGGGCGGTACGACAGCAGCGGCGGGGGTGGAGGAAGACGAGGGGGCGGCGGCTGCGTCGCCTCGGTCTCCCCTGGGTTCGGGTCCGGCGGCGGTACGGCGGCGCACCCAGTTAGAGGAGGGACTGGGACACACCATGAGGGCCGGGCTGCTGGCAGGTGAGGTGGGGGAGGGGGTAAAATGGACCAAACCATTTGAAACCACGAATGGGAGGGACGTGGGAGCAACCAGTGTCCGTAGCATGGCTTCTTCGAACTGTAGACTGCTGTGACCCATGGGTCTGTCTGCTTACGCCCACTCTCATAATCTCTACCTACCGGTATATGTACAATGTGTTTCCTCCTCTTCCTCTTCCCCACCTCCCCACACCGCCCGCCCACCTCCCTGGCCCCCAGGTGCAGCCCTGCACGACCCAGCCGCCGCCTCCCTGCTCGCCGAGCGCAGCGGGCTGGGAGGTGCCGCCGCCTCCGCCGCCCTGCCGCCCGGCTCCTCGCACCTGCAGCAGCTGGCGCGCAGGCAGCAGCAGGAGCGGGCGGCGGCGGCGGCAGCGGAGCAGCGGGAGCAGCAGGGGAGGGAGGGGCAGGAGGGGCAGGCAGGGGAGGAGTATGGTGGAGGAGAGGTGGGCGTGCAGGAGGCAGCAGGGGAGGCAGGGTATGAGCTGCATGGGGCGGTTGCGGGGATGGGCGGTGAGGCCGCGCAGCAGCAGCAGCCGGTGCCGAGGCGTAGTAGTTTCGGCGGTGAGGAGGACGGAGGTGGTGGTGGTGGTGATGCAGGAGGAGGCGGAGGCGGGCGGCGGGGAATGGGCTCGCCCCCCGCGCCGCTGCACCTGCTGCCCCCCTCCGCGGGTCGAGGGAGGCAGACGGAGGCGCAGCGACAGCAGGCGGCGGTGCTGGCGTTCGGGGCGTACGAGGATTGAACAGAGGTGTTGTGCAGGCCGTGGTGAGGGCTCCTTTCTGACAAGGGTTCTTTACGTAAAAGTGGACACGGGCTTCTGAGAAGTGTGTATTTGAAAAGTACCGGTGGAGCAGGAGGACATCATACACACCGGTACTGGGATGAGGAGTAGGCGCTGGGCGGTGGTGGCGGTAGGGGCGTACGACGACTGGGGGATGTAGGGAAGGGAGGGGCCACGTACGATTGGGGCCTTACGGGTTTTTGAGAACTGTACATGGTTTGGAGTTGTGCATTTTGTCATTCCTTCCAGAAAGGTTCAGCGATGTCGCGTTGGTGGATGTTGTGTTGCGGAGCTCATGTGTGCGGTAGTGGGCAGTTGACGGGGGGGTGCCTTAGTTGGCGCAAAAAGCAGATAGGTGCTGTTCGGAGGATGACACGCTTCTGTGGACTTGCGAGGACGTGAGTTGGGGAACACGCGCTGGTCCCGTGTGTGTTTAAAGCCTCAGGCAGCCCCGAAAAGACGCTGGGGTGACCCCTGGGTCGAGAGCGCAGCGCAGTCGACCGGCAACCACAGATGATGTTTTTGTATTTTTCTATGCAACACAGCAATGCCAAAGATTAACAGCGTTATCCTGGGGTACCGCTTCAACAAGCGGAAGAGGCTGCAGACCACCCTTTAATAACAACAATAGCAATACAGGATTCCGGGTTCCAAGCACTCTGTACGTCGGATGAATGCCCCCGAACTCCAGCCGTGGTAGTCCCCCTACCGGCCACCTACTGGCCACCCTGACGTATCCGGATACGGCTCCGATATCCCAGCACACCTCCGCACACACCCGCATCCACACCAACTCCAGAGTTTCTAAAGATTCCCCTCCTCCTGCTCCTCTTTTAACGAAACCCCATGACATCCTACCACCCACCCACCGTCCTGCACCCGTGCATCACAGCTTCCGTACCAGCAGGCACCAAGCGGGTGGACGAGCGGCCAGCTTGTCGTACTCGGGGGTGGCATCGAACACGCTCCGCCAGCAGCCGCACCAGCGCCAGCGGGCGGGCGGGAACAGCGACCGGAGCTGGGGTAGACTCAGCAGGGAGGGACCCCGACTGCTGCTGCTGGCGCTGCTGTTGGTGCCACTGCGGCTGCTGATCACCCCTGCACCGCCCTTTGCTTCCATGGTGACCCTGAGCTCATTCCGACGTCCATCTTCATCCCCAGCGTCACAACCTTTTGCCTGCGAGCACTCCCTGCCTGCGGACGTCAACATGAGCCCCTCCTCCTCCCTCACACCCTCCTCCTCACCCTCCTCCTCGCTCCTGCCCACCAGCAGCAGCGCTAACCCGCCCCTCCTCAGCGCCGCATGCAGTACGGCAACGTACGGTACCCGCAGCTGCGGCGGTACGGCATGCAGCCCCTGGCAGTCGTACACGAGGTGTACGGCAGCGGGCGGCAGGCGGGCGGCGAAGAGGTCGCCTTGGAGCAGCAGGTGGTGGGGGTGGGGGTGAGAAGGAGGAGGGGTGGTTGTGGTGTCGTACGGTGTGGTGTCGTACGTTGCCCCTCCTGCCTCCTGCACCTGCCGTACCTCCACCACAAGTACGGGAACAGCAACGGGAGCGGGAGCAGCAGCAGCCATCCCCCTTGCCTTGGCCACCTCTGCCTTGGCCGCCTCCGCTGCCACCGCCGCCGCCACATCCGCCGCTGCCTGCTGCAGTCGTGCTGCCGCCACCCGGCAGGCAGCCGGCACCAGCTCCACTCCCGTCACTGAGAAGCCCTTGGGGTGGGATGTGGGGGCGGGATGTGGGTACAGAGGACACAACTGACTGACCGTGTGATAAGGCGTCATCATGGCGAGATGTGGGGGCGGGGTGTGGGGGTGGGAGAGCGAGAAGGATGGTGGTTGGGGGACTGTGCTGCAGTGGTTAGCAGTGGGCGGGTGGGCTGTGATGGGGACTGATAACGGGCTAACACTCGTGCTGCCTTGCTTCCTTCCGCCTGTCGCTTCACCATCTGTCCCTTCCCGCCGCTGTCGCATACTACATGCCCCCGCCCCCTCCCCACCCCGCTCTTCCCCTCTTCCCCGCTCCCCCGCCCCCCACCATGCGACACATGAAGGCCAGTGAGGCACCCGTGCCGCAACACAGCTCCAGCACGCGAAGGGGCTCGGAGGCAGCAGGGGCAGCGGTAGCAGGGGAGGAAAGAGCAACAGCGCCTCCTGCTCCTGCTCCGCTTCCTCCTGCTTCCCTGCCTCCTCCTGCTTCCCCCCTGCCGCCGCCGCCACCATGGCGGCCCAGCAGGGCCTCCAGCTCCCGCGGCTTCAGATGCTCACATGCGCTGCACACATGCGGCCTCATCGTGCATGCGCCCTCACAACCACCACCTGCAGCAGCTGCAGTGGGACCCCCCTGCCCCCCCGCCTGCCCCCACCTCGCCCCCTCCGGCCCCCCCGCCTGCCCCCACCTCGCCCCCCCCTGTCCCCCCGCCTGCCCCCCCCCTGCCGGGCAGCCGCACAGGTAGGCTACCAGCTGCGAGGCGGGCGCGTGTGTGTCCCAGGGGGCGGACAGCGGGCTGGAGGCGTAGTAGGCGTGCCACTTGGTGGGTGGGGGAGGGGTTGATGGTTGGGCGGGGCCAGGAGGGAATGGTGGGGCGGGGGCAGGGAGGGAGGAGCAGGGGGGTGACGGGGCGGTGGAGGTAGCGGCTGGGGCTGAGGTGGAGGCGGGGGGCACGGTGGTGGAGACGGGGAGGCTCATGTGGGCTGGTGCGGTGGTGGTGGGAGGAGGGGCGGGAGGAGAGCGGGTTGGAGAGCGGTCGCGCCTGCCGGTGCCGCTGTTGCTACGGCGGCTATGGGGCGATATATAGGGGTACTGTATTATGCAAGTGCCTTTGTGTGAAACTTCACAGATTTGAGAACTTTGCTTCAACGGGGGCTTGCTGCCTGGCTACGTGGCTCAGTAGAGCTTTATAAGGCCGAGCCCATTAACTTGCATTGCGCCAGGAGCACTTGAAATTGTATCAGTATGCTGTTAGCTTATGATGCAGCATATACAGAAGTAGTAGAATAAGGATGGCTAGCGATCACATGCAACAAACTATCCAATGTGACGAGCCAACTGACCAACTGCTGCATCAAAGAACCATATTGCTAGGTATTCATCTTGCGCCTGAGCGAACACGTCTAAGCCTAAGCATAGCGCGGATGCAAAGTGGTGCATGGCTTGGATAAGACGGTGCATGTGCTTGCATCTTATGCTGCTTGTAAAGTGTCGCATAGTGAGCAAAAACAGCAGCCACCGCACGGTGATAAGACAGCCGAGAGGAGTAAGTTCCCGGTAAACGCCAGCGAGAGCGGTAGTACATGATAGGACTCAATGGCACTATGCTGCAGCCAAGCACAGCATAGCAAGCAAGGAGGGGATGCGGGAGAAAGACAGAGAGCGCACCGTAACCTGCTTCTATGGTTATGCTTTAGGTTTGCAACAAGGTTGCTATCATGCCTCTCCCATGCGGAATTGGGCATAGAAGCAACTTGTGGGGTACCGGGTATGACATGACATGCCTGTGGTGAAGCATGCACGTCTGGCCAAGCCAGAGGTCCAGTTACGAGCCGGAAGCAAAGCTTGAAGCGTACCGTGATTTATCATATAAACCATGCCATTAGCAGCCATCCAGTTTTGCAGCATGTGCGGTGGCGGTTTCTTCAGCGTTACTGAAAGGGGCGGGCGAGGCAAAGGCATGGTTCTTAAGCAGCAAGCAGATAGTCTGAAGCTTTGATAGCTTTGCTTATGTCAAGCTCAAGCGCATAACTTCACTGCTATAGGACGCTGAATGCGGAGTCCTGGGAGCGGGCTCCGGAACCCATGCATCAGAGCTACAGTTGACTTTCGCCCGTGCCTTGGGAAGGACGCGCCCATGCAATACATTTGCTTCTATGACTTTTACAAAAAGACATTACCTTTTTACCGTTATTCTTTCCTACAGTTGAGATGTCTTAGAACGAGGCCTGTGCGCAACGGCAACGCCGAGCGGGAACTGCAGTGACAGGGCGATACCCAGAACACTTAGCCTCCCTAAACGGTCATATATCACTGCGACTATTCTTTTGACGTCTCTGAGATGTCGGCAATAGGCACCGGTGCCTTGGCCACCGTCCTAAAGGTCACAGACCGATACGCTGTGAAACTAGTCGACGACGTGAATGCCGCTGACCATGAAATCGGTATATTGGAGGAGATAGGTGAATGCCCTTGCGTTGTGGGCTACTTTGGCCGGTTGGCAGGCCAGAGTGCATCAGGTCAGCGGTCAGCACTTTTGCTGGAATTGTGTCAAGGGAGCCTAAATAATGCTCTTCTGAAGCTTCCCGGCCAGGTATGTCAGCAATTCTTGCCTCCACTTGGAAGGTCGTGTCTTAACACAGCGACATCTTTCCTTTCACAGCGGCTACCCGACGCAACGGGCCTCGAAACTCAGCAGGCGGTGGTTATGTTGATCAATTGCGTCGCCCAACTACACAGCCGTGGTGTGATTCACCAGGCAAGTTGGTCGTTCAATCCTTCGCACTTTGGTTGAACAAAACTGTTTTCTCAGCCAAGACGGCTCTCCGTTTCACAGGACATCAAGCCCAGCAACTTCTTGCTTGGGCAGGATGGTGCTATCAAGTTGTGCGACTTCAATCTGTCGCGTCTCGCATCGGACTCGTCCCGCATCAAGGGCGGCACCGTATTATACTTCTCACCACACATGTTCAACAACATGGATGAGGGATACGCCGCTGACTGGTAGGATAAGAAGACAGCTTCCTCCATCCCTCACGACATGACTGCTACTGCCACAGTGCTTCGCACCTCCACACTGCACATATCTTACAACTGTACCACTGTACCCTCTTGCGCAGGTGGGCGCTGGGTGTGACACTCTACCAGGCGCTCCATGGGCTTCACACCTGGCCCTTCAGCTCCCGCTCGCTGCTCAAGCTGGACCAGGCGCCGGCGCAGCAGCAGCTGGTGCTGGTGAGGAAGGCCGTTATGAACGGCAACCTGCGCTTCAGGTACGCAGGGAGGGTCTAGTGGGCTCGTGGGATGGACAAGACGGCGCCTGGGTTATGCTACCTGCTGCGGCCAGAGTATACCCACCCTTATTTCCATGCTATCTACCCCGCTTTTGGTTTCACGTTTCATGCGCTTGCTGATGCAGGTCGCTTTCGGGGCTGCCCCGTGGTGCGAGAGCCCTCATCCGGGGCCTGCTGCACACGCAACCCGAGAAGAGGTGGGTCAGGAGCGGTTGGGCTGGGCGGTTACTACCCCTACCGGCTGGTGCTGCTTGGGTGTCCTACATGGCTCCTCTAGCATACCACAAACAAACCAACGGGTGCAGCGTTATAGTCCAGCATGCTGTTTTCTGCCATCCCGGGTCCTCTTCATGCCATGTGTTCCAGCTTCCATCCTCCCCGCCTGACCCCCCCCCCCTATGGTTTGTTTCTCCTATGGTTTGGTATGGTCTTTGACCCCCCCCCCCCGCTTGTCCCCTCGCTGCCCCCGCAGGTGGGGTCTGCTGCACGTGCTTGCGGGGGACTACCCGGGGGACGCGGCCTTTGCTGCGGTGGCTGCACGGCACCCGCAGCTGGCGCCCGACATGGAGCGACTGCTGGTGAGGCTGGAGAGGGGGGGGTCAGGGGAGGGGGCTCAAGGGTGAAGGGGCGGGCGGGGTCTTCCAGAGAGACACGTGAAAGAAGTGTGGCTGCGGCTGAAGTCAGCGGGGTGCTGCGTTTACGGAATGATGGCAGGAAGGCTTATCATTGTCGTGCATGACGGCAGTTGCTGACGCGTGCACCCGTGTGTCACTGCTGCTGCAGTCCCTGCGGCGGCTGTGCCGGCTGTCGCCCGCCAAGCAGCTGCAGGCGGCGCAGTGCGAGTCAGCGGCCGCCAGCGCTCCCCGCTGCGAGGATGACGGTGACAAGGCGGGACGCGGTGACGATGATGCAACCCGAACAAGGTATGCTCAACGGGACTGGACACGTGTTAACACTTAACAGCCCTGTAAGGTCCTCACAGTGACCTTACGGCTTAGCGCTGGGTATCACCATTTCCTCCCGACGCCACCTTTCGCCCTTGCTGCTCCCCTAACCCACAGTCCCGCTGTCAGCCGCCGCTTCCTTCGGGGCCTGAGCAGCTACCTGCTGCAGCGCATCATCAGCCGCCGCCGCGCCTGCTCCGCCGCCTCCTTCAACCGGGACGCAGACGACCTCTCACAGGGCGACGACCAGCGTAGCGAGTCCCGGCCAGCCGCCGCCGCCGCCGGCCCGCACTGCTCCTCCGCAGCAGCCACCACCGCCCCCTCCTCTGCCCCCTCCACCACCGCTAGCCCCACCGTTGCCACCACGATCCTCTCCACCCAGGAACTTGAAGGATCACCGGTGCGGTGCGGCGCCACCTGTAATAACAACACAAGCAGCACAACCTACCACCGTGCCGTCGGAGCAGGCGGCGGCAGCTCTCATCACCACCACCATGTCGTACGGCACCGGGGTGCTGGCAGCGCCGCCGCCGCCAAGGCAGTGGCCATGACCAAGTCGCTGTTGCCCCGGTCGGAAGGCGCCATCCGCACTGCCGTGGCGCAGGCCGCAGCTGCCGCTCCCCGGGCCCTGCTGACAGAGGACGGGCGGCTGGCGGCTGCGGGTCCGCATGTGTCGTGTGAGGTGCGAACGGACGAGGTGGAGCTGCCGGCGGAGTTGAGAGAGGTGCTGGGGTTGCATGGGGAGGGGCGCAGCTGGGCGGGCGCGGCGGGGAGTGAGGCGGATGTGGGTCCTCGCGGCAGGCGGGAACGGAGCTGCGGCGGGCAGGTGCAGGATGTGGAGGTGCTCGAGGAGATGCGGCAGCTGCTGGCTCGCCGCGTGACGGCGGCGGCTGGGGCGTCCGGTCGCAGCGGCGCGGGCAGGACAGCGGGCGGCGACACGGGCATGGGCGCTAGCAGCACTAGCGACCACCCTGCCTCGCCCTCGCGCTCCGGCATGACGCCGTGTTCGACTGCGGGTGGCGCGTCCACGAATACCGGGCTGGCCTCGATGGCTGTGGCTAGCCTGACGCCGGGAGTGGCGCTGGATAGCAGCTGCCGTAGCAGCAGCAACACAGCCACCAGCAGCAGCCGTCCAAGCAGCCTCAGTGGCAACTGCCATGATTGCAGTACGACGAGTAGGGCGGCGCATTTGGGCGGTGGATTGCAAGCAGCCTTTGAGGCGGCGGCGGCCTTGGAGGTTTGTGGTGCGGGCACGAATACAGGCTGCGTGGCCGTGACGCAGTATGACGAGTATACAGCAGCAGCAAGCAAATGTGCCGGATCTAGCTTTCATGCCGGGCATGCGGTTGCGCAGCAGTGCGCAGCCATCTCGGTCGATGGGGACTGCGAGGCTGTTAGTCTGGGTCACCGGTTCCGGCCTCGAGCCGGGCGGACCTACAGCACCGGACATGGCCTCGTGCGAGCCAGCATGGGGGCGTGCGGCAGTCCCCGGCTGGCAGCACCAGCGGAGGAGCTGCTGCCGCTGCCGGAGCTAGCGGCGAAGGCGCACCAGGCTGGGGGCGCGCTGGCAGTCGTGCGTATCAGCCGGGGTGGCGGCTCCAGGGGCGTCTCAGCGGCGGGCTGCCCGGAGAACCCGGCTGCGGGGCACTCGCCTTGTCAGCCGGCATGGCCGAATGTGTACATCAACACGCATGCGGTGAACCCTAGCAGCTGCGGTGCGGGTCGGACTGCTGGGCGGAATGGCAGCTGCGGCGGGGTGTTTAACAGCTGTGGGATGGACAGCCTCTTCAGCCTCCGTGGTAGCATTCTTATGGAGGAGCTGGCGGCGCCGGCGGCCCCCGCGACGGACGTGTCCAACGACTCGGCTGAGAGCAGTTGTTTCGTGTTGGCGGCGGAGTCGATGACGCAAGCGGTGGCTGACGTGTCGCCGCTGCCGCGGGGTCGTGGCGGGTTCGGTCGGCACTCTCGACCCGTGGACCTGCGCGCTGTTGCGGCGGGGTTGGAGGCGGCGGTTGCTTCGGGGCTGGAGTTTATGGAGGCAGCGGAGGAGGAGCGGGCAACATGGGGATCCATGCATTGTGAAAGAGAGATTGAGGAGGAGGCGGCTGTTGTTGCTGGAGCTGATGGCTGCTCGATCATGCGGCAAGAAGCAGCGACCGCAGTTGCTGCAGCTGCGGACTCGGAAGCGCGTGTCAGTGAACGCAATTCGCTGGCGGCTAAGCAACAATGCGGACGTCGCGTTTGCGGTTCTGTGGCGGGTGAGGAGGAGTTGCTGGAACCGGGGTTCATGTTGCATGGGGTAGTTGCTGCAGCTGGGGGTGTTGAGCCCTCCTTGGGCTGCGGGCTTCCGTCGCCCCGGGTTTGGGCGGTCAGGGCGGGCCAGCTGCTCCGAAAGGCGCATCTGCTGGGCCCAGCTGACGCAAGAATGGCTTCGTGAGAAGTCGCGGGAGGCTCGAATAGGGCCTGATTAGTTGTCTAGTGTGCATGCAGCGGTAGCCACGAGCACGCCGTGAGAAGGGGCCATGTCGCCCGCCGGAAGGCGCGTGCGGGCGTGGAGAGCATGTAGTGTCGCTCTTTCGTCGACTGTGACGGTCGTCGTGGAGTTGGAAGGTTGATGATGATGATGATGATGATGATGATGATGATGATGATTCGTATTCATGTACATACCATACCGTACCGTCCGGTTAGGAGCTGTTGCTTCCGCGCTTTCGATGTTGATGAGCCCGAGAGGGCACACCGTTGTAGAGAGGAAGGGCAGCGAGGTGGGGACACCGGAACGTAGGAAGGGCCCGTATCCTGGCGCGGAGCCTTTTGACTATAAGTCTGACCCCATCTGGGGCTTGTGTGTCTTCTTCTTTGGGACCCAGTGGGAAGTATGGCGGTGGTAAAGCGGACGAAAAAAGTAAAAGACGTGAGAGTATGGTAGGGAGGAGAGGGGTTCGGTTAGTGTTTCGTGGCTCCGAGCTGCAGTGATGAGGGCTGGTGTGTCTGAAGACGTGTGAGTAGCGCGGTGCCTGGGGGGTTCTTGTGACGCGACGGTATTGGGTAGCGCGGAACTGGGACGTTTCCCGGGCATGGCGAGGTTTTCTTTTGAAGAGGTACGTATCATTCCCGTAGAATAGTGCGGAAAAAAACAGGTTTGAGACGAGCGGACCTACAATACAGCTTTGGAGACTGCAAAATCGCGCTGCGCTATTCTTTGGTGGTTTGGGGTGTTAACCTAGCGCAGTTTGCGAACGCTCTGCAGGACAGGACTGACGAGCGGACGTTGACGTTGACGGCATCGATGTTGCTGCTAGAACATGTGTGGCGCTGGTGCCGGCATTAGTAATTATGAGGTACCTAGAGTTCTTAACAGAGTGCTGCTGGTTGATGTTGACACGAGCGGCTTAGCGATGTGGTGCGATCTGTGGTGTGACCCCAGAACAGGGAGCCCTTGTCCCACATGGGGTGGGGCCCCGTTAGGAAGGCCGGCCCGTCTTGTGGCTGTTTGCCTCACTAGTACGTGACACTTAGGAACCGGTAGCCATGCTTTTATAGTTTTGTAGCTTAGTATAGAGACCGTTAACATGTACATAGAGACCTGGTGGTTACGACAACCGGGGTGTTGTAGCGTGTTTAGGGCATGTGTTGTCCTAATTGGGCGGATCTTAGATCGGATCTCTTCGAATCGCAGCCCTCCTAGCCGGATCTTCGTTGACCTGTTTCCTCGAATGTTGACTAAGATCTTTTTTCTCCTGACAGGGCTGCCCTTTGCGCACTGCAGGGCTCTTGTAGTCTTTCTTGCCATTAGCATCTAACATAGTTTACCGTTGTGTCGTTGACCGTTTGAACCCCCCGGGAAACCTTGGTCACTGAGGATTGGAGTGTAGTGTGACCATAGTGCCATTGATCTTTTCATTAGCGACTGTTTACTCGGGCTGCATTTAAGTATGGTGGTGGCTGGTGGTGACGTGGGTGGTTGGAAGGGTGTATGCCGGGGAATACCCGTGGCTTTGGGCAGCGTACGTCGGCATGCTGCGTGTTAAACAACTCTGTAATACCCGTGGGATAGACCTGAACAGCATCCCTTACAACAAGGAAAGGAGTTGCTTACGCGAAAGTCAATAACGACACTGTTCGCGGCTTCAGACGACAAGGTAACTACCTCACGCATCCCAAACGCACACGTACACTCGTCCATTCAGTTTCTTGAACAGTTATAATACGGCCGGGTAACGTTGCGTGGGGCTTCCACCTTACCAGCCCACGGCCTGCGGTGCCTTTGCCTCCCTTCGCATGCAAAGGGTATAGTATCAGTAACCCTCGGTTAAGGTCTGACATGCGGCAAAGGCACGTGCTATAAAGGCCACAGCAGGCAAAACCAAGTGGACCACCCAAAACGGCACATTGTTTGTTTGTGAAAACGTACACCCTTCACAGCCCTTCATGGCTCATCTGAGGTTAGCAATTCGAGCGCCAGCAGCACGGTAAACGCCGCTCCGCAACTCACCCAACCGCTCCGTGACCCACCCAACGCGGCGCCAACCGGTACACTCAACATCATGTGCACCTAGCCCATGCGATACAACCGATGCAAGGAGGCCGTGCCGCTCAGGCCGCAGCTGGTAACCAGGGAAGGGCGCCCTCATTGCCTGACAACAACCACATGTCCCTCACATGACGCGAGTGAGAAGCCCCGGCACGCCACCGCCCCCATGTGCTAAACGAATAGACAACAACAGCACAGCAGGCACTTTCGCGCAACGCGCGAAATGCAATCAGTGTATATCCATACACCCATATACGGTACGGCATCATACGATGCCATGCTCTAGGTAGGGTTGCTCAAGGCCTTTATTATTACTAGTGCGATGGACAACATGTTACTCACGGACCCTCACAACACACGCACACTGCACTACAATGGGCAACTCCTGGTCGACACAGCCCTGAACGCAACTCGCCAGTACGGCGCAACAGATTAACCGATTGCAGTACGACAGGTGTTGTGTCTGCGCCCATATATAGCTTGATTCAAACCATCTTCATGGGACCAACGCCCGAGCATTTGCACATGAAATCCATTCATTTATCTTCGTCATTATGGCTCCCTCCCAATGGCCTATTCCGGCATGCGGCGTACCCATGCTAAGCACTATAGTCTAAAGAGGGCTACCGTAGGAGCCTAGGCCTACCCCTACAACCAGAATCGTGCGAGGTCCGGACTGATGGGAACAGGGACAACATCAGATCTGCATTGTCAACGATCGAGGCGGCAAAGACACATATACCACATTCCGGCTATCCTATTCCTTACTGAAATGCGGATCCGTTCGAATGGGCAATGGGCAACATGAACAACCGAGTTCAACAAACAAATCGGCATCTGGCGCGTCGAGTGGCACTTAACTATCGTAGTCAGTACCCACGCTAAAACCCAGCGACGGGTGTGTGCCGCCGCCGCCGCCTGCATATAGTCCACTTCCCTAGAAGCCTCCCTTTCTTCCCAACCGTAAATCGTGTCACGGAGCAGTCATAAGCCCTCTCTGCACGCGTTTGTGTCGACTACAGCATACCCCGCGTCATCTCACGCTCCCGCGGTCGTCAGAGCAGCCGCGTTGCCCTTACCTTGCTGCCTGCCCCTACCCGCCGGCAGCACCACCCCCACCCCCACCCCAACCGCGGCAGCTGGCGGCAGCAACGTCATCGGCATCATGGAATCTACCAACACCTGCTGCCCTTGCTGCCCCTGTTCCTGTTCCCGCTGCTGCTGGTGCCACCACTCGGGCAGTTCCGCAATGGAGGGCAGTACGGCATGCGGTGTGACCCCCACATGCAGGTCGTGCTCGCGGAACTTGCCCGTCCGCACCAGCAGCCCCCGCAGCCCCGCCGCCTGCGCGCCGCCCACATCCCCGCGCACGTCGTCCCCGATCATCACAACCTGCAGCGGCAGCAGCGGAGCAGGGCAGCGGGGGGGGGGGATGGAGGGCAGCGGCGGCGCCTTACCTCGGTATATGTCCGCGTTACGTCCGCCCCTCTCCGCTGCCCTCACTTCCTGGCCCCTGTGCCCTCCCTAGGCTCCCTAACACAGGCAGTTTTCCCCTACCCTCTCCCAAGCCCTCTCCGCATCCCTTCCTGAACCCCACGCTCGCCCGCTCACCTCCTCCGGCTGCAGTCCCAGGCTGTGCGCGGAGAGCTTGAAGATGAGCGGGTCGGGCTTACCCAGCACAAGCTGTGCGGCCGGGAGGAGGGAGCGACGGGGGCAAGGGCAGCGAGGGTGAGAGGACGAGAAGGCCAAGTGTAGCAGTGGAGTGCGCAGGGACGGAAGGGAACAGCGATTTGGCAACACTCGGGAAAGACACTCGGGTAAGGGAAGCCGCCCCACAGCCCCAGCGGCCCCGTGTCTCACCGCCTTCTGATCAGTGGCATACTCGAGTGCCGCCGTGAAGGGCCCAACGTCGATACTGTAGCCGTCCGTGTCCTTGTAGTACCTGACAGGGGGGGCAGCAGGGGGGGGTGCAGCAGGGGGGGGGTGCAGCAGCAGGGGGGGGGTGCAGCATGGGGCCAAACAGGTGAGTCATCGGCGGCATATCAAGGCACTGCACCTCTAGTCTTTGCACCCGGCCGAAGTATACATCTGCCGTCCCGCACATCCGCAGCTCCTTTCCCACCTTCCCTTGCCCAGCGAGATGAGGGTGAGCGGCGGAGCTGACGCGCCCCTCCGGCCCCTGCCCCTGCGGACTGCTGGGGGCAGGGAGGAGCTCCCCGCAGCAGCACCAGCAGTAGCTGTAGCAGTGGCGCCCACAGCAGTAGTGCTGGATGCAGAGGCAGAGGCGGTGCTAGCTACTGAAGCGGCGGCAGTGGCAGTTGCTGCTGAGGCGCACTTGCCGCAGCGCTGCGCCTCCGCCTCCTCGCAGCGCAGCTCGCCGTCCATTACTAGCCTGGGTGGAGAGGGGCAGAGGGCGGGGGAGGAGGAGCGCAGGGCGACAGGAAGGCAACGAGGAGTAAGATAACAGGGAATGCGAGGGAGGAGGAGGACGCGGCCTCAGCGACAGGAAGTTACCACCACCAGTCGGCAACCAGTCGCAAGCCAATCTCGCGTACCCCGCCTACCCCAGCGCGCCAGCTCACACGCCATGTCAGCCCTCCCCTCTCCCTCTCCCTCCCTCGCCCTCCCTCGCCCTCCCCTCCCTGGCTCTGCTGCTCCTCCCCACCTGAAAGCCCGGTTGAGGGAGGCGTAGTTCCAATCGAGCCCCATGTCCCCAATCACCACCGCTGCTGCCCCCGATTGGGCGTCAGGCGGCAGCTGCTGGATGCCCTCGAACTCGGGCGCCAGGTCGGGACCCACAAACAGCGCTGCGGGCTCTGCAGGTGGTGATGGGGATGACAGATGATGACAAACCAGACAGTGGCTTAACAGCAGTTGTGGCTTAACACAAGATTACCGGTAACACAAGAGGAGGCAGGAGAGGGGCGGATAATGCTGTGAAGGGGCTGTGTAGGTGCGGGTCTTGGGGTGACAAACAATATCGTAAACGGAGCTTGTGGGTTGATCAAGAAGCAGCATTACCGGCGGTCTCGCACCTGCTTTATGCGCTCGGAGCCAGTCAGCGGCCAGCTTGGCGGGGCTGACGATGTCCTCTGCGCGGCAGGGAACCCCCATGTCGCGCAGGCGGGCAGCAAGACCTGTGGATGGCAGCAGCGGTTTGTGCGTTAGCGAAAACGGTTAGGGCTTTTGCTGCAGGTGCAGGGTGAAAATGCGATCCCTAAACGAAACTTTGGCCAATGTAGTTGGGTTGCGATTTGGGTTATGATGGGCTGTTCACCCATGGCTAGAAGTACGTGCGAACTGTACGGATGGTACAACCATAGTTACGACCATTTACGACCGTGGAACTTGGGGACTACACATATATACCCCCAGAGAAGCACTAACCTTCTCGTGACTTGGTTGAGGTGTTAGTGACAAAGAGCCAGGGCACTGCGAGGCGCTCACGGAAGTACCGAACCGTGTCCGCTGCGCCGGGAATTGCCTGCAGTCAAAGCAGAAAACCTCACGTAATCCGTTTGATACGGTAGCTGTGCAGCTCTAGTAGCCTAGGCAACAAGTAGGAGGCAGGCGTCTGAGCACCCCGGTTAGCCCATGCGATCGAACGTTGAGGCGCTAGGACACTAACACCATCGCGCGTCATTGCCGGTCGTTCGTATACATCTTTGTGCAGTTGAATCGCATCTAGTTATCGGAGTAACCGGCAAAGTAACCGGGCGAGGCCTGTCCCGCCACGTCGGCGTACCACTGATGTTCCGCTCGCGTAGATAACTCCATCCAAGTCGCATAGCACGCCTTTTGGTGCAGCAAACGTTACTACTCGAGACCTGTATTAACGACACAAAGGAAGCAAACCGCATAGCAAACAAGGTTCCAACTCCCAAACATAACGTCCACGTGCCGATACGCAACTATAATAGGACAGTGGCCCGCTTTTCTGCACGTATGTATTGCTGCAGTAGCAAAGCGCCTTCGTTTTAACGGCTAAGGCGTAATATGGGTGCATTGCCAACCAGCACGCGCCGAAAAGCACAACCTATGTCCTTTCAGCGAGCTGCCATACTCACAGGAACGCGCCACTGACCTTAATGCGCGACCTTGAGCGCACGGAAATTTCCCACGACGGCTGGAAATACCATTTGAGGCGTGGCCAACGATTGCTGACGATGCAATTGCGCCACTCAAGCCAAGCTGGGGACACATTTCTTAATAGCTACGCGCAATAACTATAATAACTTATGCAGATATATCCTTAGTTGCATGCACATAACAAACTCAAGCTTACTAGTAGGCTACCCAAGATAGTCGTTGTCAACTAGCTCTACGGCGAGAAAAGCTAGATGAAGCCAGCAACGATATTATACGTTATATGATGTAGTTTCATAACATCCGACCTGCCAGGGTTCCTGTGCTTACGGCTTCGGAGGACCCCTGCCGTACTCCAGCGTCAGTGAACCGTGGGACACGAGCGCTAAGTCCCCGATTAATTGTGTCTATCTCTTATACTAACTAGGGGTAATGCTTGCCGCGTGAAAAAAATAAAACTTCAGTGCTGTCCTATGGGCGTGAGTTGTTTACCTTGGACACGCACATGAATCCGTATGCTGGGCGTCGCCACGTATTTTCGAGTTGCGACAGGTTGCAGGCTGAAAGTACTACACTGATATGGCGAAGTAGCTTACATTACAGTCACGGCTCAGGGTCATGGGTATCAGTGCCGCATTGACCGCAGCTGTGTGCCACCATTCTAGATCTCCGGTACCTGCCCAGCTGCCAGCATAAGCCGCTTCCTCCTCCTCTTCTCCACATTCCGCTGCTCGTGTCCCTGCCCCTGCCTACATTCAAACACGTCTGGAGCAGCAGTATATTCAACTCTATCCACGGGGACTGGGCCCGCAGGACTCCACATCTCACTTGAACTGATCCATAAGGAAGTCGAAAGCGGCGTGCTGCGGCTGTTGTGACTGCTGCTGCAGACCACCCGCCCCACCCGGCTGCAGCCGCTGCCCTGCCCCCTGCATCGGCTGCTGCCAGCTGCCAGACACGGCCATCCCAGGCATAGACCCAGGCATGCCCGGCCTCGCCATCCCAGCCTGCATCCCCGATTGCTGCCCCTGCTGCTCATAGCGCACCTGACCGCCCGGACCCACCATCATGCCGCCACCACCGCCCATGCCCATTCCCAACCCCATTCCCGCACCGCTGGAGGACGGGCCCATTCCCATGCCCATCATGCCCATACCCGCGCCCGCCCCTGCCATGCTGCCCATGCTCGCTGCCCCTGCACTGTAATTCGGGGCACCCTGCCAAGCCCCCGGCCCTGCACCGTACGCGGCACCACCGGAGGGCCCGGGCCCTACGCCGGCAGCCCCAGATGACCCCAGCGCGCCGAAACCGCCTAGCAGGTCTCCAGTGTGCATGGGAGCAGGCGGCTTGGCCGGCTGCTGCAGTTGCTGCGCCATGCCTAATGTCCCCATGCCGCCGTTGCCGGCAAACCCTCCAACCGCAGCGCCGTACTGGGTTCCAGCTGCCGTGGGCGTCCCAACGCCGCTGCTGCCGCCGGGGATGTACGCCTGCGGTGCAAAGCTCGGCGCCTGCGGCGTCGCTGCCGACATGCCCAGCAAGTCCAACTGAGAGCCGCCTGCGGGCTTGATCCCGCCCATGCCCGGCACTGCGCTACCCGACATAAACATTGGCTGCGGCTGCGCCTGAGAAGCCGCTGTGCCGCTGGGCCCCATCAGACCGCTACCGGCCCCCTGGGCAGGGCCGGGGTTGTTGCCGTACGGCAGCCCACCGCCCATGCCGTACATTGCTCCGCCGCCCGCCGCCCCGCCGCCGGGGGCTGGAGCTCCGCCGGAGAGGTTCATGTCAGCGAAGAGGTCGTCCAGTGGCGCACCCCTCGCAGCGCAGCCGCCGTTCTGCGGTTGCTGCTGCTGCTGCGGTGGCGGCGCTTGCGCAGCGGGTCGGGGCGCAGCACCGTACGATGACGGATTCGGAAACGCGCCCATCGTCTGCACACCGGCAGAACCGCCGCTGGGAAGACCACCATAGCCGCCGTACGGGCCTTGAGCAGAGACTGGCTGCTGGTGCTGCTGTGGCAGCATCTGCGGCTGCAGCTGCATTGTCTGCTGAAGCAGAGAGCCGCCGGCTGGCGGGTTGTTCCCAGTCGGGACTTGCAGCACGTCGAATGGATCCAAGGCTGGCCGGGGAGCCGCCGTCCGAGGCGGTTGCTGCTGTTGCTGTTGCTGGTTCTGCTGCAGGACCGGTTGCAGGACCGGTAGCTGTCCGTAGTTGTACTGTGGTCCCATGTCTAGCGGTGGGCTCAGAGCAGAGGGCTGACCAGCCGGCATGCCTGCCCCTGTGGCCTGTGGCTGCTGACTGGGCTGAGCGCCGTACATGGCATGTACTGGGCTACCTGCACACAGGGTTTGAACAGACGCAAGGGCCGGTTAACGCAGAATGTGATACTTCGGGATAGTGTCTTGTTATCATCACGGGTATTAGTGTTCCGAGGTGTTCAGGGGTGCTATGCGTCAATCAACGCCCATGACTACCCAGCAACCTCGTCACCTCTTGCTCTCCAGCCCGTGCACGCCCTCCCATACCCCACGCACCCAGCATGTCCAGTCCGCCTAGCAAATCCACTGCAGGTTGCGGAGCGGCGCCTGAAGCCGCAGGAACTGTGCCGCTGCCACGTCCGGGACCGGCCGCAGGCGCTGCGTTGGGGGGAGGTGGCACAGGCGCCGTCGCCGCCGCAGCATCCCCCAGCAGCAGCTTCAGCACGCGGGCCGCCCGCTCACGCACGGGGGCCTGCGGGTGCGAGGCTGCTGCTTGCACGGGTGTGGGATCGCTCTGGAACATCACCGCGATCTCACCGCATGCCTGCGGTTGCACCCGCAGACGTATCGCTTGTAAGTGGCTTCGGGACGTAAGGATACATAATTACAGTCCTCCAGAAGACTTGTGAAGAGAGAGAACGCATGTTAAAGTATGAACCGTATGCATGCAAGCCTCTGCACCACTCTCCTCAACACACGCCGAGCATCCCCACCAGCTCCTTGCACCTCTGTCCCTCCCCTCCGGTGTTAGACTGTCCATTCCGCACCCCCACAAACCGCTCCAACCGCACCTGCGTGGCCCCCTGCAGCAGCACCGCCTCCACCGCGAAGAGAGCACGCAGCAGCTGCTGCCAGGGAGCGGAGCCGTCCTGGGGTGCGCGGGAAGAAGGGACGGTGCGAGGAAAGGGAGGGATGAAGGGCTACTGTGTGAACAGCGTTGCGAACAGAAACATCGTTCGTAAGAGTCAACCGGTAGCGCAATGACACTGCCGGTGTAAAGCGCTGGGATGTTGTTCCTTTCAATACTAGCATCATTTGGGGTTGGCGGCTTCCCAATTCGCCTCTAGCTGGTAGCCTCTCCATTCTCCACCACCACAACCCGGCTTCCCAGGAAGACCGACCTCCTTCCTTCCCTCTGCCCTCCGCCCTTCTCTCACCATCTTGTCGTGCAGCAGCTCCCCGACCTTGAGTCCGTCCAAGCTGCCCACCGCCTCCACGAAGCGACGCAGGTCCTCCGCGTCGGGCGCCAGCCGCAGACCTGCATGGAGGCGGCAGGAGGAGGGGGCAGCGTGTGGTGGTGGTGCGCATGCAGCTCTTGCCTCCGACATCAACCCCAACATCAGCTACTACTAGCTGGGCTCTTCGTTGCCCTTGGTTACCGCTATTGTCGTACCACTATCCACTGGTGTACACCTGTACAGGGAAGCGCGCCGCGGACCCCCCACCTCCCGGAGTGCAGATGCCGTCCACCAGCTGCTCCTCCGACCCCAGCACCTCCGCCGCAGCAACCGGCGGGGCGCTGTAGCCGCCGCCGCCGCCGCCTCCGTAGCCGCCACCCGACCCGCGTGCGGAGTTGCCGGCGCTCGCATCGCCGCCGTAGCCGCCGGTGAGCGGCCTGTTGACACCCTTTGGAAGGTAGAAGGAGGGAAAGCAGGAAGAAGGGCAACAGGTGGTTTGAAGGAGTGCCGTGCGAGGATTGGGGCAACGTGGGAAGCTATGCATGTGGGTCACACAGGCGTTTACAGGAGGAGTCCAGCGTCAGAACAGCCATCCGCCAGGTCAGCATGATGCCATGATCAGCAATCCCCTCTTGCGGATCTCCCAGCTGCCTCAATGCCGGCAGCCTACCCTCTGGGAGGAAGCAGCGAACCCTCCGGCTGCCGGGCCGCTGCTGGATGCCGGCGGGGCGGTGTAGCTGCTGCTGCCGAAGCCCGTCATGCGTGAGCCGCCGGCCGCCGGGCCCGCAGCACTGCTGCCTCCCCTGCCGCCTCCCCCGCCGTTGCTGCCGGCGGTATTTAAAGGCGGAGCGGGCGCAGCACTGCTGCCGAAGCCTTGGATGCGGCTCTGGTGGGGGTGCAGGAGAGGGGTAAATCATGTTGGAAGTACATCTTCGGAACCACTCGGATTGGCTCCCCGCAGGGCAAGCTGGGGACCTTTCCCCGGCAACGTTGCATAGCTCTAGGCCTCAAACAACCAATAACCCAGATCGGATCACACTTCGCATGCGTGCCTTCAGTCAGCTTTTCCCCCGCTGCATGGACGTTGGGCTATGTGCTATCCCCTGAAACCCCATTCGCCAGCAACAAGCGCAGCGTAGCTCACCCCCAGGCTGTTCACGGGCTGGGCCATCACGGAATTAAACAGCGCGTCAGCTGCCTCCTTGGCTGTGTCGCGCACACGTTGGTTGGGGGTGTCGCCCTTGAATGGGTCGGCCTCTCCCTTGAAATGGATAAGCTCCCTGGAAAGGGTGGAGGGGCCTAGGTGAAGGGGTCTATGCTGGCGCATATGTGTTGGCGCCCGGAGCAACGGCTTGCAGGCCATACCTGACAAGGTTCGCGTGCCGTTGCATAGCCCTTTGGAAGTGGTGGCAGCCTTTGTTCACAATGTGGCGCGTGAGTCGCAAGGCCTGCGCGTTGGCATACACGTGTCAGGTGTCTAGGTCGGGTAAGGGATCGTCCGCTCAAACCCCATATGGTCCCGACCTTATACTTCACCACAGGAGACTTATGTTGCAAGCGCTTCGCAATGCGGTCAGCAATTTTCTCAGATGACTCCATAGAACCTCGTGCCATGTCCGACAACTCGTCCATAAGATAGACTGCGTGAGAATGAACCCCATGGCAAATGGTAAGAGACCCAGCCGTCACAGTTGATATGAACCAATCATCGCAACATACATGGGTGCAACGCCTATGCAGTCCATCTGCCAATCCCAGGACATCCCCAAAACAGCGACACTTACCCGGAGGCGGATCATCCTTCGGCGATGTCACATCCTCAACCTTTTTAAAGATTTGTACCGCTTCAATAACTCGTGCCATGTCTGGTCCCCACTTCCTCTGGGTCAACGGCGCAGAGTAAACCTAAGCAGGTCCTTCCTCTTTAGGAAATGTATTGTGTGATTTACGTTCAGCAATTCTAGATCCACCTTTTGTAAGCACTAGCTAGGGACGAGGGGCTTTGTCTGTAAGTGATAATGAACAATCGAGGTCTTCACAGCCCAACAAACAGAGGGGATAGCCATCATGGGTAACATAACCTCTTGTTTTGGGAACATGATCGCGTGGAAACATACTGATCGAGGTTAGTTGAAAGGTGCAGACGACGATGTACGAGCTTCTTATGCCGCGCCTCCTCAAATCCTAGGCAGGGCCACACTTCCAGCGCATAAGAATTCTTCTTATAGTCTTGACTGCTATCGCGGTGCGCGAAGTCTTCATGTCTTAACGTCGCAGACGTGCCAAACTCGTAAAGCAGACACCCTTACATCTTGCACCCACCAGTGTCGGCTGCTAAATCTGTTGCCCTTAAGCGCCTGCAGGCAAACAGGTTTGAGGACAAACGCGGTAGGAACTGGCGAACGTGAACCGGGGGTAAGGATGAAGGGGTGCCAGCAGACGAACGAAGCCACGCCATTCTGACCCATTTCCGGACCCAAGGGAACGTCTCGCCAACGACTGTCTATCATGGCAATGGGGGAAGGCAAACAGCCGGGCCGGCAAGGCCAGTCTAAGAGCTACCTACCATTCTAATGGTGTTGGCTTACCACCCCAAACGCTATCTTACCCAAGTTCGCCGGAACAGAAGGGCCGTGTCGGTGCACGGTAGCATCCCGGCCCTTTCAACACACGTCCCGCTTACCACAAGCGCAACCAGTCCTTTGGGAGCCCTTTGCAGAGCTGTACCGGTAACTAAGCTGGGCTGCGGAGGGAAGGCGGCCCACTTGATGTAAAAACCTCGCAAAGGGCTTTTGTAGGATGTGATTGGGGCTTGCTGTGGCTTTTGGGAAGCCTGAATGGGATGGAGACAAATGGCATGGAGGTCAATCCGACCACGCCAACTGTGGCTACGACCATGTGATCGTTGAGATAAAAACTTTTCGGCGCTGACTGAAGCGTGTGGCAGGACGGAAGCAAAATTAGGAACGCCTCCACAGTATTCGTTGATTACTGTATGGCGGATGGTATGATCGACGTCACTACCGGTACTTACTGCGGCTGGTTAAAACATGCGCATGGCAGTGGCAAGGCTGCACTCGCTGCTCAGCGAGTAAGACGAGCCAGCATCTTTCATGGAGGGCTCCGACCCTAGCAGTTACGTCTTCTAACTAACTCGCACGCATGTGATTAAGAAGGCGATCGCAAACTTCAAGATACGCAGAATAATCCCCCTTATTTACACAGCTTCCGGATCTTTTGTCAATAAAACATCTCTCTGTCTGCTTTGTGAGAGGTTTGCAGTGTAGACCATGGCGACAATAGAGACGCTAGACGGGCCACAGCCTATATGCTACATCAATGGGAAGCGATACGTACTGCCTCCTGGTCGAGGCGAGACAACCTTGCTTCAGTTCCTCAGGGGTGAGGTGAAGCTGGATGAAGACCCTAGTTAAGGTTGTACTAGATACCTCAAAGTATTGCAAGCTTCTCTCATTATCGTTACTCGCCGTGTCCTTCTATTTGAAAGAATTGCCTCGCCTGCTCGGGCCGCTGCATGTCTGGTCATGCAAGCAAATGCTGACTTGTGGCTTTGCAATCCCATTGTCCTGTAGAAAACGGTCTAAAAGGCACCAAGCTTGGGTGCGGCGAAGGAGGATGCGGAGCTTGCACGGTTATGCTGTCGCATTGGGAGGATGGTCACGTGGTCCACCGGTCGGCTAATGCATGCCTTTGTCCGCTATATGCGGTTGAGGGCATGCAGGTTATAACAGTAGAAGGTAAAATTTTGCATTCGCTCGCGAGCACTTCGTTTCCCCTGCACTGCATCTACTCCATGCGTAGCGTGCCGGTATGCCAGTCGGTAACAAGCCGGAGTCGTAAGCGCCCATGCCCATAATGGTGCCAGGGTGAAAACGTGGGTGGGGGGGAGATGTCATGGGCCACGAATCTCTGAACGGGGAAGCCTTGCACCCTTGGCACTTTCGGGCACACGATGCACTTGGGACCGACTTTACCAAAGGAGACAACCGCGGGCAAGCCTCCTGCAGTATGTTGACCGCCGCACAAAATATCGCACACCCTGAAACGGCCTTCCGTACTTCTTCCTGCCGTACCTCTCACCGCCTCCCCCGCCTCTCCTATTCCCCCAAGGCCTGGGCACCGTGCGAGAGGGGTTGCACCCCATCCAGAAGAGGCTAGCGCAGATGCACGGCTCGCAGTGCGGCTTCTGCACACCGGGATTCGTCATGTCCATGTATGCGCTGCTGCGCTCGAGCGAGGGGCCGCCTAGCGAGGAGGAGATCGAGGATGCGCTGGGAGGAAACCTCTGGTGCGTGCGGACGAGGATACTGGTACTGGAGGGGCGCTGAGAGATGGCGACAGGGACGGGGTCAGAGCCCTGAGGCGAAGGGTTTCGCTCTTCTCCCAGGAGCGGATTTGCGATAACGTGCTGTGCCCTTTGCCCTGGCTTGCCGGTGCTCGAGGGTCTTATGAGTCTGTATCCCTAACCCGGTAGCCCCCCACCTCCTGAAGCCTCGTCATACGGATTGTCCGTTTTCTCTTTTCACCTCCTGCCTCCTGCCTCCTGCAGTCGCTGCACCGGCTACCGGCCCATCCTGGACGCCTTCAAAACCTTCGCCAAAACCGACCCCGCAGCATACACGCAGGAAGCCATCAGCGCAGCAGCAGGCAACGGCTCCGAAACCCCAACCGCCAGCAACGGTACCAACGGCATCACCAGCAGCAGCAGCTGTGGAGCTTCCTCCGCAGCCACCAACTGCGCCTCCACGCCACCAGGAAAGGTCTGTCCCTCAAGCGGCCTGCCCTGCGACTGCATCGGCGCTAAGGCCGCAGCTGCCGCTGCTGCTCCCGACGGGGTAACAGCAGCCGATAGCAGCAGCGGCTGCTGCGCTGGCGGAGCTGCTGGGAAGGGTGGTGGGGCGTCTACGGGATGCAGCAGTGGGGGCTGCGGAGCGGCGAAGTGCTGCAAGAAGTCCGGGAACGTGTGCGGAGACGCTGGTGTTGGTGGTGCGGCAGTGGCAGCGGCTGTGGTTCCGGAGCGGGCCCCCTGCGAGCCCATCTTTCCACCGGAGCTGAAGCAGCGGCCCGCCTTCGACTTGACCATGCCAGGTATGCTTTGGTTAGGAGAGCTCGCACACGCGCGACAGGATGCGGTGATTAGAACGGGATGTGATGACTCTTACCGCTCACAAGGGCTTAAGTTGAACCTCGACCCAGCACCCTGCTACCTGAATTCCAGTCTGCTTCAAAAGACCCAGCTTGGAACGGTATGCATATAGTACATCCCCACCAACAAGGCGAGCTCCAAGGCCGCTTATTGTAAACGCTGCACCCCTGGACCCCTCCGCCCGAACTCCTCCCCACTCACCTCAACCTCAGTCTCCTTCCGTTGCACTCCCACCCCTGATGCTCCTCCTCCCAGGCCCCGTGCTGACGTGGCACCGCCCCTCCTCCCTGGACCGGCTGCTGGCGCTGAAGGCGGCGCACCCCGCTGCTCGCCTGGTGGTGGGCAACACGGAGGTGGGCATCGAGATGAAGTTCAAGGCGGCGGCCTACCCGGTGCTCATTGCGCCCACGCATGTCAAGGAGATGAACGAGGTAAGGCGGGGCGCGGTGGTGGTGGTGAGGATGGGGAGATAGCGCATGCAAGTCATCTTTCACATGTGTTTTCAAAGCATTTACGGAGAAGCTGGATGATCTCAAACATCGCGCATGCCAGGGTCGTACGATTGGAAGTCATACGAGCTAACTCAGCCTCGCTGTTTAACCTCCTGCGCTGCTCCCCACCGGCCCGGCCAGATCACGGTGACGGACAGCGGTGTTGAGGTCGGCGCCGCGGTGACCCTCACCCGGCTGCTGGCGGCCTTCAAGGGCCTCATCGCCTGCCGCCCCCGCCACCAGGTGGCAGCCCTGGAGGCCATCGTGAACCAGCTCAGGTGGGGAGAAGCGGGGGGCGAGGGGCGGGGCACCGGGACAGGGGGGGACGGGTAGAGCGGCAGCGGAAGGGGTGGGGGGGGGAGGGGCGGGGCAGCGGGGCGGGACGGGACGGCCCCTTTCGCCAGTACTGTACCAAACCCTTCGCCCTGTACTGTTTCACCGCGTCTTCCCTGTTATGATTCCTGCCTTCCGTTTGTCATTATGTCATTAAGCAGAGCCCTTTACCTGTTAGCCGCCATGGGGCTTCGCCCAATGCGCCCAGTTCATGCGCACACCTTGGAATGGTTGCATCCCTGCCGACCCTGCATGCCCGCCTCTCTCCTCGTCCCTCCCCTCTCCTCGCCCCTCCCATCTCCTCGCCTCTTCCCCCTCCTGCCCCCGCGCCCTCTCCTCCAGGTGGTTCGCCGGCAACCAGATCCGCAACGTGTCAGCGGTGGGCGGCAACATCGTGACCGGCTCGCCCATCTCCGACCTCAACCCGCTGTGGATGGCGGCGGGGGCAACGTTTGTGGTGCTGGGGCAGGGCACCGGCGAGCGGCGAGTGAGCGCAGCGGACTTCTTTGTGGGGTACAGGTGGGGAGCCTGAGGGGTCCTGACTCTCCTTGGGGAGGTGACGGACAGACGAGGGGTGTCAAGTGAAGGGAGCGAGCGAAACTAAGGTGAAGTACGTTGCCGGTTTGCTTGTCATACCGTGCCACCCGCTGCATGCGCCGTGCCAGGTTCGAGCTGCGCTCTTCCTGCTTCCCCTCCCTCGCCGCATCCTTCCCCTCCCCCTCGCCGCTTCCTTCCGGCCACCAGGCAAGTGGATCTGCGACCGCACGAGGTGCTGCTGCGGGTGCTGCTGCCCTTCTCCCGCCGCCTGGAGTACGTGCGGGAGTTCAAGCAGAGCCCCAGGAGGGAGGACGACATCGCTATCGTAAACGCGGGTGGGTGCGCGGGCCGTGCGCGCAGGGTTGTGGGTTGTTAGAGGTTGTTACCCGGATGTTAGAGTGGAGGTTGAAGGGCAGGATTGGCGTTGGAAGGCTACGGCTAGGCATGGGCGCGGAATCCACATCCTGAGTCACGAAGTGCAGCGGTGATGACAGGAATGGCGTTGCAGTGCAGCATCCCTAACAACCCAGAGCCATCCAAGCCAATCCGAGTATCCGATTCGCTATGGCACAACTCTCGGACTACCGCAACCCTACCGGCCCCGCCCAGGCATGCGCGTCAGGTTAGCTCCCGGCGCCTCGGAGGGCTCGTGGGTGGTGGAGGAGGCGGCCATTGCCTTTGGTGGCGTCGCCCCCAAGGCGATCATGGCTCCGGCGGTGGCGGCGGCGATGGTGGGGCAGCCTTGGGACCAACAGACGCTGCAGGTGGGGTGGGGGCAGAATAGAGAAAAACGAAACGCTCGCAAGATGATGGATTAGTTTGTTTCATAGGGCGAACGTAGGCTAGGTGATGTGGGGCCTGGCTTCTCGGCTGGCCGCTGATGGACTGAGCGTGTTCGCTTTATGAGTGGTAGGCAAGGATGGCACATGGTAGTAAACTTGTAAGGGTAGGTGCCTTACTTGAGGGCGTTCAGCTTCTAGGTCGTTCGATCGGTATTTGAGGTTCCCGTGTGGTCCTTTGTGGCGCCTTGCCTATCTGGCTGTGTGATGACGACCCGCGGGTCGCTTCACTCCTCGTGGCGTGCAGGCGGTGCTGGCGGCTGTACGGCAGGACGTGGTGATGTCTGACAACGCCCCCGGCGGCAAGGTGGAGTTCCGTCGGGCGCTGGCGGCGTCCTTCCTGTTCAAGTTCTTCGTGCACACCGCCCTCAGGCTGGAGGTGGGTGGGGGTGGTGAGGTGCAGATTGGAGGTTGGTGGGGGTGGTGAGGTGCATGCGTGGTGCACTGGTTAAATACACAGCTGTGGGGTGGGCATAGCCAGGGATGAAGCCACAGGAGAGCGAATGCCACGGCGACTACGGCCGATGTTTGCTGGAATCGAACATTATACGGTTTAAGCAGGGGAGGGGCTTTCGGCTGGGGCGCCTAGGGTGACTTGCTTAGCATCGTACGTACCGGTATGTCACCTCTTGCGCAAGGCCCTCTGCCCTCGCCCCTTTTGCGATGCTGTTGCGCCTGCCCCAATGACCATGGCCCCAGGCTGACACTGCTGCTGCCTACAAGTCCAACCTGCCGCCAGGTGGGTTGCAGGGTGTGCTGGGGGGTCCTGGGCTGGGGCATGCTGGGGTGTGTTAAGAAAACTGGCCGCAAGGAGGGACGTACTGAAGGTGCTCAGTTGTCCTGGAATGGGGTCTATTTTGATGGGGTGTCCTGGGCTGGCTCTTGATGAGGTGCCCTAGGTCGTCCCGGGGCGTCATGGGTCCCACCTACCGGGCTGGGTGCTCGTGTTGGGAGTTTCCCTCACCCCATGGGCTGTCGCCTTTCACCGCCATGTTCCCTCCTGTCGCTCCATCGGTACCCCACTCGCACTGCCGGGGTCACCGGTGGAAGCTGCTCCGCATACCGGTATGCATATGCCGCACAGCTTGACGCACGTCTAAGCATTGCATTATTACTGTTATCAGTGTTATGACAACCGCCTTTGTTGTTTTCCGCGTTCCCCTCACCAGATTACCTCTCGGCTGCGAAACCCTACGAGCGGCCCCCCGCGCGTGGCGTGCAGTTCTATGCTGAAGCCCAGGTATGACGCCTCCTCTTCATAACCTCCTGCTGCTTGCTTGGCTCGTTACGCTCGTTACGAACCCGGTCTGTTTCCTAGCTTCCGGTACGCTGGGACAACACCCAGGCCCACGGCTCCGCAGCCAGCCGGCCTTCAACAGCACATGGGAAGGCCACTCCTAACACAGGCCTCCCACTCACAACAAGCAGAACCTGTGCTTTCTACTTGTCTTCTGCCCGCACCTACCGGCACCCATTTACTATCCCTCCACACAGGCTCCTACGGACTCCGAAACCACGGTGTCGGTGGTGGGTCAGCCCTACCACCACATGGCTGCCGAGCTGCAGGTGCGCGGGACCTGCCGGGGGGCCTGAAACTCTATATTGCTACCAGTCTACAGCCCAGTTCTAGGTCTTTCACTTGTTGAAATGAACCTGCCTTCACGGTACTTCGTGCAGCAGGAAACATGTAATGCTGTTAATTCACTGTGAACGTACATGCTGCCGGCAGGGCTTGCATGCATGCCTGGTGTCGTACATCACTATGTCGTACACCATTGTGCCGTACACAGGTGACGGGTGAGGCGCAGTACACGGACGACATCAAGCTCACGTCGGACGCGCTGGTGGCGGCGCTGGTGACCTCCGTCAAGCCGCATGCGCGAATCACCCGACTGGACCCCTCGGCGGCGCTGCAGGTGGGGGGGAGCAGTGTGGCCTATCTAACGGGGTTACATCCTACAGGGGAGGGATGCGGCTGCATTGAAGCACACACTAGGATGCATTGTAGCTGGGAGGAGAGGAATGGAGCATGACCCTTTGAAGCTGGGAGGAGAGGAATGTGGTCTGACCTGCTGCCAGTTATGGGTTCAAAATACCAGGCGTTTCCTAGGCAAGGAGTCCTTAAAACAGAGCTGCTCACCCTGCATCCTCTCCCGCCGACCCGTGGGCTTTATCCTCAACTACTGAATCTAGCGTCGTTAGCTTCGGTAAAGTCCCTTGATAGCTGTGTATTCTCACCTTGCCTCTTCCACGTCCTACCGACCCGCGGGTCACACCCGCAGGTGCCCGGTGTGGTGGGCTTCTACAGCGCCAAGGACGTGCCGGGCAGCAACGCCATCGGGCCCGTGTGGACGGACGAGGAGGTGTTCGCGACAAGCGAGGTCACCGCAGTGGGCCAGGTGGGTAGAAGTGAAGCAACTCGACTCATGTAGTGAGCTAGGGGAAGGGGTTTGGTTGGGAGCGTGTATACACGCAAGCCGTGAGGGAATCAATGGATAAAGTGTGGGAATATGCCAAAGCTGCGTCCCCGGGCCACCACTGCATCCCGCCGGCCTGCCACAGCTGTATGCCCTCGCATCACCGTCGTAACCCCACTCCTCCCCTTTCCAGCCATACCTTCTCACCATGTCGCCTTCTCACCAGGTCTCTTATCCCCTCCTCCTGTCCCTGCCAACCCTTCCCAACCACCTTGTTTCGGGTCGTGTCAGGTGATCGGCATCGTGGTGGCCTCCAGCGAGGCGGCTGCCCGCGCAGGTGCCCGGGCAGTGGTGGTGGGCTACGAGGAGCTGCCGGCCGTCATGTCCATCGAGGAAGCCATTGAGGCGGGCTCCTTCTATCAGGACTACACCGGCAAGGTGGGGCAGCAGCGGGGTGGGACAGGGCTGCTGCAGCACGGGGGGTGGGGCAGCGGCAGCAGCAGGGGTGGGACAGGGCAGCAGCGGCGCGGTGGGGTGGGGCAGGGCAGTAGCGGCACGGTGGGGGTCCTTGTGGCAGTGTTTGGCACTGCTGGCAGAGCCTTCAGTACCGTAACAGGCGTGGCTAGCTGAAGGTGCCACCCCATGCCAAGCCAGGCTCACGCGTGCTAGTGCTAGGTATATGCCTGGTGGCACATGAGCTCTAGAGTACTCTTCACACCCCATGCGTGTGCAAGGGTGCACTTAGACCCCCGGTGCAGCCGCGAGGGTTTTTATTTGTGGCACTGCTAACACGGAGGCTGCTGCACGTCCCTTCGTCCCCTGGCAGTTGGAGTGCGGAGATGTGGACGCTGCCTGGTCCCAGTGTGACCACATCATCACGGGCACCTACAAGGTAAGAGCACGGGAACACACAAGGTGTGGAAGAATCCTTTGTTCCTTCTCCTCTTCTCCCATTACCTGAACGCGTTCAGGAGGGAGCGTGTGCCGTACTCCATACATTCCTGATGGATCGAGCCCTGCTGCAGCGAAAGATGCAAAGATCCGAAACCCGGCAACCGCTTCCCTTGTTTGTAACCGAACCGCTGCCCCCTCCCCCATGCATCCATCTCGCTGGTTACTTGTCCCCCTCGTCCCCGCGGCTCACCACCAGCTTGGTGGCCAGGAGCACTTCTATCTGGAGCCCAACAACTGCGTGGTGATACCGCAGGAGAACGACGAGTTCACACTCTTCAGCTCCACCCAGGTGCGGGTGCATGTGTGGGAGCGAGGTTGCTTAGTACTTGCTTTTGCTGCTAACGACCCAGCATGCAGTGCTGGGTTGTTATGCATGCAACGGGTGTCCGTTGCTTACCCAACCACCTGCAACTGACCCATTGGCCGCAGGCTCCGGCAAAACACCAAAAGTACGTGGCCTCTGTGCTTGGCGTGCCGGCTCACAAGGTGGTCTCCAAGGTACGTATCGGTAACGCGCTCATTAACGCAGAAAGCCCCTGACCGTCCCGAGGAAGCTAGCTCCAAGCCTGGAGCCACCGGTGTTCCTTTCCGCACGCAACGCGGTCAACGTGGCCTGTTTGTGGCTTTTGCGTACCCATACTTCCCGAGGCGGCCGTGTGCATGCGGGCAATGCGTGTTCCCTTACCCACAACCCACTACAGCAGCGCCTTGTTACTGGGCCTGACCTGCGGGCACTTCCCCTCGGCGGTGCTTCTGTCCCCGCAGACCAAGCGGCTGGGCGGTGGTTTCGGCGGCAAGGAGACTCGCGGCATCTTCCTGCACTGCGCCGCTGCGGTGCCGGCCTACCACCTGCGCCGCCCCGTGCGGCTGTGTCTGGACCGAGACGAGGACATGCAGATGACGGGTGAGCAGCAGTGGAGGCGGTCCGGTGCGTGGGTTTCGGTGGGGGGGAGTTAACGAAAGTGGTCACGGATTGGGACGTGCGCCGCTTGTGGGTAGGTATGTGAAGGAAAGTGGCTGCGAGCACCACGGAAAGTGTGTGTGTGATATCATGCGGGTGGTGATAGGTTGTGAAGGAGGCGTCCCGGCGGGCACCATGAAAGCGATGGCGGCTGTTATGCATGCCCTGTCGGTATCACATTTCGTAACTGCATGCGTCCGATGAAAGGCCTCAGTCGTCCTGCTCCCGGCTTGTATGCCGCCTACCTCCCTGCGCACTGCTGCGCTCCACCTCCCTCTCACCTTCCGCCACGCCACACCCTCCTGCCCGCCTTCAGGCCAGCGCCACGCCTTCCTGGCGACCTACAAGGTGGGCTTCAGCGCCGCGGGGCGAGTGCTGGCCGCCGAGCTGGATCTGTACAACAACGCCGGCAACAGCCACGACCTCAGCCACTCCATTATGGACCGGGCCCTGCTGCACAGCGACTGCGTGTACAAGGTGGGAGTGAGTGAATGGGTGAAAGGGGATTACATACACAGCCTGCTGCGGGTAGCCCCATACCGGTAATGTTACCCCTCGCCTTGCCCCCTCCCCCCAGGTGCCCAACATGCGGGTCCGGGGACACTTGTGCCGCACCAACCAGTCATCCAACACCGCCTTCCGCGGCTTTGGCGGGCCGCAGGGCCTCATGTTTGCAGAGATGTGGATTGAGCAGGTGATGAGCGGATGAGATGATGACGCCGGCCATCGGCGGGAAAGAACCGCGGCCTGCATGCGGGAAATCGGGAATGGAAGGCTTCGCTTGCATGCCCACGCACATGGCGTATAACAGGTCATGCAGGGTACACGCAGGCCATGTACCTACCGTAGATAGGCAGCTGTATACACCCCCAAGACGCCTCGCTGCTGCTGCTGCTGCTGCCTTACATCCCTCCTTCACTCATTCCCGTAGATCGCCAAGACGCTGAACCTGCCGGACGCTGAGGTGCGCTCCCTCAACATGTACCGCGAGGGCGATGTGACGCACTTTGGACAGGTGCTGGAGGCCTGCCGCGCGCGCGCATGCTGGGAGCAGGTGCTAGCTAGTTCCGAGTACGAGCGGCGGCTGCAGCAGGTAGCGACCTTCAACCTGGAGAACAGGTGCGTGCGTGCAGTGATGAGAACAGGTAGGTGCGTGCAGTGATGAGAGCAGGTACGTGCGTACAGTGATGAGAACAGGTGCATACATGCAGTGATGAGAACAGGTGCGTGCAGTGCTGGAAGGAAGGAACAGTTAGGCTGAGGTTACCATCAAGGTTGGACGGGTTAGCGTGGACGGATTCCCTCGCACTGCTGGGCTGGCTGAAGTGTTCAGATCGTTCGGCGTTAGGGCAGAGCTGTGCGCCACGTGTGAAGGCAGAGGTGCGCCTTGCATGACGTGCTCCCATCGGTTACCCCCATCCAGCAGCTGACGCCCCGTCACGTGGCTAGCCATCATGATTAACGAGCTCCGCCGCATGTGCCAACAGGTGGCGCAAACGCGGGCTGGCCGCCACGCCCACCAAGTTCGGCATCTCCTTCACCACCAAGTTCCTCAACCAGGCGGGGGCGCTGGTGCATGTCTACCTGGACGGATCGGTGCTGGTCACACACGGGGGCGTGGAGATGGGGCAGGGGCTACACACCAAGATGGCGCAGGTGGATAGGGAGCGAGGAGTGGGGTTGAGCGACGTTGTTCACGGAAGAGGAGTGCCGGCTTGCAGGTGGTTTGCATGCCTTACAAGCTACCTGCTTCTCTTACATGCACCCTGTGTGCCTTAGGACGTCCACCGACAAGACATAGCGCCCTTTTGGCTGCTAGTACGATACTTGGCCTGAAAGCTACAACCTCATGGGCGTTTGTTCGGCTGTAGCTGTTGGTTTCAGCAGGATTATTCCCGCACACATCACCTTCCTGCCTTCCATCCTGTCATATGCGCGCCCCTCTCCACCCGTCCCTCCTCATCAGGTCGCGGCCCAGGCGCTAAACGTGCCCCTGTCCAAGGTCTTCATCAGTGAGACCTCAACCGACAAGGTGCCAAATGCCTCCCCCACTGCCGCGTCAGCATCCTCCGACATGTACGGCGGTGCCGTACTGGACGCCTGCCGCCAATTGAACGAGCGCCTGGCGCCGTACAGGTGCTCGTTGTGGGCCCATGTTGTGGTTACAGCATGCTGCACGTCTTCCGGGCGAGATCGACATTGTCGCTGCTATTGCTCTGAAGCGTGAAGCGCAGTCATGATGGCTCTGCCACCCTTGTTTCACCCCAGCATGCTTCCGTGCACCGTATCCCCCCTGCCGCGCATTAAGGCAAATGCACCCTCCCCACCTTCAAGGCATGTGCAAACTCCCCTACTTCCCCACCCTTAAGGGCCAAGCTCTCAAGCGGCAGCTGGAAGGACGTGGTCAACGCCGCCTATCTGGATCGAGTCGACCTTTCGGCGCACGGCTTCTACGCAACACCCGACATCACGGGCTTTGGTGGCTCGCGACCCTTCAACTACTTTTGCTTCGGGGCCGCAGTTAGTGAGGTAGGTGCATGATCGACGTCAGCTGCTGCAAAAAGTGCAGGAACAACTGAAACCGGCGCGCTGCTGCGGCTGTTAGTATACATCAACCCATTCGCTCCATGCACCATACCAATCTTGGCTTATAGCATTGCTATGCTACACGATGTCTCCCTTCCTGGGCTGCGTGCGTGCCCTGGCTGCATTCCCGTGCATTTCTTTGACCTGTTGGCTGCTGCTGCGGATGCCAGGTGGAGCTGGACGTGCTAACGGGGGACATGCAGGTGCTGCGCTCGGACCTTGTAATGGACGTGGGCAACCCAATCAACCCCGCCATTGACATCGGCCAGGTGTGTGTTATTACGTTATGCCGTGCGTGGCCGCATGCCGTGTAATCCGTACATGCCGTGTTGATGTATCCTATACTTCCATTATTAATTGATTCAAACACGTTGAATGTCAGGTGTTGTTATTAGTGGCAGTTACGCCCTTCGTGGAGATGAGCCGAGCGGCTGTGCACGTCTGGATCCCGGCAGGCCCGAACACAACCAACAGGCATGCACCCGGCCCTACTCCTTGCTGCTGTCGCGCGCAGGTTGAGGGTGGCTTCGTGCAGGGCATGGGCTGGCTGGTGCTGGAGGAGCTGATGTGGGGCGACAAGTGAGTGATGATGCCGAGGCTGCGTTTCTTAGGATAGCCTCCCAAGGGCTCGCCACCTGCCTTGTTTTTAGCCCCCGTGGATGGGCTTAATAGACATGGCATTATTACACGATCGATAGGCGTATTAGAGCAGTCCTTACATGTTACCTGGTGTTTACGCACACAGTCTTAGCCGTGTCGCCAGTTGCTATCCTACTGTTCCTTGCATGCTATACTCACGCATACCCAACAGGCAGCACCCCTGGATCCGGCGCGGCCACCTGTTCACCAAGGGCCCCGGCACCTACAAGATCCCCTCCGTGAATGACATCCCGGTGGACTTCAGAGTCCAGCTGCTGGCCGACGCGCCCAACGTGCGAGCGATCCACTCATCCAAGGTGCGAGCAGGCCGGGAGCACCCTGCTACGTGCAAAGACAGGACGACGTGGCATGCTTGAGCCTCGCTTCCGAGCAACCATCTAATTTACATGCCATGGCGGCGTTACTGTAGGAGACGTTTCGGGCATGCACTACACGGAGTAAGGATAGGCCTGGCTTAACAGCGTTGGTGGGGATCTTGCTTACAGTGCAAGATTGCATGAACTGCCGACCAGGGGCCGTTAACGTCTTATTATGATCCCGTAAGGTCCTGTTGCATGCAGGCCGTAGGCGAGCCACCGTTCCACCTGGGAGCATCGGTGTTCTTTGCCCTAAAGGTGAAAGTGAGGGGGGCTGTGTGTATCTGCGGTATGCACATTTATCCATAGCATCAAATACATATCTTGTATTCATTCAGGAGGTTCGAGGTTCTGCATTCCTGCAATGCAAGCATGTATATATGTAGACATGCTATGCCTGAACCCCAGCTAAATGTATGACGTGCTGCTGACACATCTGCTTGCTTGACCGCACCGTGGCGTTGCACTATTAACACCGTTCCAAATCAGACCATTCGTTGTTTCGGACCTGACTCCCCTATCTGCTTTTTATATTTTCATTCGCGTGCATATACTGCAGGAAGCTGTGTATGCTGCACGTGATGCGGCCGGGTGCTCCGGATATTTCGTCCTCGACGCACCTGCCACGCCCGAACGGCTGCGACTGCTGTGTTCTGATGGGGTGGTGATGCCATACGTGCGCGCGGAAATCAGGTACGTGTTTTCGCAGGAAGGGCTGGATGGATGGAGCTTGTTGCGGACGCACGAGTTGACGAGCGAGGATTGAATTACCAGGCGGAGTCCTCACTCACCGCCTGTTGTTTTGCACCAAACACTACTTGTTCATGGCAGGCACCACATGGTCATTGGGCTTTGTGCGCTTTCTTAGTGCAATAATTTGTGCTATTGAGCCATCTACTTGGCTTTCCCTGTGCCATGCAGGCCCATGATAAGCTGCTGAATGCTGGATTGATAAATGCGGATGGAGGACACGCTGCACATACAGAAGCAGCCAGTTTCGTTCTTTAACCTTGTTTGGCTTGTGCTATTGCTGGACATCAGACATGTATGCTTGTTGGTAAACAAGAACTTAATAGACCTGCGGCCTGAATTCAATGTTGACAGACATAAAGGCAACAAATTAATGTGGTGTATAACGCTCTATTTGGCCATACATGTAGCCCATCCACTTGGGGTCTCCCTCTCTAAGGCTTCTCGTCAGTATACTAATTCGGCCTTTCTTCGGCGGGAAGCTACGGGGCTTCCTGCAACCCAAGAGCTTCCTGCGGGTATTTTGGATGGGTGGCCTTCGGGACTCCACAACCTCTGGAGGGTTCGCTGGGAGAATTGCTTTAAGGAGGCGTTTTGGCGTTTGGGATTCCGTTACTTGGGAAGCAGTGTAGGGTAGGGTTCATCACCTGTGTTCCCAGGGAGCCATTGTAACGGTATTCATAACGGTCACTCATTCATTCCAAACACACTGCTGCAGCCCTAGGGAGGCAAAGCCAACTACAATTAGCAGCCCAAGAACCACAGCACATACAGCAACCTGATGTTGTTGACCAGCATGTGCCACATCATGGGTGCGGGTCGATACACGGTGTGGTTTATGCGTATAGCCTGCATGTGCGCCCCCACGTACATAACATGCACATCATCAAGCTGGCTCGGAAGGCATCGTAGCTGCTCCAGACCGGCCTCCGTGTGTGACCGCCCATCAGCTGCTGCACGCATGCACACAAGCGCACCCCACATGCATGCATGCCCCAACTGGTGCGCACCGCTCCCACGCACTCACCCTCTGTTGTCACTAATGTATAACTCTGAGAAGAATTGCTTTGCTTGAGGCTGCAGCAAGCTGTGTGTGTCAGCTTCGTAGGTTACTTGTCAAGCAAGCAACTGGAGCCACGCACACAGCAGATGCAGAACACACACACACACACACACACACACACACACACACACCTTGACTTTGGCCTCACACACCCTACACTCATTGCTGGCCTCAAACACCTCCTCGTCAATCCTGGCCACTGCCTCCCCTTCTTTGCTTGTGGATCTGACTTTGGCTCAACTGCAGGGGAGTGATGATGAAGGGTAAGCTACAGCAAGTGCAAAGGGGGGGTCAAGACTAGGGATGTGCGGGGGTACGCTACGCGTATATAATAAATACTATACGTAGGCAGGAGGGGTGTAAAAAAATAGTTGAAGACCTCATGCCACATTTCTTGACGGACCCCCAGGGGACCCCCCCCACCACCCCCCTCCTCCGTGGTACCAGGGAAGGGCGCGGAGGCACGCATTTGTCTATCCTAGGGACTCCGCAAGGAGGACCGAACGATTAGGGTTGCGCATCGCATTGTCGCGTGTGGCGTGGTGGAGCACGGAGCATAGCACATCTGTATGCACCAACGGATTCGCATATCGGGAAACGGTTCCGTCTTTTTTCTTTATTCGCTTTGTCCCATCGTTTGCCTCATCCCTTCGCCACCACCCATACAACTTAATTACGTATATCTTTTACGTAGACCCACATTGGCGGACCTACACCCTGACGACCATGCCGCGGCCATCACGGCCGCCGAGGCCACCAAGACCGCCGCTTCCGCAGCGCTCTGGCCCAAGCAGCGTAAACGTATTTACGACATCCTTCGTCAATCTCGTGCCCACCTTCCTCCTGCTGTGGCTCACCTGTTCGACCTTCGGCGGCGCTACATCGGCCCAGCAGAAGATGCCCTGCTTTCCCAACAGCCCTTCACCTCCGGCGTCATTTATGCAGCCTTCTTCTTACCACCTCCCGGCAACCCTCCCAAGCGTCCCCGCTCCACCCCTTTCGACGTGTACGTTGGCCATACGCACATGGACGTTTCCAAACGCCTCCGCGCCCACGTGTACCAAGCTGGCTACGACTTCCTACAGGGACACAACCAGCCTGTTTTCCACCAACACCTCCGCACTCGGCCTCTCGACCGCCTTATGGTCCTTCCGCTCGAACATGTCAGCATTCCCGGCACTCTCGGTCATGTCGCCCCTGCCAACACCCCCAAGTTCCACTCCCTCGCTCTCCACAAAGAAATGGTCTGGGCCCAACGCCTTCGCTCCCTCCTCACCTTCACTGGTCACGGCTACAACATGCGGCTGGAAGTACGCTCCTTGGCCCTCAACCCCGGCGAACTCATCCTTAACGGTCCCCCTCCTGCTGACCCTCAGCGCCGCTTCCGATGGTATGCCAGTCGCAATATCCAGCGACGGCTTGCGCATCTGGAACAACTATACCAAGCTGGCGGCTTCACCCCCGCGCACTTTGACCCCTTCAGCCTCCACAACCTCCACCGCCTTTACTCCTACGTCACCTACTATTCCGCCTCCAACCTCGGCGTGGACCCCGCCTTCCTCTCCTGGCTTGTTAACCCCCTCTCCACCGCCCTTAATAAACGCCTTCAGCCTGCCGACGCCCCCGACCTCTCTGCTAAGCTCTGGCTCCCCGCTGGTCTCCGCCAATACCTCCCCACCTCTCTCATCTACGACGTCCTCCACGACCCGCGACTTGCTCACCACCTTCCTCCCAACACCCTCCCTCCCGCCATCCACTGGCGCGCCGACACCCCTAACCACCAACTCCTCTGCACCTATCCCGAGTTCGCCCGCACCCTCACCGGTCAAGACTACGTCGCCCTCCAGCAACAGCCCTGCTCCTGCCACCTCTTCCCCCACCTCTGCCATCCCGTCCTCCAGCACATTGTCACCACCTGCCCTTACGACCTCTTCCCTCCCGACCGCCGTGATGCCTTCACCACCCTCTGGAACAACGGCGCTCGCCACCGCCCTCACCGACCTCCACCCCCCCTCGACCAGCTCCGCGCCGACATTCTGGGCTGCGCCCTCACCTTCACCCAACACTACGAACGCCGGCATAGTAGTACCCCTGGTTCCTTTTCCGCTTGGGCCCATACCCTCTGCGATCTCCTGGAATCGCACTGCCGCAACCCGCCGCCAGACTACCAGTTCCCTTGGCCTATCCTCCACCAACGCGACTTGCGCGACCTTCACCACCACCTCCGCGACTTCATTATCACCGTCACTGACAAGAGTTCCGCCACACTCCAGCTGGTCTGTCGCAAGTACTACGCCCTCCGCTGCATGCAAGACCTCTTCCATCCTGCCCCCATCCCACTTTTCCCCCCCGGCGCTCTTGCTGTCGCCGCCATCCCCATGCCCGCCACCGCCGCCGCCGCCCCCGCCCCCGCCGCCCCCGCCCCCGCCGCCGCCGCCCCCGCCCCCGCCGCCGCCGCCCCCGCCGTCGCCGTCGCCGCCGCTCAAGCCCCTGCCCCTCCCGCCGCCGCCCCTCCCCCTCCCCCACCTCCCGCCGTCGTCGCCGCTCCAGCCCCCGCCCCTTCCCGCCGCCGCCCCTCCCCCTCCCCCACCTCCCGCCGTCGTCGCCGCTCCAGCCCCCGCCCTTCCCGCCGCCGCCCCTCCCCCTCCCCCACCTCCCGCCATCGCCGCCGCTCCAGCCCCCGCCCTTCCCGCCGCCGCCCCTCCGCCTCCTCCCCCTCCCCCGCCTCCCGCCGTCGCCGCCGCTCCAGCCCCCGCCCTTCCCGCCGCCGCCGCCCCTCCCCCTCCCCCACCTCCCGCCATCGCCGCCGCTCCAGCCCCCGCCCTTCCCGCCGCCGCCCCTCCGCCTCCTCCCCCTCCCCCGCCTCCCGCCGTCGCCGCCGCTCCAGCCCCCGCCCTTCCCGCCGCCGCCGCCCCTCCCCCTCCCCCCCCCCCCTCCCGCCCTCGCCGCCGCTCCAGCCCCCGCCCTTCCCGCCGCCGCCCCTCCGCCTCCTCCCCCTCCCCCGCCTCCCGCCGTCGCCGCCGCTCCAGCCCTCGCCCTTCCCGCCGCCGCCCCTCCCCCTCCCCCTCCCCCACCTCCCGCCGTCGCCGCTGCTCCCGCCCCTGCTCCCCCAGCCGCCCCGCCCGCTGTCGCCCCTCCTCCTCCCTCCTCCCCCTACTACCGTCCCACCACCCCCGACTCCATGCGCGACCTCCTCCTCCATTTCAACCTTCTCCTCGCCGCATGGCATCTTCCTTACACCGCCTCCATCACCCCCACCCAACTCCACGTCTTCAACCCCGCCTACTACGCTGCCACCGTCAAGATGCACAAGAACCCGCCTGCCCTCCGCTTCCTCGCCTGCTCCCATGCCTGCCCCTCCACCGACATCAGCGATCTCGTTACCGCCATCCTTCGTGCCGTTGACCCCATCTTCCGGAGCATGTGGTCCACCGCACTTCCCGACTTTCAGCCCTGGCATTGCTTCTCCTCACAAGCCGCTATCCAACTGGTCCACGCTTACAACGGCCGCCAATTTCCTGCCCACGCCGTCCACCCGCCACAAGCCTACGACTTTACCCGCCTCTACACCAACATTCCCCACGACCTCCTCCGCACCACCATCTCCTCCCTTATGGCAGCCTCCCTCCTCTCCCTCTTCCCTCCTGGCGACTTCCCTCAGCCCGTTTGCCCCTACATTGTCGTCACCACCACTGTCTACCCCGACAAGCCTGACCGCAAACCCCGCCACACTGTCCGCTTCACCATCGCCCCTCCTCCTCACCCCTACCAGCGTCGCGACCACACCATCACTCGCGTCTTCTCCCTTAGCGATTTCGACCTCCTCTTCCAGACCCTGCTTGACTCCACCTTCATCCGCTTCGGCCCCGCTCTGGTCCAGCAAACATGCGGCATCCCTATGGGTATTTCTGCTGCCCCCTTCATCGCCAACCTTTTCCTGGCTTGGTTTGAATACCAATTCCTCCGCCAATCCCTCCAGCCCCACCTCCCAGCTGCTGCCGCCACCGTCCTCCAGCATTTCCTATTCAGTAAACGTTACCTCGACGATCTCCTCTCCCTTCACAATCCCTACCTCCCGTACCTCCTCTACACTTCCGACCAGTACGCTGGCCTCCAGGGCATTTACCCTCCGCAGCTCTCCGTTGAACCCCAGCTCCACCCCCACTTCCAGCAGCACGAAATGCCTTTCCTCGACCTCCTGCTCATCCCCACTACCTCCCCAGCCGGCGCTAGTCGTATCGTTACCCATCTGTATGACAAACGCGAGCAACCCTCCTTCCGTGGCGTCCGTCTCTCTCGTTTTGTCTCCATGGCCTCCAGCGTCAACGAAAGCTGCAAGCGTAATATCTTCAAGGGCCAATTTCACCGTTTGCGACGGGTCATCACCGACCCTCGCAACTTCTGTGCGAACATCGCGTACCTCATCCTCGCTTTGGAACGCCAGCACCACCCCCGCCCTCGCCTCCTTCAGCAATACCGAAGCCTCCTTGCGGACCACCCTCACCTCTTCTACCTGTCCCGCAACGAGCTCGACCAGTCCCTTTTCGATACCACCCGCACCTACCTCTTCGCCTTGGCGCCCTAACCCCTCCACCTCCCGCTGGCGCCCTAACCCCTCCACCTC